GTCCCTTTGGTGCCGGACGCGTGCCTCGCTCGTGGCCAGACAATAAGCGCGACTTGCCATTCTGCGGGTGGTTAACTCAGCAACCAGCCGCCGAGAATAGTACATAAAATTATACTACACATTTTCATAACTTTTTATGGTCATTGATGATGAACATTTATTGTTTAGAGAAAAATTCTCATTTTGCAAAACCATTCTTAAAAACTCAAAAGAACGATAACAAATGATTTTTTTATTATTAAAACGTGACAACCCGATTTGTGCCGATTTGATGAAAATGATCAAGCAAGTATAATTATACTCGTGTACCCCAGAAACAGGCAGAATTAACATTGTATAACTGCAAACGATATTTGCATATAAATTATCTTAGGACTTGTATTAATTCCTGGACTATATTTGAGACTTTTTACATACCTTTTGCATCCTGTAGCTTTTTGCAGAATTTTAACTTTTGAAATGTAACGTTTTGACACAATTTAAGTAATTACTAGATAAATAGCTGTTTTTGCGTGGAAAATAATTTTTAATTACGTAGATTTCTTCAATATACAATTAGAACTTAAGTCTAAAAATTCGCCTATTTCAAAATATGATTATAGAGTCATCTTTCACCAGATTAATTTTTAACTTTTTCATTTTAATCATGCCATTGAATAGCATCTCATTTGTTACACAAGTGAATTACATTAGTTGACGTTACCACTGTATATTCATTGAAGAGACACACGTATTTTTTAAACTATAATATAGGTAAGAGTTAAAAGATCTTAAACTATAATAGACGAAATTTAACAAAATTTATTTAAAAGGATGATTAATTCTTGAATATTTAAACAATAATTTATCTTTAATATTTAATGGCTTATAGACTTTAAAATAAACAATAACTCACTTAAAAATTACAATATATATTATAATAAGTTCAACATTATTATTAAATTTAATTTAAAGTTCAATACAATCCTTTTACAAGAGCTTTTTCTGTAATATAATATTAATTATTTTCTTTGAACACAAAATAGATCAGCTTTTAACATTTTTACCTTGTTCTTTTTTATGAATTTGAATATTTAAAAAATAAAAAATGTTCATACCAAAATAGCAAAAACTATTAGCATTCCTACATAAAACATTTAAATATATTTGCAGGATTCCCTGAAATATTTGTCAAAAATTTGTCTAGAGCTTGAGGTACAAAAAGAACCTACTAAAACATGTGCGAGATAATTGTTAGAGAAATTAATAACCTGAATGTAATTCACAGAATAACACTAATATACAAGCTCAAAAAAGGCTATTTACGAAAAAGTAAGAGCGTTGCGAACAATTAAGGTGGTCACGGAAACACAGTATACTCTGCTCAGGTGGCCGAGCGATTACGCTCAGGCATCCGCGGCACGTGCATTATCCAGGGCGCCATCTCGCATCTGCAGCAAATTTCGTGTCCAGCAAGACAGGAAGATGCGCATTTCTTTCGCATACAAATAATAAGAGTCGTCGAATAAATGAATTGGTGCATCGAGGCGACGCGGGCAGCTGCAGGGGACGCGCGCGGCACGGCGGCCGCGACCCTCGCGATCGCACCTCCAGATAAAACAATAACGCGCGCACGCAGTCCATATACACACGTGAGAGAGAAAAGCACTGGCGTTTTCCTCGCTTCTACTTTAATTCACTCCCATCGACTCGGCGTGTGAAAGATCAAACGGCGATGGCTTTTTGTATCAATCGTTAGTTTTGGGAAAATTATAGGAGATAACATTTGAAATTGATAATTGAGTAACCAAAAATTATCAACATCTACTTCCGAATCAGTTTTTGTTTAAATATTTATGTTGTTACTAAAAATTATCTAGTCAAAACAAAGTAAATGCTTAGGCCGGTTGTATGGGTTTTTTTAAAAAGTTAAGCAATTTGTTTTAAATATCTTGTATTTGTGTGTTAATAATTAGGTAAAAATTTATTTTTATTTAAAGAAATCTTCATTAGCTAAAGACAAATTATAACATATTATTATTATATTATAAGCATATTATAATATTATGCAGTACTTGAATAGTTTCTACTGAATAAACAGGAATTATATATACTTTTTTATGAATAAAAAACTTTTGCAAAACAAATTTATTTTAACGTATGAATTAAAAAACTTAGCAAGAAAACCAATGCTTGGAAAACGAACGGAAACTGGAATACAAAACAATATACGAAAAAAATTAAACACACTGTAACAAATTAACAAAATCCTGTCAAAGTGAATTTAATTAATTGTATCAATTTATTTTCAGAAAAAAATATTATCAAACTCACAAAGCGAAAGATGAAAAACGGCAAATGGGCGTTGGTATCGTTATGTTGTTTATGAGCGTCACGCGCGCCGCCGTGGTTTGGCTGTTTTTTTTCTTCTTCTTCATAGTCCGAATCTGGAAATAGCAACCAGGAAAGTCTGACGAAAAATCAACAGCTACCCCCCAAACCATATCAAATGTTGACTCGTAAAAATGCCACGTGTGACCATGACTTTAGTAGATCTGAATTAAATTCAAGGTAACATTGTGGATTAGATGCGTTCCGCGGGAGACAGGCGGGGGGAGAAAAATGTACCAAGCCGCCTAATTACATTGAACGCCAAATTAATTCCGCGCGCTCTGTTCTCCGAGTTGAGACAAAAACGAATACATTCTTATTTCACAGTCCACGCGTCTGGACGAACGGCGAAGAATATATGTTTCACCTGCACATTAATGAGCCCGCAGGATTTCAAAAATCTAGTTTATAATAATTTGAATAGTCTCGGAGTCGGCAGTACTTTGAAAACCTGTTGACCCGTGCCTGCTGAAGAGCACGGGACGCTTTAATTTGTCGCAAGCCGCGCGAGCGCGGGAAATCGAAGGAGCATAAAAAAAGGGTTGATGTGACGCTGCCTTTGTTCTATGCTGGTCGCCGCATTAAGTCAATATTGTTTTTATAAAGTTTTGTGTTGGGGGATGAGAGATTAATTAACCACATAATTTTTAAGTCAATACCTGCTGGAAATAAGCAGGTCCCCCTTCTAAAATTAGATCAGAAGTTGTGTATCATATTTCAGTCTGGAATAAAAGCGATTAAAGTTGTGGGAAAAGCAAACTTTGACTTAAAATACTGTCATACCATCAAAGTATGCGATGAATTTAATATGCATCTTTGGTTGCTTTTAAAATATCAAGTGTATTACAAGAAATGTTTTACTACATCTCTTGATTTATTGATTAGGAAGAATCACAGTGAAATATTTTTTGTGTTTTATTGAAGTACATGCAACTTATAAGTAACTAGCACATTTCATCATCTTTTATGCGCTAATTTTAATAATTTCAGGGCAGAAAACAGTTAAATGCCATAAATATTTGTAAAAAACTTATTTTCTATTCTTCAACGCAAGAGCCTTGAAAAAATTATCTAGCTATCTCAAAAAGTTGCAAGGAAATTTAAAGTAAAATATTTGTAAGCCACAATAATATTTGACAAGCTATTAGTTAAATGAAATTAATCAAGATTCCCTTCTTTTTGTGTGAATAAAAAGTCATTTTTCCTTCGCAATGCATCGCGCCGAAAAAGCTTTTCTATCCTTATCACCGAGCCCGAATCTAAAAAAGTATATAAAAAGTTTTTCTTTCGGGGTACTTAATTCACGAGACCAGGCCCGCATGAGTTGTGCGCCGTGTGTCATCGTCGAGCTCTTTTGGCGCGCACACACAAAACTCACCCTGCGCGCCTGAAATCCGACAGGGCGAACCCCCTGTGCAGCTTTCTCTCTTGGCGGCATGAGAATTGCTCTGAAAAAGACTTTTCCTTCTATACGTAGTTTAATGTGGCATAAATTAATTAATTGATTGAGAGCCGCACAATGTGCCACCATCACTCCCCATGCTTACTCAATTGCGCGCAGACTGCGCGTAGCGATAAATTTAGACAAGTGATGTGTTAAATAAAGTGTGCCTTTGTGGTTTGCAAGAGAAGATCTTCTTTTAACACTTATATTCCACAATTAATTAAGAAGTTTTGATTATTTTTTCTTTTAAAAAAAAATATCTCTACTATAATTTTAATCCATGTGTTTATAGCGCGTCCAGTATCTATTTGGACGTCTATATAGAGAAGCATGCGCGCACGTTTGATAGCTTTTTCACACAACATTAGTTCTATACTTACTCTCTGGTAAAAAAAAAAAATAACATACGGCTGCTCTTACTGAGAAACCGGTCCTTTTAGTACACTAAAGTTTTCCATTCCAATATTTTGCAGAGCCCAATGAGTATCTGCTCAAAATCTTATTAAGCTGGTTTTATGCCACTTAGCCGGCAGCCAATAATTATAACTCACTTATTCAATTAATATGTTTGGCATGTGAATTTACTCTACTTTTTATTTCCCCTGTAAAATGAATACTAATTCTAAGCTTTAGCCGATTCTGCTTAAAAATCTTAAGTTATGCAACACGTTGGACACGTTGGTGGAAAAGATTGCATACCCTCGCCCCTCTCCAGCAACTTTTATGGATCAAAATGCGTACTTAAAACCGGAACAGAGCGTGTTCTGAACAAATATCATCATTATTTTGACCATTAAAAGAGAAAGAGATCAATCAACACACAAAAATTAAAATTAAAAACGTTTTGCCACTATACAAGATTTACTTTATGAAATAATCATATTAATTATCATTAATTATATAATTACACAACAGCGAACGTGGATGCGTTTAAACAAAACATCCACTTTTATGTAAATTATAAACAGAATCAATAAAAACTGTTGAAAATTTCACATGATTTCAACCTGAATAAAAAATAAAATTATTTATTTAATCAACTTTAAGGGAAATTTGGTTATTTTAACCAAACTTAACAGCAGCTTTACAGAAAACTGTTGGGTAAGATTATAAAGAGGTCAATGTAAAATTTAAAAAAATTACTTTGAATTTTCTCCATTTTTTTATGCCTTAAATTAATTCATCAAACACAAAAAGAATTAGCATATTAATTTTTTTCTAGATCAGGTTCCAGTTTCGACGTTAAATAATTTAATTTACAATTTAATTTATTCAATTTCTACCAACCCTATAATAATAATACATTTTTGATTACACACCATGAAAAAAGTGCGCACCTAAACGTGTTATTATCGGTTCAATTGTGGGCCGTACGTGCGCAAAGCGAGAGGCTGAATTGCGCGCGCGGTGCATGCGTGTTCGCCGCGCTTTCCTAATTGAAAGAAGCCAAAAGGTAAGCGAAGGTGTAAACAGCGTAAGCCGCTAATAGAGAAAAACAAACAGAGGCGGAGCTTTGAAGCGGCATTGGTCGCGCGCCTCTCGGGGGCGTGGAGCGGAGGCAGCAGCCCCGGCGGCGGCGGCCGATCTTGCGGTAGTCAAACGCTCAGCGTCCACCGAGCAGCAACAGGGTGCGGCGCAGCTCTCCGCAGCATCCCTCGACCCGGCGCTGAACCCACGACACCAGGAACACCCTGCAGGGACTAACTCAAGACATGGTCATCCTGTAAGTATTACCATTTTCATCCGCTTAGAAAAAATTCTAATTTGAATTTCAGTGAAAAAATTTCATTTTGTGTGATATTTTATTCTCAAAACTTATTGTTCTTCCACCAATATTTATTTTTCTTGTGTTTTTTTTCTGAGCCGTTTTGTTGTTGAAAGAGAAATGTATTTTTTGGTCGCTTTCATAACGCACCGCGGTGATAACAACTTCCGGTCTACACTTTCATCACCTTTTTTATCAAAATTTTTTACCTTGCTTTATTCTTCATAAAGACTTTCTTGGTTTATTTTAAATTTTATTGAGAACGCACGCTCGTAAGCAAAGTTAGTCCGGTTAATGTATCAAATTGATGGGATAAATAATAATTTTGAAACGCATACAGTAATTTTGATGAGGAAGGAAATTGCGGTGAAAATATGATCTTGACTTCAAAAGTGCACGAAATAAGTGACCTGAGGCTTAATTGAGTTGTGTTAACAATCGTTGTCATTGCTATTTTTTTTTAATGATTCTAAATATAAAAAAATGACAGATTTTTATCGAATTTAATACCAAAACATGTATTGTTTATAGGATTATTGAAAAAAAAATTTAAATTATTATATAGTCTATTTCTTCCTATAAAAAGCTATATGAATTATTAATTGCAGAAATGTTACACTTTACTTTAATCTACAATTTAATTGTTCAATTAAGATCTTATCTTGAATAAATGAATCAATCAGAGCCATTCTCACTTTGCATTCATTTTTCTTAGACGATCTACTTTTTTAAGCCGCAATAAATAAAAAGTCAGATCCAATTTGAATAATCCTTTTGACAAGCAAGACCAAATGAAAAGCACTTCTGGGAGGGTTTCAATCTTTTTTTGTGTACAAATTAATATCATAAAGAATGACAATTTTTTTTTTCAAACCGAAGGGATTTTCCACAGTCGTGCTATTAATATCTTTTTCTTTCGAACCGGCTGACTTCTTTACGCGGCCGTTGATCACAGCAGCAGGTAGCGTGAGAAAGCAACAAGGACATCTTTTCTTTAAACAGCACAACACACAGGTGGAATGAGAGATAAATCTGTTAGTGTGCCGACGTGTGCGGATTTGGATTTATTGGCCTATCAACCTCAATTAATTTTAATCCATAAGTGTGAAAAAGAGATGGAGAGAATAACCTATAAAAATACACTCATTTGGTTGAAGATTATAAAATCCGTCAGTTTTTATCCCATAATAGCAAATAAAATAAAGAGGAGAATTTTTTGAAAAATGATTTATTCGTTCCGCCTAGAGCGCTTTTTTTATTGTTGCACCAATAATACAGCTTATATTTTTTTTGAAAATCACATAAAAAGTCAATGATTTTTTGTTTTTATAGCTACTTTTATTCAAGATGAAATCATCATGATTTGAGTAAGAATCAAATAAATCCTTCTTCTTTGAATTGATCATTTGCAAATCTCGTCTTTTGATCGATCAGAAATTTTTTATAAATTACAAGCTATTTAGTTGGTTCTGACCATATTTGTTAAGATTTCATGGAAAATATCCAGTATGTATATAAATGTAGACCACTTTAAATGAATCATTCATTATTCTTTATATTCATATTTATTTTACTAAACGTACTTTTTGCCGAGTATGGAAGCCAAATCACAAAATTTTTAATAGGGGATTTTATAATTTCATATATTATAAAAATAATTTAAAACTAATAAAAATAATAAAAGCAATTAAAATTTTGTACTGAACGACCATAAGGAGAATTAAAATTCATTTACAAAAAGTTTTATCTATAAAATTATCAGGTCGCATAAAAAAAGTGACTGTTGCCTAGCGCTAATTTTGCTTGGCGAGCAAATTTTGATCTACGCGGTTTTAGCGATGGTCGTTTAAAAATCAGCATAAATACGATTCGAAACGGGACCAAAAGGAAAAGCGCGATGTTTTCCAAGCAATCAGTGTCCGGGATATTTACATCGGCTAAATTATTGCACCTCGAACGGCTCATATTTCTTAGCTCCAACCTGATTCCAAAGCGTAATTTACGACGCGGGGCGCTCTTTTATGCGGCAATAAAAGACGAGCGCTGCTGCCCAGTGATTGAATTGCTACCGATCCGCAGAGAAGATCTTCTTTAATAAAAAGCCCAACACTCTCCGCGCTGAATTATTATTTACAACTGGCCGGCTAATTATTTCGAATTTGTACGCAGTAAACACAGCGATCTGTTTGCTCTCTTTCGAATCAACGCGAATCTCGCCCTGACCGTAAATTCAACAAAATAAATGAGACACATTTATCAGCTAACACGTCCAATTTCTCAAGGGTTTGGCGCCGCTCATGTTAATTTATGGATGGCACTTTGATGAAAATGTGTTTCAAAAAATATATCCCTGAAAAGTTTTGACGCAGTTTATTTATGACACACTTTCCTGGTTCATTGATCACGTATTTAAAATATGTCACGATTTGGTCTGTAAAGCAATTCGAACTAAAAGAAATAAAATTAATTTTAAATATAAAAACAATAATCAAAACGTTACAAAGAAATATGATTAAAGAAAGCAAATTCTGACTATATAACAAAAATCTTTTTTAATTGATTGGTAATAAAAAAATATTGATTTTAGCTTCAACCAATTTATAATAATTATATATGTCTAATTTTTAAAATTTCTTGCTTGATGCTTTATAAAATCTTGTTTTAAATTTTTATTAGTTGAATTAAATATCAATATAATAAAGTTATTTGAGTTATATTGCAATATTAAAAGTAATGAAGCTGAGAGACGTGAACGCGTGGAGTGAAGGAGTATTAATGTTGCCTTCAATGGAGCTCACAATCAGTGGAAAGAATCTCTGCTCCTAGTTCCTAGTCTGCCGCTAAACGACGAGATTAAAATATATTACGACAGATTCGGCGGTGCCTTTCTCGGGTATAAAGCTAAAATTATGATAAACATCAGCAGCCACCGCGGCAGAACGGTGCTTGCCCACTTTAAATACTACGTTTTATACACGTGGACTTTCTACGTGCTCCACTGTAGGAGATTCTCCACAAATTTATGGCTTAATTAATTCATAAATCTCCGTGTCTCCGATTAATTACTTCTCCGAGGTATTTCCCACCGCTCATTTGCATGGGGAATGCGTTAGAAACTCTGAAAAATTATATCGCTTCTTTGGCGAGCCGCCTGCGTTGACACACAAAAATAAAAAAAAGCTCCGGTGTAAAAATTAAAGGTACGGATGATTATATGTATTTTTAAGAATTATTAGAAAATTGCACAGCTGATAGACTCGTCGAAGAAGAGATCGGAATCTCAATTTACAGGTGTCAAAAATTTATGGCGTGATTCGCCTGAGGATGTAATCCTATTTTACGTTTTTAGGCAAATAAATCTTGAGAGCAGTTTTTATATAATATGAAAATCATAAAATCTCAAATTTTTCGCATAGCGAAACGGAAACTTTAAAAAATCCATAACTGTCAAAATCAAATGGACGAAAATATCATTTCAGACTCAGCGGCGTGCGCAATAAAATTAATACGCATATTCGGCGTTTCAAATTAAAAATTTTCATTCACCTCTTTTTACGAGCAATAAAATTTTTACGAGATCTGATGTTAAACGAGTCCGCAAACTTTTGCATTCACATATGCTTTTTTTATTTTCTTGCCGAAAAAGTAATTAATAAATAAGCCGCAAATTGTATAAGTTGTGTAATTTTGCTAACAAGACGCGCGCGGTTTAATTGCAGGCGCGACGCGGGCTCCCCGGCCATGAGTGCAGCTCCACCATGTGGTCGGCAAACAGGTCCATTGACACCGGCCAGACAGTTTGACTGGGATATTAACGACACCAGCGTGCCCAGGGTAGGTATCTCGACTGCTTTTTAATTGTGAATCCGTGCACGCGCGGCAAACAAGAATTCATGCGGCGATCCATTAATTAAGTGTTATAAGCGCCACGAATTCCCGTGAATTTCGCCGCCAAACTAACTTTGACACAAATTGCTTCAAACCTTTGGAGAACCAAATTTATCTGATTAATTCCTGTCCAATTAAACACTATAAGTTTCTATATATTCGAGGTTTTCCCGGATCATTTTTAAATGTTCCAGACAAACTTGAATAAAATTAAAAATTGTTCATTTTTGATGGAACTTTTACAATTGTGTCAGTAACAACACTAAATTTATTGAAATTAATTATTTTAAAAGTTTGAAACTTTTTTTGATTGGAGATTTTTGTTCCGATTACCAACAGGTTAGTCGGTTTGACGAATTTTGCGAGTGGGCCAACGACCATTGTCAATTTGTTTACTCGCCAGACAGCGAGGAGGCAAAGAGACACGCGTCTGGCTGGGCGATGCGCAACACCAACAACCACAACGTCAACATCTTGAAGAAGTCATGCCTAGGGGTGCTCGTCTGCTCGAGGGGTGAGCAGTGCGTGCTGGCCAACGGCGACACGGTGCACCTTCGACCGGCGATTTGCGACAAGGCTCGGAAAAAGCAGCAAGGTATGTAACAAGAAAATACGAAAGGCCTTAAAACTTTTGGAATTTATTCTGGAATTTTCCTCACAACTTATCATCAACACCTTGCATTTTATGGACGACGGCGGGGTACTTTTTTTTTATAAAAAAGCTATTTGTACTTTTTAAAGAGATAACCGGGCTAAACAAATTATTTTCTGTGTTTCAAAACTTTTTTTCTTGAATTATTTTTTTATTCAGCATCTTCATTTATTATAGCTGCTGTAGACGGAGCTAATATATTTCATTTTTTACGAACAAATCATTTTTTTATTCTGAAAGTTTTTCCATATATTTGACAGAAAAAAACCCGCTTTTATATCAGTTGTCAGTTTTATCATATAGGGTTCTATGTATTTTTCTTTCAAAACGTGCATTTGTTTTTGTTATCTTTCGGCCGAGGCAGTAGTTAAATGCGTCTGAAATAATTAGAAGTAAGAAAATTGTTAAAAGAGTAGCCGTGTGAAAGTTGATAAGAAAAACTCGCCATAGAAGCATATTAAGCATTGGAGAGGAAACATATTATATGATTGCCGCCGCTCTTTTAATTGGTGCACGTGCGTTTGTGTCTCGCACTTACACGTGTGCTTTTTTGAGAACTGAAATTTCGTTGGGTGCCAACGTTATCATCGCCTTTGTTTCCTACAGGTAAGCCCTGCCCGAACCGCAACTGCAACGGCCGGTTAGTCATTCAGCCCTGCCACGGCCACTGCGGATATCCGGTCACTCACTTCTGGAGACACACCGAGTACGCCATATACTTCCAGGTGAGCACTAATTTTCTTAATTTGTCCAATATACTTAATTAAGTATTGGCCAATTTACTAATTGGAATCATTTTTTTATCCAAGATCCAATTAAAATAAGGCCTGAAAAATCATTTTTATTTTATTGGTTCAAAACCTATAAAAATACCAAAGGTGCTATTTTTGGGTAAATTTATCTCGATGACAATACACCTGCCTGTTAATTAATAAATCTTATCAATTATGGGATTATGAACACTATTTAACCCCGTCAACCCGCATATCTAGATTTTACAGCTTTTCTCCCTCATTCATTCATACTCTGCAGCATAATAGGTTTTCAGCAGAAAAACCGCGGCTCTCTTTCTACCCTCGAATTTTTTCAAAACGTGTATGTCAACTTCAAATGCATGCGCGTCGGTCGTTTTCCTCCAAATTTATCTGGCTGTTAGACCAAATCAGCCGAGTTGGGCAATTAATTTGAGCGAGTCTCTTGTGCCCGCAGGCGAAGGGACGACACGACCACCCGCGACCTGAAGCGAAGTCAACCTCGGAGGCGCGACGTAGCCAGGTTAACGGCAAACGGGTGCGTGGCATTGCGATGCTGCTCGCCGGCAGAGACTCAAAGGTGAGTTGGAGAGAGAGAAAAAAATCAACATCCCCCCAATTAACTGCAACCCTTTCCCCGCTGTGAATTTATTGCCCATGATCTGTCAGCGCTACAAAATCAAAGGGTAAATATTTAGGTGGTGCGTTTTTTTCAGCTCGGGCGGCTTTGGTGGCCGGGCAGTTATAAATTAACCGGTTGATTACGGATTAAAACCAGAGAACTCTATTATTAGTTTCTTAATGGTAATTGCGGCTCTAGAGATGTCATTCCGAATATCAAAATTATTAATTTTCTCTTATCGCACTGTCTAATTACTTTGATAACGAAATACCGTATTTAGAAATACTTGAAGTAGGTCATCAACATTTTTTAATTATTTCTTGGACTTTCCTGTTTAGGTAATTTTGAAGCGAAAGTTGGCTTCGCTTTTGATAAAAAAAAAATGTCTTTTTAAATTATGGAAATTATTTAAACTAAATTTTCGTTTTTTTTTTTCATTTTGTCCAAACATATTTTCTGCTTTAATCTACAAATAACGATAATTAATGATACATTATTCTCAACAGACGTGCTATTTTTTTTTATTAATTTTTATACAAAAGTTATTACTAGTAATATTAATATTACTCTGATATGAGCAGAAATAAACAACAATTCACATATTATACCATTTTATTTAAAATAGGAAATTTTCGTAACATATTGCATGGTATCGATGGAAGAAGCGATTAGTTTTTAAATATAACTTTTAAAAATAATGCACCAAATAAATTTTCTATCAATTCAATTTAATTAATTCTAAAAAAGCTTTTATTTCCATCTTCGCAGTGTCATTTTTTATAACTTCTGTAAGACTGGTGGCACTGAACGCACTGCTCAACTTTCCCTTTCATGAAGGCTAATAATGTTATTAGTCCTACTCACGGGCTTAAACATAAATAAACTTCTGTATAATACTTGCGAGTATTATCAAACCGAAGAAGGCAGAAAAGAAGCGACGACTCCGCGGCTGCCGGCGCGTACATAATTTCGTTATTTATGCAGCGTGGAAAGGTTTATGGAGTTGAAGAGAGAAGTGCGCTTGGAAAAAGTTTTTTTATTTTTAAATGCATAACGAAAAGGAGTTGCTGCAAAGGAGTTCTCCTCATTCACTCGCGCCGAGCATCTTTAATCCGGCAATTAAAATATCAGCGTCATAATTTACAGCATTCCGCCGTGAGGAGATTTAATAATAAATTTACTTTATAGGTGATGTTTTTGTTGCTTCGGTTGCGCAGATAGAGATATCATCTCCTTACCCGCGGTCGAGTTATTTACTTTTCAACCTCCTTAGCCGCTAAAATTTATTTAAATTATAACATGTGTTTGCTTTTTCTACCTCTCTCTCTTCTCCGATATGGAAAGTACGTTTGATAAAGAAAAAACTTTATAATTATAAGCCATCCACAATCGTCCGCGCACAGCAATTAAACGATGCGAAGCGCATCATTCATTTTTAATTCGATTCCCTGAGCTCCTGAATTGCCCGGGCTGGGCAGAGCATGTGCAAGAGTTAGCGCAAAAGTAATAATTAGGACGGCGCTCCATCATTTCGCATTGACAAGCAATCGCCACTTTGATTGGGGCTGATAAATTATATAATCGGAACAACTTAACTGGATTTATTTAAATTGAAGGGCCAATCTCTAGAACGAGATTTGTGCTCTGGCTATATTGGGGCCATTCAGGCGATCTCATATTATTTTAAATTGGATTGTGTCACAGAGAATTAAATATTTAATAACGAATCTAGCTTTTATGTAACTTTATTAAATAACGGAAAAATTATATATTTTTATTGAAGAAAAAAAAATAAAGGCAGCTGTTTTCTTTGAAAAATTTTTCCTTTCCCTTGAATCATCCCATGTCAGATTAAAGAAGAATAAAACGTTGTAAAACAAATTCTCCCCTACTTTGCCGACACACGAAAGCCTCATATTAAAATGCTCAATGCGATTTTCGTCTCTTGTTTCAGCTGGTGAAGAGAGAAAATGTAAGCCGCGATTTGGATTTGACGCCCTCCTACATGTGTCCTGAACAGCCTCCTCCGCTGATTCCCGACTCCGATAAAGGTAAACGAACGTTTTATATTAGCGACGATTTTTTAGAGAGCCCCTGGTATTTTATGAAAGTTGGTTTTTAATCGTTATATTATGAATTTAGAATAAAAGTTTATAATATAAATGATTTATGAATGTCAATTAGTCCTGTCACTCCTGGTCTATAATATTTTTGAGTTCTGTTAAGCCATTGAAAATAAATCACCGACGAACCAATAAGTTACTAACATTTAAAAAAAAAATTGAAATAACTTTTGCAACAAATAACTTTTTTTTTATGGAGCATTAAGATGTGCGCATTTTTTTAATTGAAACGGTCCTCATTTCATGCAGTAGGCGCTTACGTATTATATATACAGTCAAAATTATACTGACGCAGAAAAACATGTTCGGGACCGTGTCTTTTTTCTCAAAGAAGACTCTAGAGTGGACATTTGAAGGCTGCGCGAGTCTCCACAAACATTCAAATAAATCTTTTTTATTCAAGCGAACTCTTCACAATTAGTACAGCCGCACAGTATAAGGAGTACATCAGATAATTTAACTACCGTTTAAAATAATTTCTGCCTCTCCGTTGAACATACGCAGTAAACAGGAGCATAAATAAACATAAAAATTAAACCGGAATCTCTTTCAAAAGATGGGCACCTTGGAGAGCCGCTTGAAAATTTATTACATTTTTATATTTACCGTGTCGCGCATCCTTAATTAAATATTCTAATGGGTCCAATATTATCCCTTCTCTCCTTCTGCGACGCCGATCTGCTGTAATTTAAAACTGGCTGCTTCATCGCTCTAGCCACGGAATGCATAATTAATTAATTGCGTACGCACACACAGATCATTATCGTGCATGTTTTGGCACCTGAAACCATCAATTAGCCAAATGGTCAGTCGCTTCGCTTGCATTCGCAGCGTGAAATGGACTTTTGGATTAATTTCCCCTCGCTGCGCCAAATTAGAGCGAGATTGCTTAAATATTCATAAGATAGCAGCGCCGCGCTTCATTTGACTTGCTGGTTTGAAAAAAAATATTTCTCCTCTGTCAAGTCCTCCGCAGAGATTTTTCAACCTGTCCCCAATGATATAATAAAATATTAAATCCGTTTCGCTCCGATTCCAGGGTCTGCCTTCAGCAATTCGACCTGCTCGTGTCCACCCTTTGAGTGCATCTGCACGCCGGTCCACGCGCCGCAACCCCATCTCTCCTACCACCACCACCTCCAGCAACACCAGCAGAACCATTCGGCCGGCGACTTCTGGTCGCCCGAACAACCCCAGCAACCCCCTAGTCACCACCCGCCACCGATGGACGTGCCCAACACCGGCTTCTACCCTGCCGCGCCCATGGACTACCCCTGCGCCTACGACGGCAACAGCAACGTCCTGCAGCACCCCTACGAGTACCCCCCGGTCGTGGAAAACGACGCGTTCGGGCAAATCTTCCAGACGGAAACGCCGATCCGGCCTGATTGCGGCAGTCTTTTGCCGGCGCCCAACGAGATGTACGAGCAGCAGTCGGGCCCTGCAAACACTCCCCCCACCTTCACTGAACTCGGGGAGGTCAAGTCTGAGTTCCAGCAGGGTTGGAGCAATCCTTACGAGAGACACTACAGAGGTGGTGGTTTCTACGAGCAGCGGCCCGAGGAGCCGATGATGATGTCCGAGGAGGACGACTCGCTGGCGACGGTGCCGTGCGAGGAGGCGCGCATGATGCCCCAGTATGTGATCCACCAGGAGCCCCTCAGGCACCACCTGCCCGCGTCTGCCGACGCGGCGGTGGCCATGGTGGGCTGCATCAACTACGAATCTCTTGTGGGTGACCACTTCAGCTTCCACGAATCCATCAACAGACATCTGCACCACTGATCGCAGTTTATTCCAAACTTTTACCATTCCTGAACTCAAAGAGTTCCAAAATCTCAAGTTATTAATATGTATAAGCGCGTTGTCAGAGGAAGTTTTATTGATGGGAAATGTGTACAAGTATCTGATGGGAACCCTGTGAATCTCTTTAAATGTGTACATTCAATGTTCCAATAAAAGCAAAATACTTATATTGCAATGAAAATGCTCTTTTTATAACTATCGTGGTTGCTGTTTTGCGTATTTTTTTTTTGTTTAAATGAGATTATATAATATTTGGCTTTTTTCAAATATGTTATGATTTAGTTTACGAATCTCGAGAGAATGTGTCCATCCAGATTTTAGGTTAGGTAGTGTATATCTCGTCATTGAAAGCTCAGAGATTAACTTTGAAATACAGTTCTTTTATGCATGTTAAAAATGTATGAATTGCGAGTTGAAATTTACATTCCGCACAATATTGTTATGAAAATATATGCACATTGCGCAGAGTAGAATCTCAGACTACAAGTTAAACACTATTATTGTCGGTCGATGTATGTGTTGGCGCTCCATTAAAATGTTTTGTGTGTAAAAAAAAATGTGAATATCATGCCATGGTACGATTATTTTGATTTTTGTAAAAATGCAATAAATCCGTATGAGACATGACTAATAGTAAGAACAAATGGAATGCTTTTCATTTAATCTACATTTAAGCTCCAGAAATAAGGACAATGATGGAATTAAAATCTGATACATGTTAAAAAAACAAATTATTTTATTTTCACTGACAGAAACAAAATCAATCTCACTAACAATGAATCTATCTAGCAAAAGTGTAATATACAGTGTTGGAAAATTTAAAGCACTTTCAGCATCATAATTGTTCATTTTTCAAAAAGAACCAAACTTTGGCCGCATCGAATCAATTTTTCTCTCTTTCAATAAGTGCGGTTTAAATTTTTAGACATTTATGTCAATATAGACTTAGTCTTACTCTTACCACAAAAAGCATGAAGAAAGTTTCTGAATCAATAATTATTTACAGTCTCTACCAAAATAAAAGGTTTAAAATAGAATAATTTACAACTGCCAAACTTTACACCGTAAAATAAAATAATATCACTCGGAAATTAAAAAATGTAACTTCTTCATGTTTACATTTACAGCAATAGTCCAATGTAAAACTGGAACTTTATCACCTGATATTCAGAATGGCATGAAAAAAAATGGGAGAAATAGCACTTTTTATCCAAATTAGAAGAAGAATTACTAAAAAAAGAAATTTTTTGAAAATTTCTCTTAATTTTTATGAAAATAAAAATTTTAAGCCACCTCTCTGACTGTTTTTCTTAATTTATAAGTGTGATTTTTTTAAACGCATTGCTAGAAAAAAAATATTAATAAATTTTGAAGTTTATAATGTTTGTATTTCATTTCCCAAATAAATCAGTTGAAACCAATCTAAGTTGCAGAAACAATTTTTTTTTTTTTTATTAGATAGAATAAAAAAGTTTCTAACAAAGTGTTAAGCATTTGTGTTTTAAGAGATCAGATAGTAAATTTAGAGAAGGTGAAAGCTTTGAGTTGATTGTATATTTCAAAATTTTCATTACAAATTATGGGAAACCAGAAGCTATACAACTTCCAGTAAATTTCTTTCCATTCATTCCATGATACCTTTCCTTTGCATCAATAAATCACAGTGTGCTTGAATTGCCTGGACCGAAGCGGGAACTTTCCAGTTCAGCACGACTAAACTGTTGACTCGAGCTCATACTGCTGGGTGCACCTCCATGTCGGGGACTGCTGCCCCTCTGATGCACACCAGAAAACTCACTTCTTTGCAGCGGTTGCACAGTCACTCGGTAAAATTTAGTGTCCTTGGGAACACCAAATCTATTCTCGGCCTGAAAAATTATGACAATATAAACGTTCGTTAAATAAAAATAGATGATTTCCAATAGTTACTTTTCGAGCAAAGCAGTATTCCTTCTTCACAACTTGGGCAATACAGTACATCTTTCGAGGGGTTTCATCAGTCAGTGCCGAAGTACTAAGACTAAGCACTTCGATGCAGTCCGAGTGCAAGAAATACAAAGTAGAGCTGTCTTGCAGAATGACATAATTATTCAGCTCTTCGTCCCACAAAACCAGCACAATGTCTCCAGTGTTGCAGCTTAAAATATAATTATTTACTTTTAGTAAGGGTGCGCCGAGAAAAAGAAAAATGCTTACGATCCAAATCTGAGAAGTCCTTCTTGGATCATGGCATTTGTACTTCGGCTCTGTTCAACAAATTTGCATTAATAAAGGTGTTGAAATGATTATTCGTGATTGATTACCAATCGATCTCTTATCCTGGTATCGTCTTGAAGTCTTCTCCTCGAAGATTCTGGACTTGTGGTTTGACCAATGTCTCCACGAGAGTGTAATCCAGCCTCTCTGAACATTCGTACAAAAAAATGGAGATTAATTCAATTGAAAAGAAAATAAAGTAAATTTTAATGATGAATATTTAAAGGGGTGAAGATATATCCACATATTACATTGCTGGTGCAAGGATTAATTAAGATGCTCATAAATAATGATATTAAATTAATTCACCAAAAATTAAAAATCATTCATTAAATAACTATAATTCAGTGTTAAGCTATGTGAGGGGGGTCATGCGATAAGCAGGTGTCAGGCACTCACGTTACAACAGCCACAGAGGCAGACATACTGTCTGAGCTAACATGCCTATGAGCTCTGCTGGTCCTGCGATGCTGCTGCAGCTGCAGCCTCCGAATGGTATCCTTGTGCTCGGCCAGATCCCTTTCCATTTTCTCCTGGTCCTCCTTCATCTTCTGAACAGAGTTTTTCAACTGCTCACTCTCTTTTCGCAGCGCGTCGAGTTGTCTGTCTTTGTCGGAGGCAACTCGGCGCAAAGCTTCGTTAAAGGCCACTTGCTTGGCCGCCTCTTGCCTCATCTGCCTGGCCCTCTCCCTGTCCAGTTCTGCCTCGAGACGCTTCCTCTCCCTGACAGCACCTTCTGCCACAGCGGCCTCTTGCTCGTCGGCCATTTCTTGGCGCAGTTTAGCAAGTGCGGCTTCGTGTTGTGCAACATCGATAAGATCCCCTCTCTGAAAATAAAAAACAATTGTATGAAGGTTTAAAATAGTAAATTAAATTAAGAAATTTTATTTAAAAATAGCTCGTAAATACCTCTATTTTTTCCAGACTTGTGTCCGAAGGACTCCTTTCCATCTGAGACGCATGGACCATTCTAAACCTTGATCTCAACCCTTCCAACTCCATGCGGTGCTCCCTATTTAGACGGTCAGTTACTTCCTTGACAGCTGCTTTCTTCTCCTCCTCTGCGTTTGTCAAGGTTTGCTCTAGCCTGGTTTGAGCTTCACCCTGCAATTCCGTCACATATCGCTGCAACTCCAGCTCGGCTTCACACCTCAGTTTAGAGCCTAGCGATTCAAGGGCCTGATGGAAACCAAACAAAATAAATAAAGAAATGAAAAAGTCATTTTCGAAACAAACCTGTGTGTGCTTGGCTTGTAAATCTGCACGCAAAACTCCCTCTTTGGTTTCGGCTCTTGCAAGTTCTTCCTTTGCTATTGTCAGATTTTGATCCCTCTCATGCAGGTGCTAAAAATTAAAAGCTGCCTCAGAGAATAAAATTTCACAGTTTGGAAGTACCTTTTTCAATGTGTTAATGGTCTCTTCGTGTTGCTGTTGCTGAGTGGTTAGCTTTTCTAGAGACTCTTTCTTAAACTCCTCGAAACTGTCACTCATGTCTTTGGAATGGACGCTAAGGAAATCTTTGAGACTGTTCAACTGCCCCTTAAGCTCTCTAGCCTCTGACAGGGCTGTGTTGGCCATGATCTTCAGGGTGCTTCTCATGTTAACCTCTTCCGAGCTAACACTTCCAAGGTTCTCCTGGATAAAGGGATAAAAAATTCAAAACTGTTTGCATCTTTATCGAAAGTGTAGCAATTAGAATTTCAATTTTGAAGCAACTTTGTAATCTTTGAATCAATAGGCATTCAAAAGTAAAATAAGCCAGGCAGCGCAGGTTGCCGATTGCAAAATAGCCACTAACAAAAATAAATTAAACGTTCTGTCGGCTTGCTGACCAAAATACCTGTAACAATTTAATCAAAGTTTCTTTCTCCTTAATTTCAGCTCTGAGCTGACTTATGCCCACTGATTCAAGGATGCTGCTCTCCACAGAGGCAGTCTGGGAGGTGTCTAAACTTCTGGCACAACTCGACGGTAGTGATTCGTCAATGTAAAAGTCGGTTGAGATGAATTTGTGTAGAGTGGAGTTAGGGGAGTGCAACTCGAGAAAATTTGCAGAGTGTAAATTTTCACCAACCTCTTTATCCTGCTGAATACTTGGCGTTGAGCTCTGCTGAGATGATGACTTGTCTGACGTTTGTATGAGACAAGGTGGGTTCTCCGATGGCTGATTTGGGTCGACAGGGCTTTGGCCAACCTTTTCAAACTCCTCCGTGTCCGTTTCAGACTCGAAGCCTCTGTCTTCTTTAGGAAGGGATGGGACGTCAATACTTGGTTGAGGGCTGAGATCGTGACCTGCAGAGCTGGTAGGTTGGAGGAGTGCCCCAATGGAGGAATCTGCTGCGTCTTGTGATGGGGTTAGGGCGTTCTAATAAAAATTAAAAAAATAAAATTGTGGAAATTATTTTCTAATATAAATTATACCTGCTCAGTTATGTTGCTCCTGAGCAGATTTGCTGAGAACAGAAGGTGGAAAGAAGAATCTGAGTAATCTGGAACTGCCGAGGCCAGCTCAGGCAGTTGTTGTTTTAATAGGCCTATATCCTCCCAAGTGAGCTAAAATTAAATAATTTTATGAGAATAATAATAAAAAAAACCGGTTTAATTTTCTTACTTCTGGTAATGCACTGTCAAATATTTTTGGAGGCTCCGTAGCAAAAGGTGGAGGTTCATCATCCAAGCCAGGAAACAAAGAACGGAGAAAGTGATTTTCGAATTGTGCCTGGAAAGCAGCTCGTCTCGCTGTTTCTTCCTTGTGGATTTCCTTCAGGTTTGCAGACAAATCTTGAGCCCACTAGAGAAATAAATGAATTGAAAAATTGATCATTTTTGTTGGTAGTCAAATCACCTTCAGAAAGGCCTTGGAAAAGGATTTCCTCCTCACAACTTCTCCTACCGCAGACATGTATATTTCAGGAGCAAGGTGAATTTGGTTGATGATATCGAGCCTCATTCTCAGGGCCTTGAGCCCTTCGTGGTAGATGAGCAGCTTGTGTGAAACTTCGTTCATATTGTTTTGAATGTAAACAACCCACCTGTAAAATAATTTTAATGAACTGATTCTGTAAATTCAGGACTAAGCTTACTTAAGCCGTTGATAGAGGTTAACGGAGAGTTCTTCCTTTGCCCGAGAGCACCTTCTCCTGATGTCTCTCAGATGCTGATGGTTTTTTAGCATCACGCAGAGCTGGCGGCCGTGTGAGTTGCACAAATCAGGCAAGATTGTTTCATCCCCCAGTTTGCTCACTCTCTGCTGATTTTGGAAAAAAGCCTAGGAGGAAAATTTCAATAAGAATCACGATTCATAAAAAATGAAGATTCAATTTACAATCGAAAGCTCTTCTTGTTCCTGGACAAACTTTTTGTTTGAAAACATTAAACTTTCCAGGCCAGAAAGTCGTTCCTCGAGGCCCCTTATTTCCTTCATGTCGGTGTTCGTGGCCGCCTGTACAGCTGCTTCAATATCAGCTTTCAAAGTGTCCAAGGCAGCAACGTCAAACTGCAGGATAAAAAAGAAATAAAATTCTTGTTCATTAAAAAACTTCTAAATTAAAATTACTTGATCTAGTCTACAGGAGCACTGCTCAGCAACTCGCTCTAAGTTATACTGATTATCTTTAGAGGCAATCCACTGCAAAAGCGAGGTCCCCTCACTGTCCGAATTCTCCTCATTTTCATCGCCCAGCAAAAGAGCAGGTATGACTGGGATTTTGCTCAGGATGTCAAGGTCACTTTTGAAGCTGCACAAAACGTGATCAGACTATTGATAAAATTCGTAAAATAAATATTCACTTTTTAATAAGGTTGAAGAAACTCTCTCGGTTCACTAGGTACTGGTTAAAGCTTTGCTCGAATATGTCTGCTTTGGTGCGGAACGCAGAGGTGATGTCTTCGAGATTTGCAACGACTGCCGCCCAGCCTGTTAGCAAAGAGCATGAGTAAATAAATTATACCGCTTGTTGCAAAAACCACCTTGCTGCTGGAGATGCTGATCGTGCACCAGTTGCTCACAGATTTTGGTCTGGTCGACAGCAAGGTCAAAAAACCTTTGAGCCAACTTTGTACGCTTGACCACTGTGTCGTAAGTGGCTGGCATCGCCAAGGAAAACTTCACTTCGTCATTCATATCAACATCTGAATTTGGAGAAAAATTTTAAATCAGTGAAGTTTTGAAATTAATTGGAAAAAGATCGGACCTGAGCCGTAGTTAACACTGGGGGAAGGTGGTGTTTGGCTCTCGATGGTTGTTTTGCTGAACAGGAAAATTGGATTCGTGTCAGTGCCTGCTGCTGAATATTGACACACCCTGACGTTGCCCTCCAGGCTCTCGCCGCCACTGACAAGAAGGACTTGTTTGTCAGCTGGAATTTTGCACATTCGGGCGATGACCTCCTTCAACTGCCCGACACTAAAATGTTACCAATCATGAGAATTTTCTTTTTAATTCATTTTTTAAATCATACCTCTCCAGGGCTAGATTCATGTCGAAGGTCATCATAGTGCCCGTGTCGACGTGAAACACGTACAACATTTTGGCGGCTTATTTGTGCGACTTTTCACCAGATATAGTTGCTGGGGTCGACTCCGGTCGAGTCAGCCATCATCCACTTGCGATCTGATGATGGGCAGCTCTGCAAAAAATACACGACTGTGAGACTACGACGCAAAACCTTCTTTTCTGTTGCTTGTTCGACCAAAGAGTTTTTTTGCCTTATCGCGCATTATTTTCTTCGTTTCAAAAGTTTAATACGCAGCTGCATGTGCAGTTAATATCGCACATACTCTAATGGCACGCTCAGCAATATTTGTTTTCACCTTGCACGATATTTCATCACAGAACACAACGCACAGTAAAAGGAGTGCCAAGGTTTTGCAAGTGTTTCTGCAGGTGCGAAATCGATTTTGCAAAAACTTTAAATTCACTCTGACGAGGGAAACATTTTCTTTGGCTTATCATTGAATCTAAAGAGGGTTTACTTTTGAACTCACCGAGGGGAAATTTGGAAAATCGAGCGTTGATTTCAGGCCCATAATAATTTCTGCATTATCTCCTCTCTCTCTTGTTACTAGCAGGGCTAAAACAGCTGTTTGCGTATTTTTTTTACGCAAACGCAAAACTTGTTACAGCGACGTTCACTTGATGTAGCTGTTTGTTTACTGTAAGGGTGGGGGGTGGAGGGGAATCGCGCGAAAGGCGAAACTCGTGGTGTTTGTAATAAGAGAGGGGAAAGAGACGTATTTCTCATCCCCTCCATTAAAACTAGGCGTTGCATTCTCTCGCTCGTGCTGTCGCTTCTCTAAAATTGCTATGTTTTGTGTGTGAAGACAAAGTTCGGCTCGACAATCGATCTATTTATTCGTTGAACACAAACTTAAACTTTATGTCCTCAAAATATCTGAGGATTTAAATTTCTACATAACTTTTTTTTAAATAGGAAAAACTGCCACAAGTTCGGAGATCTTCCACGGCGTGAATTTTAACCTTCCGGTAAATTACAAAACACAAAAGAAAATTGCCTTCAACATTATTAAGTTGTGTAAATAATTATTTTTTAATTTTTAGTCTTAAAATTAAATTATATATCATTATCATTTAAATATTTTAGACAATGGCCACTCCAGCAAAAAGGCCGTGCTTGGAGTCCGGCGAGGAATCGTCTGCAGAATCTTCAGGATCGTCTTCTTCTAGCTCTGTCTTTGTGGCGCACACACCAGAATGCCGAGGGACAATAGAAGAGGCAGATGCTCTGGCGAAGAATTATTTAGAGAGTCCTAATGAAAACAAAGCCAGTTTAGGTTTGCCCTGAAAATTATTGGTTGGTCAAAAAATAATATCTTAATTTTTTAGGGAGTTGCCAACTCCTGCCAGCAGCTGTGAAAGCAGGACATTTCAACTGCATCGAATCGTTACTCGACGCTGGAATCGACGTCAACGACGAGTACTGTTGTTCTGAGAGGAATTCATCTCACCACCCTCACCAGTTCAGCTTTCCGAAAACGTCATTGATCACAGCGATCCACAAGGGACGACTCAACATAGTCAAACTGTTGGTCTCTCGAGGGGCCCTGGTTAACCCTTTGCAGAAGGACGACATCGAAGACTCATTGTTCAGATACCCTCTTTTCCACGCTCTGAACAGGGACAACACAGAAATGGTGGCTCTTCTCCTCGAACTTGGCGCCGATCCAAATAAGTAGGTCAAATTTCTCACTTTTTGGTTTTCCATAATCATGATTGCTCTAAATTTTTGGATTATCTTTAAAGGGTCTTCTAAATTTTTAAAATTAAATTATATCAATGAATAATGAATTTTTTTTAAACATTTTAATTAATTTGTATGCTAATTTGTAACAATTATTTACAATATTTATTTTAATGATTTTAAGTTCAAATTAAAATATTGAAAAATGTTAAAAATTGTGTGTAAAATTAAACGTGTACTTTATTTTCAATTTAAAGAGTAATTAAAAATTTTTCAGACATCCCGAGAGCCAATACGGATGCTCATTTGTTGAGCTGGCGCTGCAGACGGGCCGCAGAAGTATTTTCAAAATGCTAGTGGAGCACGGAGCCCGCGTTACAAAGCCATACAACTACATGGTCTCAGCAATTAAACGAAGGGACATGGACACGTTCAAGTGTCTGGTCAAACACGACGCCTTCCTCAATCTGCACAAGCACTTCACCCACGATGACAAAGGTGGCCCCGAAAAAGTTTTTCAGCAAATGATCAAAGCCCACGAGAACGCGCCTGCCACTTTCACAAGACACAACGTAAACACTTTTCTAAAAATGTTCAGAGTTTTGGGTTTCAACTTCTGGTCAGAGGAAACCGAGAGTTTACTGACAGACTTGAGAGCCTTGAATATGTTCGATATTTTGGAAGACGTCGAACAAGTACGAAAGCAGCCGTTGTCTTTGAAGGAGACTGCGAGGATTGCGATCCAGCGAATCGTTGGAATTCACTTGCCGATGAGAATCAAGCACATGAATTTGCCGAAAGTGCTGGAGAAGCATCTCAGATTCACGGATATCGATGCCATTAACCTGCAGGACAACCTGCCAAAAAACACAATCATGCTGGCTGGAGGACAAAGACAAGTTTTGATTTTCCACTTCCCAACCATGCAGTAAATCTGTCAAAATTTATCTTTGTTCCCCCTTTGTTCATAATATTATAAATATACAATATATCTACTATCAATATGGCAACTTGACATATTTTGTTGATCTTTTGGAGAACTGCATTTGTTTCTTGTAATCACCAAGCTTACTCTGGCATTATTAATGATGAGGTGAACTAAAACATTGTTCCTAGAGTTATGTCGAATTACAATATTATTTATTTGTTTGTCGATTATAAAAATATTAATTTTTGAAATTAAATCCTCTGCATTTTGTTTTACTATTAAAATCTGCCACAACTAAGGATTTGCCAGAGACTGATTTATCCAGTCCAGATATTCGGAAATTCTTGTGTAAATTTCTGGCCTCTTGGGATGAGGACAGTCGGCCGATGGCTCCGCCACTCCGACCAGTGTCGGCGCGTCATCTGCGTCTAAGATGACTCTCAAACCAGCTCCACTTTCCCCCTGCAACATTACTTATAATTAACGAGGCTGTAAAAGGAATTAAGAGTTTTCAAATGGAAGGCTCAAGACCTACAATGCATAAATCTTCAGTTGCTTCAGAACACATTTGGTAGTGATCCAAATTGTACGGCACAGGCAAAAGCTGTTTATAATAATTTTTGCACGCGGTTTGATTAGAAATGGTCACATTCACGTATTGAAGCAGTTTGTTTTGCATCGCTGAAAAATCAACATAAAATGTAAATATGACTATATCTAGAATAACGAGATCAACCTTTACCTACTGCGCCCCATCCAGCTACCACTCCTTCCTTGTTGGTCAAGTCAGTTTTTGCTTTACTCTTTTCAATCAGCTTGATTTTTGAAATATTTTGTCCTATAATATAAAATTTAAATTTGGAATTTCTTAATAATATTTTTTGAATTACCATCTACTTTAAAAGGCTCCGACAGTAAAATTATAGCAATATCGTGCTCCAAGACGGTTTGCAGTGGGTAATATCTGAACAATGGGTGAATCTTAATGGTCTTCGCTTTCACGGATGCACCCTGCATCCTGTCAATGTTTCCAGCCACAACGCTCACTTCCTCGGGTTTTAATTCAGGTATCCTTTATTTTCATTGTCATAGGGAATTATTTATTTGGTTAAATTTTTAAATTAATTACGCTCCCAAACAGATTGCCGCAGTAATTACTGCATCCTCGGCAATAATTGAGGCAGAGCACATAAACTGGCCGTCAAGAAACACGGCTGCTGCCTCAGGAAATTGACCCTGTTTTGCGAAACTTTTTCTTGATATCTGAACAGCATTATCTGCTAAAAAAGGAATTAAATTCTGATTGCATGCTGGGTGCAGATTAAATATGACGAGAAGGATTTATAATTTATTGTGCATTATTACTTGTTTCGTCAGGGGGAAACTCGGAAGTAGTGCTGATGCTGAGCTCATCGTCGGCAACTGCACTTTCAGCTTCAGCTCTCTAAAAAGTAAAGTAATATGTATACGTTCGCAGTGTAAGACTTGTTAATAATTATTAAGGAATTAAGGATACGCGTTCAGACATTCACTTATTACGTACAATGTGGTGCTTAAATATAATAATATATTAATATTGAAAGGTAGAAATCCGATTTCCTGTATAAATAGGAAATCTTTTAATAATTTCGTGTTATTATTTTTAATTTTAGAATTGCCATTTAAACTCACCAAGACCGAGGAGTTTGCAAAAAGACCAAAGTTGAGAATTACCACAAAAATTAAAAACAGCAATTTTTCTTTCATGATTGGAGCGGATCGTCAACGACGCGCGGCGGGCTTTACACGGAGAATGCGTTCTAGTAGTTAATTCAATCATCCTACACAAAAGGCCGATAAGACGCACAAATAGACCACACATTCATGCTTCTAAAATTTTGTATCGAACGTCTCGGGAAGTGCGTGCAATTGTACAGCAACGTCAAAACAAAGAATAATATGTCAATGCCCTTTCCAATAACCCAGCGCATTAAGCGTAGTAAATGAATATTTATTTTTAATAACTCATTGCACTTCAGCAATTTCTCAAAAGTAATGATTTTGCTATTGCATCGTTTATCCCGCTTTTGTCAATGAGTGAGTTCTGATTTGGATTAAAACAAATAATAAAAAAAATATATTCAATTGAAATGAAATCTATTTCATGAAATCCACATCGAGAGTTACCATTCGATTCAAAAATTAATTATATTAAATAAATAATTATGTTTCAGAAACGAAAAATACAATAAATCATATATCATTTTTTGCAGATTTTTTGTTTAAATCAAAGAAGACTATTATCGAAGTAACTTATAGTTTTCATTATTATTATGAGAGTATTTCTTTCATTTGCTTTTTATATGTTTTTATGCTGCTCACTGCACACATAACAGTTCAAACGACTCCATACAAAGTGCATGTGTTAAATAGGCTATTGCAAAGTACGCATGCAAAGATTTTTATCTAGGCCGCGCCTCGCAGTCACAAAGGAATTAAAGAATGTATCCTTTGTAATAAACCGAAAAATATGTGTCAAATACACCGATGCTTTTATTATGACGTGTTAATGAACGACTAATTTTATTTGAATTCATCATGATTCAGCTGATTTTTCTTTTTATTATACGCATCAACAGGAAGAATGCATCCTGGAACTTTTCCTTGTTGGTACCGGGGTCGTGATGGCGGTCAGGATCTATACTATAATGACGACTGACAAGGAATTTCAAAACTAATTTAAAAAAAAAACTGCGCATAAACATATTTTGAAATTATTTTGCACCGTGAAAAATAAATTAAAAAAAAAAAAATCTTCAAGACGCTTTAAAATTGTAATTTGCAATGAGAGATTAAATCACACAAGGTTCTCGCGGCGGCAATTCGATACACTATTTAGCGAAGTTTCGCACTCGCGCATGCACCTTTGCCGTGCTCTGTGCAGAGAACCGCGTGCCAGTAGCTTTCTCTGCGTGGAGGGGCCCTTGAGAGAGAGAGAAGAGAGCAAGAAGCGCAAAAAAGGAAAGATGTGGTCCGAGGATTGAGGCCTCTGCAGTCGACACCTCACCTGCGCCCTGAAACAATCACCCGACCGTACACGTCTTTCTTCCTTTCCAACATGCACCAGGTAATTGACCTCGCTTTTTATTTTCCAAGGACAATTTCTTATCGTTTTTCGTTCTCCTCGGAAATTTCAACGCAATTAGGTGATAATTTTTGTGTGGCGTTTTCCGCTCTGGAAAATGAGAGCGGCCGGAAATTTTGTTGCGATAAAAAAGCAATTAACTAGCAAACCGAGGACGCTTACGTGGTTAAAAAAATTAATTATATTCTGTTTAAAAAGCGGCGTAAATTACTCAAAACTAAATTATTTCATAGCTAAGCTGTTTCAGGAAAAAAGGAGATCACTTGACGTTAGTTGCAAATAAAATTATATAAAATATTTTTCTTGTACAAGAACTTTAAAGCTTGTAATATATTGTTGCACTTGTGGGAAAAAAGTTAAGAGTTAAGATATCTTCAAAAGAAAGGGACTGCCGCTGAGTACATAAGCTCGCAGGAGAAAAAGTGTGTCGGCCCCCGAGCTGAATAAGAATGTGATTTTCAATAGCGTCTTGAATACGAGCCAGGGTATTTTATTTACTATCCAAATAGAAACACTTTCTTAATTTTTTGGTGTATTCAGGAAAAAAAATGGATTAAATGCTAATACTTAAAAAGAAAAGGCATAATGAAATATTATAAATCAAAATAATAACGGAAAGTCTCAAATTTTTTCATTAAAATTACCGAAATAAAAAGGAAATATTTTTAGAGCAGCGCTTGTTTTTGAATTGATCTTATTGACTGCCTCATTAAATATTACATCTAAATATAACAATAAGTATTTTTTTTTCTTGTTCATTAAATTTGGTTGCACACTAGGACTATAACTGATAGAGCAGTTTTGTTTTTAAATTAAAATTTTATTTCTTAGAGGAAAACAAGCTCAATTTTTACAAGATAAAAGTAGCTGTAAAATAATGTAAATTTAGTTAGTTTATAATTAATTATCAAATATGTTTAATTAACAGGAAAAAAATGAAGTGAATTTATTCTTTTTTCACAGAATTTCTGCGTGAAATACACTATAATTTTAAGTCACTTCAGCCCAGCTTGATTGTAACTCTACTATTTTAATTTTTTTTATACTTTACTCATTTTGATTTTATGATGAAATTGATTACAGCAATACATTAAATTATTGTACCGTCATAGAGTGAAATTAAACACTTTCATAGATAAAGAAAAACGCAGGTCCTGGACACTTTTTGACAAATAGGCGAAAGTGGAGTTCATCAAAGAGCGGTTTTCAGATAATTGGGGTTTTTACTTTCTTCAATTTCATTCCGCAAACATTTCAACGTCAGCGAGAAAGTGCCGGTGCAGAGCAGATATTTCCATTACAGTTGACATTGATGAATAAAAAACATGGAGATTAGGAATTGTTAATTGCAATTAAGTCAGAAAAAGGGGAGTTCAAAATGTGTGTCACTAGCCCAAGCAGAAAAACGAGATCCAGTCCTAGCATCTTTATTTAGCGATTCGGAGCAAAATCCTCTCTTGGCTAGGAAAAAGAGGAAGCCGGTTTCTAGGCTCGTCCGTATATAATTAATCAATAGGAAAAATTGCCTCGCATGGTGCACAAACACACTTTGCGGCGGAATGCACGTGAAATGGAAAGACAGGTTTTGCAGCTTCGCTAGCGAGAGATCTTGTTTGTAAATGCACGATAACTCCGGCGCATTTACGAGAGTGATTTGCCCGATGATCCGACCCGAGGCGGTCAAGAAAGTATCCGGCGCTGCTCACTTTCTCTCATGGAGCAATGTCAAGGGCGCCGCGAATGCCGCTGCTTCATCAGGTTTTTGCTACAGCGTTTTATAAAAAAAAAAAAAACGCAGGCAGCTTTAAAATTGTTGGACTCGACTTTTCTCTCTTTGTTAATTCGTGGGAATCTGAAACGGCGAGCATGACTTGTTTGTTAAAATTAAGACGGGTCATTGGAACGACAATATAATATGCGCGTCTCATGTGACGCGGAAAAAGAAATGCATTCGCAAAGGAAAAGAGAGATTCACCGTGGTGAGCTTATAATAATTATGCTTTCTATCCTCTGAGAGAATCATTCTTTTGCACTCACCAGCAATATGAAATTCAATCTATTTTGCAGAAAGAGACAAAAATTATATTATACAATTCATATAAAGTTCTGCTACTTAAACTACACAAAAAATAATTTTTGTTATCTGTGAACACATTAAATTATTTTTCCTAAAAACTTTAAACACAGGTTATAAATTCCAACCACTGATTTTTATTATTACATGCATAATAATTTTTTAGCAAAACTATTTCAGCAAATTTTTGTTCTAGTAACAATCAAATAAAATTGTTTATTATATTATTATTAGTACTAATATTAAAATATTGCTACTTTTTTTATAAATGAGTGGCTTGCTAGTGGTTTGGGTGAACTTTTCATTATCAAAATAACAATTATAACTGCTCGTCAGTCCAATCAGGCGTGACCAACGCACGCTCTCCTCAACCAACTGAAGCAGAACACTGTTTTTTTTTTCAAAACACTTATAAGTGCCACAATTTAAGCCTTATTAAGGATGTGATTTATGGTGAAAATTGTCATTAAATTATTTAAGTGCAAAATTTAGTATGAACCGAAACATTCAAATAATTGTTTTCAACAATAAAATATGGATTTCAATTCATTTGTTTTCGTCATATTGCACAAAAGTTTTAAATTTTTGCACTTCTTTTCAAGAGAGCATTATTTAAATTGTAAAAAGTGTTAAGTTTAAAAGTAAAATTGTAAATAGTGAAAAACTAGTAAACTATGATCAAACCTTTTTGCAATTGTTAATTTTTTCGTTTCAATATTGTGAAGTTTTTAACAAAGTGCTGCACTTTCAATTTTTTTTTTTTATTATGCGGTGGCCATCAATTTTAGCGCAAATAAGAGCTGATCTCAGCTTTTCAGATGCAGGCTTTAGTAACTTACTTATTTTCCATATAAAAGTGGAACATGATTTTGACACATTTCTTTTAGATTAAACTTTAAAATATGTACTAATTTTTTAAATATACATATATCTTTCAATTGTTCATTTTTAAGGGGGAATTAGTGTGGTTAGAGTTATTGGAAACCCTTCTTTTCATATCTGCTTTCCCAAATATTAAAAAATTTGTGAACTTTTTTTCAAATGAATCATCTCCTCTGGCCTCGCGAACTGCGCGGCGCGCTGCTCTGAGCATGCAACTCTGCGATCTGGAGTTTTGGCTAATAAATCTTTCTATACGCCCTTCAATCCGTTTTTAGTGGCATCAATCGAAAGATTAATGATTTTGGTAACAGAAAATGTTCATAGTAGCACATATTCGTCGATAGTAATTAGCCAGGAGTTCAAAAACTATATTTATTTTGCCGTGTGATCGAACAATATTGAGTTTTCTCAGTGAATAAATTGAAAGCGGTTATATTTTAATGTTTTAACCGGTAGCCTATACTCTCAACTGATTTTTCGTACCCAGAAATATTCCTTTTGCGTGTCCTAAGTAGGAAATAATCGGTTTTCTTTTAGTGAAAGTGCGGTGAAAAATCGGAATAAACATCCACTTGGCAACACCGCATTCGTTTTCTCGCTTGCTCTTCTTGCCGGCCGCCCCGTTTCATTTTGTGGAGGGGAGGCCTGCCGTCGGGCAAGAGCCGCTCGTTTTGATAGACTTTTGCGCGAATGCAATATTCTTTTATAACGCGTTATATTTAAGTATTCAAAATTTCAGCGTTGAAAGAAAATTGAATCATGTATATTTTGATATGCTTGTTTTAAATTAATTTTGACTAGGAGCGGAGTTATTAACGTTTCCGCGAGATTTTTGTTTTTTTAATTTAAAAATTAGAAAAAAAATTTTAAACATAAAAACCCTTGATGAAAAATGTTGCCAATTAAATTTCCTACAATTTCTTTCACAGGCTTGATGACGTCAGAATTTTTATTACATATGTACGGAAGGCTCAAAGTCAAAATATAATTTTTTAACATAGAAAAAAATTTTTTAGAATTTTTTTGAGATAGCCAATCGATTGGAAATTTAATTTTAACCCTGGAATTCAAATTTCATCAAAAAATATTCAGCCGTTTCAAAATGAGAAAGTTATATTTGATGGCACCTCAAACTGCTTTTGAAGACGAAGGCGGCATCAAAGCGCTCATGAGAAAGCAAGCTGCAGCTTAAAAACGGCTCAATATTTTTTCATGAAATTTGAATACCAGAGTTAAAATTAAATTTCCAATCGATTGGCTATCTCAAAAAAATTCTAAAAATTTTTTTTCTATGTTAAAAAATTATATTTTGACTTTGAGCCTTCCGTACATATGTAATAAAAATTCTGACGTCATCAAGCCTGTGAAAGAAATTGTAGGAAATTTAATTGGCAACATTTTTTATTAAGGGTTTTTATGTTTAAAATTTTTTTTCTAATTTTTAAATTAAAAAAACAAAAGTCTCGCGGAAACGTTAATAACTCCGCTCCTAGTCAAAATTAATTTAAAACAAGCATATCAAAAAATACATGATTCAATTATCTCTCAACGCTGAAATTTTGAATACTTAAATTTAACGCGTTCTGAAAAAATATTGCATGTGCTCAAAAGTCTATCAAAACGAGCGGCTCTCGCCCGACGGGGGCGTCGCTGGTTGCCACCAAATGAAACGGGCCAGCGGCAAGTGTCGTTTCGGCCGCGTACGTGTCGGCGGCGCACTAAAACGCAAAATAAATGTCACCAGCCGATTCTGCAGTATGTTTTACGTGATTAGTGCATTCCCAGAGCTCAGAAAAAGCAAATTGATGGACTCGATCGCGTGCCGTTTTCGCGCCTGATTTTAAAACACGAGCTACAGCGCCACGCGCGGCGAGACTTATGAACTAATCTACCACACTAATTCCCCCTTAAAAACAAATTTACTGACATTCAGTTAAAAAAGTACTTTTCCATCAATTGATATTTCGTTTTTTTTTTAATTGTTATTATTATTATTAAATGCCAACGTGGCTTGCCTGTGTTTGGTTTTCTGGGTGAACTTTATTATCAAAGTTACAATTAACTGCTCGTCAGTCCAATCCGGCGTGACCAACGCACGCTTTCCTCAACCAACCAAAGAAGAGCACGTTTTTTTTCCATTTTCTTGAGAAAGCACTTAAAATAATTGCCGGCATTTAAAAAGTCTTATCACTGACGTGATTTATGATGACAGTTGTCCAATTATCTTGAAATTGCATGATTTAAAGAATAGAAATGAAAAAATAGTACTCTAAATTGAAATGACAGAAACATTTTATTTTTAAGTATTCATTCCTCAACAATAGGAATGTTATAAAATTTCAATCCACCTTTTAATCATACTTTTAACTTGAAAATTCCCAACATTATTTAACTTTTATGCACTTGGAGTCGAAAGAGTCTTTAAAAAGTTGAAATTAAAAAAGATCCAATTTTTGGAGTAAAATTTGAACCAATGGAAAAAAGATACCAGCTTATTACTTCCAATTGTTGATTTACGCATGTTGTTGTTTATACATTGTAAATATTGTCATTAAAATTCGAAAGTTTTAGAAAGAAAATAAATGTTTGAAAATATTAAATATTGGTGCTAAAAGGCGCTATTCTCTGCTGCTCTCAGCATCTCATTTTACTCCATCACATGTAACAAAAAAAATTCTTATTTCATGCAGAGTGGGTCAATTTTATTTTAAAGCTGAGTAATTAAAATAAATTTAAATTTATCATGTAAAAAATTTCTTCCTTACAATTAGTCATAAAAATAAGCTTAGTTTTGGTATGATGGCAACAGTACATATATTTATATTTTTCTATTTATTGATACATTTCATTTTTTTTACTGAATGCCACCGTGGATTGCCTGTGGTTTGGGTGAACTTTATTATCAAAGTTACAATTAACTGCTCGTCAGTCCAATCAGGCGTGACCAACGCACACTTTTCTTGACCAACCAAAGCAGAGCACGTTTTTTTCCTTTTTCTTGAAAAAACGCTTAAAATAATTGCCGGCATATAATTCTTATCACTAAAGAGAGCAGCTATGGTGACAACTACCGTGAAATTAATATAGAGGAAAAAACATTCCTCTGCTTTTAAACGTAGAACGAAAGAAACACTTTCATTTCATGACTTTTTTAGAGCTTCGAAATTCAATTTCAATATTACATACAGCTTGCACTTTTACTTGCTGCACTCGCTGCACAACAAGAAGTAAAACCTGTTTAAGTGAAGAGAGTGAAAAAGCCAATGATCTCGACCCTTTCACTACCCCATTCAATACGATTGTAACGCAGAGATTTCAGCTGATCTTCCGGCATTATTGTGCTCTCTGAGAAAGTCGAGTGTGTGTCGTTAAATAAATTACAGCTGGACGCAGATTTTCAATGAGAGAGGCGTGAAATCAAATGCGGAGCTTTCGTTTGATACAAATCTTGTAATAAGCAAAAAATAATCGTATACTACAGGAAATAATAAGCTGCGATGACTCGATGTTAATACTATAAAATTAGTGCAAGTTCCGAAGTAAAAGTGACCAGTTGTTGTTGCGTGCGAAGCAAATAAACGTTTATTCCACTTAAATCGCGGCGTAATATGAAATAACACGCGCTATTATGCATTCGGTTTAAAAGTAATACAACTAAACTTTTGCGGCGGTGCAAAACGGCGAAAGTAATTTATTGATCACGCTTCAGCTGTTTGCCGCTCTCAATCCGCCTCGCGCGCGCGTCTTGCTAATTACACACGCCGCAAAGAAAGTGCAAACACAAAGCGAAGGAAACGACGGGATTCACAGATTGAGAGCACAAAGCTCGTTTGTCGCATCCTCTCTCTTCCCTTTTGTGTTCCCCTAATTTTGACAATAAAAAAAAATTATGAATGTTTTTTTAAATCAATTTACTTAATGAAATGAGCACAAAAATTTGAGGTTTTCTCTTGTTTTATTTGCGAGAATCATTTGGAGTCGCTTTTAGCCAGACTATTAAAATGGTTCAGTGGGTCCACGATTCTGGATTTTACGCGTGTTTCACTTCACGCACTTCGGGCATTACTTTTAGATGTGAATAATTTGAATATTAATGCGAGGTCGGCTAGATAGTCAAATTTATAACAAAGCATGAAAATGACTGTGGATAATTTCAAATGGGACGAGTCGTGAGCAGACGCGAAAGTGTGTAGATTAGCCAGACGGAGATGCACATTAAGTGTTAGAAAGCAAAGCTGTTTTCTTCAAAACCAATTGAGACTCTTTAGATTAGTAATTCATTAAAAAGGAGTAAAGATATTAACAAAAAATAGTTTTTGAATATCAAATTGGACTAAATCTTCAAGTTTAAAAATTTTATAAATAAAAAATGAATTAAAATATTTGTCAATCTATTGCCCAATAAATAAATTAATACTTTTGTCAATGAAAATAATAATGCGTAAATTTTATTACAACAAAAATGCATCTGTCAGCTGCTTAAAAAACAAATATTATTCATAATAAAAAATAAAAAATTAAACCAACAAATTCCTTTGGGGAATCTGTTTTTATGAAACTATATTTATTAAGGTAGTGCATGAGTCCCTAAAAGGTTGAATAGTTCGTTTATCAATATTGAATCAGCGAAAACTGGTTAGAAATTTGGTGGCACACATTTTCCCAATTGGTTGAATGTTCCCTCAAATTATGAGATCTTAAGTGGCTTGAGCAGCCACAGGCAACGGCGCATGCAAGCTGCGACAGAAAAACGAAAGTCATTAAAAAGTATAAGAAAAGGAATATTTTATAAAAATAATTAATCAGAGAAAAACTGTATTTACGACACATATAACTTTACCTTTTCAAAGTTTGATTTTTTTTAATACGCATCATTTGATCAGTGATCAATTTTAAACTAAAATACTCTAATATTCTATATTTTTGTTATAAGAACGATGAAATTATTGGAGGCTTATTACATTTCCTTTTTAATAATCAGGAATAGCAAAAGAAATGGTTGGAATTAATTATTGTTTACTTTTATTCCCTACAGTTGTCCCGAACAATTGGTGTTATCTGCAGCCTTTTCTGGATATTATTCTCGAGCAACGCGGCGCCTCAAGGAGGAAATGTGGAGCACCACTTCAGGTATTATTTGCCGATGTCGAGACGTCTTCCATACTATGATGACGTTGTGCTCAGCTTTCAGTAAGACACAAAAAATTAACGCCCGTCACAAATTTGCACGGCACGTATTTGTGACTTCTACATGTTCACATATAAAAATAAACAACAAAAATAAAGCACAGCACATGAAACTGTTAGAAAAAGATTTTACACGCGGCAAATTTATCGTTTAATAAAAAAATTCACATTTAAAATCATCATATTGGAGCATTTTTTGTTGAAATAGTTTATAAATTTAAAAAAATGACATTGAAATATTTTAATTTTATTTCAGCCCGCCTGCAGCATTCTTGAAGAGTGTCCCCAGGTCCCGTCTTGACATGGCCCCCAACGCAGCGCCCTTCCAAATGTCACCCCTGAAAAATCCTCTTTATCTGCAAAGCCTCATAAGCTCGGCCTCGAACAAATTGGTTCAAGGGATGTTCTCGAAAAGATTGGACATCCCCAACTACCTCACACCACCTGGAGGTCATCTGTTGCCACCTGGTGCCCAGGTGGGCTTCCGCAACTACCCTGGAAACCCTTTGGCGCCGCAAATAGCACCCCCTGGACCTGGTTATCCATTCTTGCCCCAGCAAATACCCGCCTTGCCTCAAGCGGCCCCTCAAGTCGGTTCGCCTCCTTCTGGGCAGCACTTGACCCAAAAAGAATTCCAGCAGTATCTTAAGGCGGCCACAGCTTCAAAGGGCAACACCGAGGAAGAATATTTGACGCAGGGCGAATTTCAAAAGTATTTGAAACTTGCCGCTGACCAAGGAAAAAAGCATAAGGTATATTTATTTTTAACTTTAAAATAAATTAAAAACATTTTTTATATTTTAAATTGCTACAGGATCAGCGTCACTTGAGTCCTGAAGAGTTCCAGGATTATGTCTTGCAAGCACAAGACGCCCGTCAACAGGAGCTCTTGAAAAGTGGCAAAGGCAAGCCCGGCAAAATAAAAACTCTGACGCCTGAGGACTTCAAAAAGTTCTTCGCTAAGGAAAAATTGCCCAACGGGGCACCTACAGGGCAAAAGAAGCACAAGAGAGGTCATTACTCCTCATCCTCAGGGTCTTTCACCTCTTCTGGGTCGCAATCGTTCTCTGAATACCCACCTCAAAAATACACGCCCGAACATCCACCCAAATACGAGTCTGAGCCTGCCCCCGAAGCTTATCCTGACTTTTACCCCGCTCACCAAATAGAAACTGTAAGTCTATTATGCAAAATTTAATGAGTCAATAGGAATAGGGAAAAACAAAACAAAAATGATTTACGTAATATTTTTATATTTATTAATTCAAAAAGTAATTCAAAATTATTTAATTCAAAATTATTTTTCTTGACCAGTTATTAAACGCCATCTTTTATAAGTACAATTTTTAATTAAATAAGTGGATAAAAGTATTTTATGTTTCAATGTATAAAACGTTTAATGTTTATGAAATATTGTATTTTAAGAAGCAATGTGAAATAATGAACAAAATTTGCTTTACATTTTTTTATATAATTTAAAAAAAAAGGAAGAGGGCATTTTATTTACAAGAATCCTTGAAATTTTGTCAAATTTTGAAGTAAAAATGTAGATTAACATGCGAAATTTTGTGCGACAGGAGGACCAAGCCACGAAAAGATCGGTGCTTGACGCCCTGTGGAGAGCCTTCCAGGCCATCACAGGCGGTGCCCTGACTATTGGAGGCCACATTGCAAAAGGAGGGGGTGCTCTGCTGGAAGCTAAGGGCAAGTTGATCGCGAGCGCGGGGCCAGTGGTGTCCGACTTTGGACGGACAGTTGCTGCCAAAGCGGTAGCTTCTCCAAACTACTCCCCATCTTATGTAAGTAAAAATACAGGTCAAATTTATGGAATGGGACATTTTAAATCTTCTTTTATTTTATTTAATATTCTTCTTGACCTATTATTAAATATAAATTATTCTTAATATGGAAATTCTTGCAGCACGGCACACCATACAATTACCACGACTTCCCGGTAGAGAGCCACGGACCCCAATCGTCTCTTCTTCAGACAGCGTACGACGTGGCCTCCTCGCTCAAGGTGGCCGCTTTAGGCACAACAAAAGCGGTCGCTGACCTCATTTCGGAGCTGTCGAGTGCTTCCGCAAAGGCATATCTCCTCAAGGAGTAACTCTCGGTTAAAAACGCCCTTCCCTCTTTAAATTAGGGACGTAATTACGTGAAGTGTCATTGAATTCTCTTGAACGAAATTATTTAAAAATGTATACAACTATATTTATTCACTCCATGACCAATATATTATAAAGCTTTGAAATCGCGTGATTGGCCGATATTGTGAAAGTGGCTTTTGGATTAATTTTTCATCTAGTCATTTCTTTTTATAAATTAACAAAGTCATTATGCACTATTGCTCTGTTTTGTTTTTCCAGAGAATTGTGTTCATTAATTTTGCTCCACATATTGTTGCGTGATTCGTGTTTGCTGTTATTTGGTGTAGTTTAATAGAATAAAAAATTATTTTAAGGTGTTGTACAATTTGTTTGCTTTATTTTCGAGTTGTGTAATCTGCAGCGATAGTGAAGATTTAAATTTAATATTTTATTAAATAAAAAAAAACTATATTTTAACAGGAATTAGAATTAAAAACCATTGTGAGAAGACAAAATTTTATTTAAAATTAGTTATGTAAAAATTAATGTAGAAAATTACATAAGCAAAAGAAGTTAAAAAAAATCAACCATAATGACATGATCAAAATGCAGTTTTCAATTTATTTAATTCACCAGTGTGGCGCTATATTGAGAACCTTTTTTTATAACACAATCAGTTTATAAGGGGTGTCGCAATTTTTCATTCTTCAACATTTTTATAATAATTCCATTAAAAATGACTATATTAGTGATAGAACAGCTATATTAAGTTCATTTAAATACTAATTTAATTAACTTTGAGTGATAATTATTATTAATTTTAATTTAAAACTATATTCTCAGTACATATTTTCCAACATTGATTTAAAATGCGATTTTCAGCCATGAATTTGTGATATTTGAGTGATTAAAAATACAAATGCCATGTTATTTTGTGACGGTGCAAAAATTCTACTAGTTGCAGCCTAATCTCACGAGCTCACAATGCGTGGGTAATCGGCCATAAAAGACGGTGGTGCACCACTTGTAGATGTTGCCGTCTTCCCTTGTGCACCGCAGGCTAACGCTAGCTGCAACGAAGATTATTTCAAATATCTACCAGTTTTGGTCTGAGCAATAAATGAAAAATAAACTGATTTTTTTTTTAACTAACGATCATCCTTTTTTTGAATTATATACTCACTAAATTTAGCCCATTTTTGGCCTCCGGTTGATGAGTGTGACCGCTGCATAACAGAAAAGATTCGACATATTATTTTGCAAAGCTTGTCGTTTGAAAAATTACCATAAAAGCACTTCTGGCGCTGTTTGCCTCAAGTGCGCTGGCCACAACAGTCAGTCCGAATACTGCAAAGATAACCCACGATCAGTGTCTCACGTGCAAAAAACACCTGACAAGTATTTACCAGAGATCAGAGCGAGGAGAAATAGCCCACCTACAGGGAACATCAGGCAAAATATTTTCATTTTTTGAAGAGTAAAGCAGCTTGCGTGAAAAATCTGCGTGTTTCAAGAGTTCATCTTGTTTTGAAAACACAGAATTCAGCTGCTGCTGTACCACTCGAATTGATTAAGGCGCATTTTGCCTCAATGCGTCTGCGCTGCGCCTGGGTATTCCTCGGGGCGCACAAAGGATTGCCAAAGATAATATATACACTGTACGAAGACAGCACGCTCTTAAAATAAATTTTCTCATATACACAGATGTATTTTATTCTTACATTTTTTTTTCAATTTTTTTATATATCGAGTTTCAAAATTTAATATTCTCTCATAAATGTTCATATTTACTTAGAATTTAAATTAAGCTGCAATTTTTTGTAATTAATGAGATTTTTTATTTAATAAGAAAGGCGTTTCATAAGCTCAATAAAATCTTTATTGAAAAAATTTCACTGCAAGCAGACAAGACAGCTTAACACTTAGCCGGCTTGGCTTTCATCTTTGACAACACCCACTTATATTGCAACTGCATGTCAGTAACGGTGAAGGGATAGGAATTCGGGCAATTTTCGTAGCCATGCATGCTGTTCACGCCGGCGATGCAATAGCCCAAGCCTCCAGACTGAGTATAAGCAACTGGGCCGCCGCTATCAACCTGTTTATTAAATCGAAATTTCAGTTTGTACTAAATGAACAAAAAAAAAAATAGAAAAAATTTACGTCACAAGCTCCAGCTGTCCTGTTATACCACGAGGAGGAACAAAATTGGGTGGATGCCATATCAATGTAGTGCTCCCAAAGTTGAGCAGAGCAAAACGCCGTGTTGTTGGCCATCTTAACTTCAGCGGCATGGAAGACGGAGGCAGGGAATTCAACGGGGCAGTCTGGGTCGGAGGGTTCAACTGCAAAAGTTTTTGGTGTGTTTGATATTTAATTGGTTTGGGAATAAAATTGTGTATAGCTACGTGTTGATCCAAAGCCAAAGACTGTGACCGTCTCGTTGTAGAGGAAAAGCTTCTGCTTGTACAAGGAGGGGCAGCACAAGGGCATGACTGCAATAGTGGCGCTCAGGGTGAGGGGAGTGTCGGTGAGATTGACTAGGGCGATGTCGTATTCGCGGCCGTTGTAAATGAACTTTTCATGGATGACCCATTGGCTTGGATAGGTTATTATGTTGATAGCATCAGCAGAGGTTCGATCAATGCTACCCAAAGTCAATATTGTCCAGTTGGCCCTGGGAAACGTTAGATTATGCAAATGAAACTCGCAAATGCCAAGCAGGTTGCCTACCTTTCGAAACACTGAGCGGCTGTGATGATCCAGGACTCGTTCACGATGGTGCCACTGCACTGGTGGACGGTAACGTTTTGGGCGTTCAAGCTCTCAAGGTAGACCATGAAGGGCAACGTCTCGTTTCCTTCGGACCCGCCATAGACTTGTTCTGTGGGCCCTCCTTTCCTGCCCATGAATTCGGGCTGGTTGATGTCGACCTTTGAAACTTTGTAGGCCCGCTTCTTGTCTGTTTGATAACAAGAAAGTTCTGCATTCGATCGATTCAGTGAAATAAATCTTACGCATTTCAAATGGTGTGAGAAACTCATCGTCGGGGGACATCTCAGCCACCTGAGAATATTAAAATAAATAGAGCGCGTTCAAGAGAACCTCATTTATCGGTTGCATTACCACTAGAGTGGCGACTGAGAGTGTTAATATCACCCAAATTTTCTTGTCGAGAATCATTTTCGTCTTGACCGTCAAAATAAAAATGATTCAGTGCACGGTGGAACGCGGCTCTTAAATATCAAGCCCGACCCACCACTTTATTTTTCCCGGCGAATCGGAACACTTGACGTGTTTCGTGCGTGTTCACCCCTAAAATGAGGACATCTCCCCACTTTTCCTTTTATTTTTTATCAACTCCTCAGGTAAATTGCTTTTTTATCAACACCCGGATGCACTTAAATGACGTTGGAAAAGAAAACGACTAATTGTACCCTAATTAATATATTCCACGTTTCAACAAAAAATTTTGAAACTTAAGGAGCGCGCGTGCATGCAAGCGGCAATTTTTTTCTTATATTAAAACACGTACGCTCATTGTCAATTCTTTATTAAATTTCTTTGCATACACTAAATGTTTTGAAAGAATTTTTTTAAACAAATTGTTAATATTTGATCATAAATCGGGCTAGCTAGGGCACATAATATTGAATTAGAGTTTAAATAATGGCATCAATTTTTGATACCAAAATAAAAAATTCATTTAGTTGAGAAAATGATTGATAAGTATAAAAACCGAAATGCCAAATTTTGTGGTTTTCAGCTCTGTATTTTAATTTTTAAAATATTTGAAAGTTTATCTATGTAATGTCATCGATAATATTCAGACGAAAATTTTAATTTTCCCCTGCGTGCCGTTTTACGAAAAAAGCAGGAAATTTTCCATTTTAATTCTAGTCATTAAAAATTTAATATAAAAAATACAGCAGACTTTTCCACGTAACGGAATTAAAAATTGGAACTACGTGTTTTTTAGCAAATCTTTTTTTTTTCAAAACCTTCCACTGACTGCCTTCAAAATGAAAATACGTTATATTAAATTTTTTAAGTGTTTTATCCACGAGGATAAATATTTTTAAATTGCATGTCTCTAACAAAGATAGTTGAGAAAAAAGGAAATGTTCTTATGAAGTGAAAAAAGGGCATGACTTCAACGTTCTCGTTAAAAAAAATCCTGTATTATATTATTTATATTATGATTTTTTTTAACAAATAGCTTTACTAGTTTTGGCCAAGGTTTGAGACGAGTATCTCACTTGAACAAAAGTGTAACGAAAAAAATCAGAAATCTTTGGAAAACCACATGGTTTGTTTAGTACGATTTAAACAAAAGAGAAAAACCTCGGAACCGAGAAAAATTAAACTTGCCATGAGCTTTGCACTTCACTGCGACTTACAATACTGATCAAGAGACCTACTCAATAGCTTTAATAGCTAACTGGGTTCATAAGGAATAAAAACTATAATGAGCCAACCAAAACTGCGATTGACTTTTTTAATTTGCTATATTTTATTTTTTATTTTTCTCTTGTTCATGAGATCTGGTTTTTTTCTGCTTTAGCATATTTTTATTCAATTATTTTAATTTCTTTCAAAAAATTAATACTAATTGTGAATTTTAATAGTTGTACACCAAAACGGCAGGACGTTGTATCTCTATTGATGGTGGGCGTTTTCATAGACTCCTGGATTTTTTTATGCCCACGTTTCTTCTCATTTTTTTTCAAATAATTTTCTTAATAATATAAGGTTTACTAAAAAAATATTTAACAAATTAGCTGTTCATGGACTTAAATTCTGAAATTATAAATCAGGGTTGATGAGATAAACCTTAAACAATATAAAAAGTAGGTATGTAATAAAATTCAAGTTTTTTTAAGGGCATTGGAGCCGCATTCTTATATTTGACTCATTGTCAGGAGCCAATATTTTGATTTTGTATTTTTTTAATTTTCTTGTACATTTTTAATAAAAACGAAAATTAATTAATATTATGATGCTAGTTTTCAGATTCATTATTTGCTGATTATTAATGCATTGAGAAAACAAAATATTAAAGTTTTAATAATAAATTATCCAAAATTTGAGCGAAAATTTGTGCAATTAATTAACAATCTCCAAATTCATGCATAAAAAATTGTGACAAAAAAAATAATCCTTTTTAGCTTTTAAGGAATAATTGGTTTCAAATGCAAAATATTTCAAATTAAAAATTATTTTAGCTCCAGAGCCAACTGCGCACTGTATCTGCAGAAGTTTTAAGTTGCGCTGTGAAATAACTAGTATGCCACTTAACTTTAAAATTAAATAAATGAAAAATGGGTCATGACTCATGAGAAATGCGGGATTAAAATTTAATTATACTAACAAGTAAGTTAATAGTTACTACCCTCACTTCAAATTTATAGATTTATTTTTTTTTTTTATACATGGGATTTAAAATTTTCGCTCAAAAGTCTCAACAGAAAAATATTTTTAATTAAAATACAGGTGCTGTGTGAGGTGCTATACAAGGGTTAAATAGAAAGAAGTGCTAGATAAGAACGAGAATTTTTTTATCGTACATCAAACTGGGATTTATATCTTGTATAAATATGCATAACTTGTGGAGCCTATTTAGTGGTGGTTAAATATTCAATATTTTTTTTATTCACTTTATAATTTCTAGTTTCACATATTTTTTCAATCCAATCTAATCTGTTTTTTTTTATGAAAAAAAATAAAGTCTGGAAATACTTTATTTTTTGAACACGAATTATTTCAAATTTTGCAGGGAAAATAGATTTTTAAATAATGCGTCATAATTTTTTTCCTCAAAATCCTTGTTTTATTAAAGGAGCAAAAATCTGCTTTCAAATTAATGCATTTGAATTACGATGCTTTCGGGCCACCCATTGCAAGGATCCACTTGTAGAACGGATCGATTCTGGTGAACAAATCAGGTGTGTGGAGATTCGTCAGGGTGGCATTGAGTGGACAAAGTTGATCTGTATCCATGGCGGCAAGGCCAGCCAGATAGAACTGCTTGCTCTTGGGATCCTGAACAATGAGGGGGCTGCCAGGATCACCCTATTTGTGCGAAAAATGTGTCACGGGGAAATATAAATATCATGAAAATACTCACAGGGCAGATTCCAACAGTGGCCGAAGGCACGACGCAGAAAGATGTCGGCTGCAATTTGTACCAGAATGGGGGCTTAATGTAATAAGTAGCGCAGGTCTTTGTTGGTAATTGTTTCACGGCAGTTTCCTTCATCATATCAGGCGAGTGCGAGTCGTTGTAGTTTCCAAAACTGTACCACATCAGCGATGTTGCTTTAACTAGAGCATCGCCCTTGATCAAAGAACTCTTCGCCAGTTTGATCGGGTAGACATAATCTGAAAGTTCGTGATTCATTATAAATATTGCTTAGAATCAAGCTATCAGAATTACTGGTCATGTTGAAAGGTGGGTAGACACGAATGATTGCCATATCATAAATATGAGTGTTTCTGGCCCACAACGGATGATACCAGATCTCCTGCATGTAGGTTACTTGGGCCTCAAGCTCTGCTGTCAAATTTGCAGACAAGGCTCCAGCAGTAACGATTGCAGCGTTTCCGCTGTTAACCGAGGGTCAGTATTTTTCGCTGAACACAATTAAGAAGTTTCATCTTACCCAAACATGCAAGAGGCCGTTGTAAGAATCAAAGTGGCGTTGATCATGGCTCCACCACAAAACACGCTGGCCTCTTGATACAAGCCCAGGGGCACGATCGTGGCCACATAAGGCTTGACCGCAGTGGCATCGGCGCCACCGGTGAAACGACCTTTTTTCGATGGTACATGTCAGACTCAAATTTCAGCCAATGAATAATTTTCCCTACCGTCAATGGATGCGTCTATCATTTCCTCCATTGCGTCTTTTGCTAGAGCAAAAGTGCTCAGCATCATCAAGACCCAAAGTAATCTTAACATGTTAGTTTCTCAACGAAGTCTGACGTTAACGAAAATGACACTGCTTTCCCACTTCCGCGCCTTTTTATATGACATCGCAGGACTTGCGTGGGAGGCGCCTTAAGGACACGTACCTTACAAGGGCCAATGGAATGCTATCAAACCAAACTTTGAAGGCTTGAATACCTTTTTCCGCTCAAAGAAAAAGCCCACTCTCTTGATAAACTCGTTCTACATTAAATAAAATAAAAATACAGGTGAGCGCAAGTGACATACTTAAAGGAAAAGAAAAGCGAAAATGAAAATGTGAACCCTGGTTTAATTAAATATCACTTCAATGCTTACAAAACATACAAAATATAAAAATTCTACTTCATGATAAAGAGCGTTAAATTTATTATAAACTTGTAATTTTTTTAAATAATAAAATAGTTATTTGCTATTGTTTGAAAAATAAGGCGGAACCGAGAATTATTTTAACTATTTATTTATTCTGGGAAATATTTCAGTGAGAAAAAGAGGCCGCATTTCATTATAGAAGTCAAGCTCCTAGAGAGACTAATTTTGAACTAAAAAAAATTATAAATTTTGTCCTTAGTCACTAAAATTATGGGCTATTTTCTAAAGAAGGAAATGAATAATTTGGAATAACATATTTATGTATTATAAAAAATACAAACTAGGATGATATAAAAATTTATTTTCGTCTCATTTAAAAGGATTACTTTTAAACAATAAATTTATAACTCGACAAAACAGCCAGTGGTTAATATTTTTATTTTACTTGGACGAAAAATGTAAAATATAACAGCAGCGTACTTCCTCTCCCCAAGTAGAAACGTCTTCCCAAACGACTTTTATTTATCAACACAGAGCGTGAAGTTTACCACGCCATTACTTTTCTTGATAGCGCTTTTAAAATGCCCAGTAAAAGAGGTCAAGCAAGGTGAAGAAATGACGTCTTTTTACTTTTTGATAGCATGAAGAGCTCGTAGAAACATATAATTTTTTCCAGAGTGTTCATATTTTGTAGGAAAAATTATTTGCAGTAGTTTCATGAGGTTAATAGGGGCATATTTACACCAAATAGGTAATACATTAAATTTGTGTGTAATGTTTACTTTAAAATATTTATAAGCAATTAATTAAATGAAATCATATAAAGTAAATTTTATTTCATATTCCAATATAATGTTGCTTTAAAATTACAGCTGTCAATTTGGCCTAAACTATTGATTTGGAATGATGATGGATAATTTTATTTCTAATTTTGAACTGTTTAGTTTCCATCTTATGTGGCAAAAAGCATAAGCATTTGACGGCCCATTCCACAAAGATCACTTTGGCCAAATATTGTTTTAATTTGACTGAAGGTGCTCCGGGGATATTAAATTTCAATCAAAAATGACACCTGAGGATTTAATTTGTTACTGAAAAATCTCAAAGCAGCACAAATACCTCATTAAATATTACATTTCAACACTTATGTTTTCATATAATTCCATGATACGTTCAAATATTCTCATAATGCAACCTGCATAACATGTACGTTGCACCAGTTGCATACATTTTCATAATGTCATTCTTTAATAATAATTATTGTTTACGATGTAAAGAAATCGAGCTTTAAAAACTGCATGGATGATATAAATTTAAACGCAAAGCACAATTGAGGCAAAGGGTCGTACAGATTCCTTTTAATTGCCATTTTAACGTGAGTAAAACAATGACAATATAATTTAAAAGATATACTGTAATTTTTTAAATCAATTGATACACTTCGCTGCGAAAATTAAAAATTCTCATAGGTCACTAGTAAACTTGATATTCATAAGTTATTTAATGGAAGGAGCATTAAACTATTTTTACGTGACCATAATTGAGAATGCATAATTATGACAGTAAAATTGCAGCATATCTGCATCCAATTTGTTTTAATAGAGTTGAAAATCCTTAATAAATAAAAGCAACGCTACTTTTACACATTCCTAGTTTACAAGAGTAACAATATAACAAACAAACAAACGATAAGAAATTTTGATAGTAAATAATATTTTATCAAAAGGAAAAATATATGTTAGGCTGTTAATTATTAATTTAAAGATTAGAACTTAAGTAGTACAAACAATTCATTTAATGTTAACTTAAAATTAATATTTAATGAATTGTTAGTACTTAAGTCCTGATAAATAACTTAAAATTATTTAAGAATATTCAATCCTATAATCTGTAATTTAAGCAAGTTATTGAAAAACATACACGACAAAAAATAAGAAATTTTATGCATGAATTTTTTATTTTTGCTTCAGTTGGTCATGATTGTAATTTTATAGTTCAAATAACAGTAAAGTCGCACACACTAAGGTTTGATTTAAATGTTAGGTTCATAGATTGCCATAAATTATATCCATTTTGGGAATATAATTTGTAAAATGGAATAAAAAAAAGTACAATTTTGGGGGATAAGTAATTTAAAAAGATACTTTTTTTTATTAAAATCAACCACAAACTAAGATAAAAAAAAGCACCATTTTATTTAAGTGACAGGCCAGTCACTGAGGCAATCCATTTAATAAACGGAGCAATGTTGGTGTACAAGCTTGGCAAACTGGTTGGGCACCGAGTTTCGATCGGCTCTGTAGCGATTCCAACCATAACTGTGTAAGGAAATGCACCGGCACTATTAATGTATCGCAAAGGAGCTCCGGTGTCCCCCTGGAAATTATTTGAGCATTATTTGAAGAAGCTTCATATTTTATTAAAAAAAATCAAGTACTTAAGAAATGTCATATTTGTAAATTTTCAGCTTTTATTTCTATCATTGCGTTAGTTATTATAAAAATTAAAATGCGTATACCTTGCAAGTGGAAGCAAGACTGGTAGTTACATTAGTGCATATCATGGTGTCAGACAGCAAGTAGACTTTACTGGAATTGAGACTAGCATACGCGGCTGCACAAGACTTTTGAGGCGCCATGTAGACGGTCGCAAATAGGAGTGAATCGATGTTCAATGGGTCACTGACGTTTGCATTGTTCTCTGATAAATGATTATTACATTTTTAAGATAACTTAGATTTTTAAGTCTAAAATTTACGAGTTTGGCCCCAGCCCGCCAACCTCAGATCGGGAATTTTAAGATACGAGTCGGGCTTGGCGGTTGAAGATGCTGTCAGGTTAATCGGAGCAACTAATCTACCTAAGAATTAATAAAAAATTTTTACAAATTATTTCATCAAAAATAAAAAATTTTTACAAATTATTTCATCAAAAATAAAAAATCAATTTACGAAGCATTATTCTTTATATAAAATAAAAATTACCATCAACAACAAGATTTCTCTGGAGAAGGATGATGGCAATGTTATTTTCGTGAACGCCAGACAAGGGGTAGTAACGATATTGGGGATGGATCGTGACGTTGAAAACGGTAATGGAAGCGTTAACTGAAGTTCCCGACAGAGCGCCTACGCCGATCATCACTTCGTCCGTTGACAGGCCTGTTTCTAGACTAAATTTTACTTTGGTTTTATTTCATTTAAATATCCAAGCATTTGTAATAAACCCACGTCCAAAAGCAAGAAGCTGCCGTTAGAATAGCCTTTGTCGAGATCAAGGCACCGTGACAATTTGCTGATGCGGTTTGCACAACTACCATCTCTGGGAACTGATACCTTTTGGCAGTGAAAACCGTTGTGGCCGTGCCACCAACGACTAGAATTATTTATTTTTGAGTCAGAAAATCCTATTTTCCAAAAGAAGGTAAAAACTTACACGAGTCTGGAGCGTCTGGTGGCGCCGTTGTTCGCTTATTTTTATTAGGCAATCCAACAACTTGCAGCCATGGCCGGTTATTGTTCCTTGCCGACATGCAAGGGCTTAGTAGCTACACATTGATTAAGAAAATATTGTATACTAAATTCTGAATTAAATCGTTTTAAATAATAATAAATAGCGCTTACTTAATAATTGATTTAAAAAATTCCAATAAGACCTTTTCTATATACTTACGACAAAAATTGCTACAACAAAAAGAGAGAGTGCGCACTTCATTTCTATCAAGTAAGCGTGGACTTCACACACCAACGGTTTTGAAACGTCCCTCTGTTATATAGACAGTCTTGTCCAGTAGTTAATTACAAAAATTAAAATTATCGTAAGTAGGTACCAGCACCATAATTAAGCAACGACACGTCAAAAAATGACAAATGTCACAAAAGACACCCAGCATATGCACTTGATTTATGTCTGAGAAGAAGTAAATTTCCCATTAATATGCAGGCCAAGATAACAACACAAATTAACTTTCTTTAGTCAGAACTTATTAAAAGTAAGAAGAGTTTCTGTATCTTACAAGAATTTCTAAACTAGCAGGGCTGGAAAAGCAAGTATAAAAATTATTTTTAAGATTTAGTCGAATTTTTTCATATGCACATTTCTATAGATTTGTCTGGTACTTCTTCGTTTATTTACAAACACAACTTTTTAAATGTTTTGCTAATAAACCACAAAATTATGTCAGATTTCAAAATTTGCACCAAACAATGATTAAATCGGCAAGTTTCCCTCATCTCTATCAAAATCCACTTCTTCCATGGCTTTGCAACCTCTTAAGCTTTTGTACGCTGCTCTGTACTTGGAGTTCATTTTATAGTAAATCAGTGGGTTGATTATGGTTGATAATAAGGGTGGTATGCGGTAGGTGACGTAGAGACCTGCGATAAAAAAATAATAAACCCGCGCTAAAATAATATTAATCGAAAATACCTCCAGTCGCTCTGTAATCTTTTTTAGCCCACAATAAAATGGACGGGATGAGATAACAAAGAACGTACACAGAAAAAATGGTAAAAATCATTTTTGCATAGTCCAATTCATCGCCTCCTCTTCCAAATTTAGCTCTGTATGCATAAATTAAAAAATCATAAATTTAGTTTTTCGGAAATGTAACTGCCAATGAGAGACACTTACATGCAAGTGGCGTTTTTGATTCGAATGAAGCTGACAAGGTATGCTCCCGAGATGACACACGCCGATTTTGTTGAAAGTTGGTATGCAACTTGCACTACCCTTGGGTGTTCTGGAATGGCTATTAAAACTTGCCCAATTTCACAAGGGAGGGTAGTTTCCATTAAAACGCATGTTAAAAACGATCAAATGTAGGCAACAAAAGCGTCCTCTGTGTATATAAGTTGCCTACATCTGATTTCTCCAATGTAATTCAAATTACATGGAGTTTAAATGGCAAAAATTAAACAAGGAAAATTGGGCAAAAATTAATGACCGTTCTGGGGTACCAATGGGTATTAGAAGTTGTGCACCAATTTTCATTGAAATCGGGGTGTGTCATCTCGGGAGCATACCTTGTGAAGGAAATTACCAGGAGCGCAATCATGAATATGACAATAGCAACAAACACTTCACTGTTCTGTCCAGCAATAGTGCCATTGTTGATGCAGTAGCCAGTTGTCGAATCAACGTGGATATCTCCTACAAAAATAATTTTATTGTAATGATCTCCACAGTTTTGACACAAATTATATTTTTCTGTGCTTAAATTTTTTTATGATTTTACCCCAAATCCCGAAAAGGGCCAACGCTGTAAAACCATAACCACAGATCCAGCCTAGTGTGATCATTATGGAAATCCACAACGGTCGGAAGATCGAAGACGCTGTAGCTTTTGAACAAGTTATTTTTACGTAGCTGAAAACAATTCAAGCTGTTAAAATGAAATTTATTTCAAAAATTTACTTGACAACCTTGCAAAAGAAAGCAGTGCAATCATTATGATCGATGTGGGCCCATTTCCGTATCCAATTAGTGAACTAACTGCGCACAATTCCTCACTCAGTGCCCAGTTTGACTGATTTAAAAAGTCAAATATCATTACCGGCACCAAAATCAAGCACACAAGCAAGTTGCTAGCGGAAAGGCTGAAATATTGAACATTAAAATAATTAAAAAATCAATTTTCTCTACTTGTAAAAAAAAATATCTTGCCTTGAAATGAAGTAAGCTGATGAACATCGCAGACTTTTGTTTTTAGCCAAAATAATAATTGTAAGCGCATTTCCTATCACTCCGAATGCAAATAAAATGGTGCAAATGATCGCTCCCAAGAGCCACCAGTGCGACGTGAACGCTTCCTCCATGACTAATCCATCTGACCAAATGAAAATCTCTCTCTGGTGTCTTTTCAATTAAACACAATTGACCCGCGCGGCAATCAAGAGGTCCAGGACCTTATTCCATTTGTTTTCTCCGTCTTTATTTTGATGAATATTTGGCTACGCCACTTTTTAGCTAGAGATTTGTGCTCCCATCTTTATTGAATTATAAGATTTTGCTCTTTTAATATATTGTCTTTTTTTTTAATTCACTTTTGGATTCATAAAACGGTCCTTGTAATAATAATTATTATCATTATTTGCAAAATTTGCTTCATTTACAAGCGCAGCATTTTTGACAGGAAATTTGACGTCACCCGGAACATTTTTGAAACAGCAACGGATGCTCTGCGTGCTGCAGTATGTTTATTAGTTGTGTTACCTGATGAAGTTTCCACAGCAGCTTTGAAATGATTCAAGTTTTGCTTTCAATACTTTTCTTCTCCGTTCCTTACGTGAGCAATCAGATTGATGAAAAAATCAAATATATTTTAAACAAGAAAAATGCTTAAAGGTTCTCTCTGCTGAGAGTGGTGGAACATGCGGCCCTGCTATGTTTGCAGTAGGTGCTGGGAACTAATTATTTACAAACTCATGTCAGGCAATTTTTTTCCAGGGGATGGACAAATGCTGTTTATTGCCCAAATTGATCCCTTTTGAGTCCTTCAACAAATGCTTTCCACCAGTAAACACAGCAAAGCAGGAAGGTCGAATCCAGAATTAACAATTAGTTTATGTATATTTTTATAAATTTAAATTCCTTTAGATGCTTCACAGAAAAATGGCAAGAATCTTAAAAAATCAAATAAAGCGCTGGAAGGTGATCAAATGGTATTAAAAAAATATTTATTCACACTGCGATGCATAATTGAAAACTAAATTTTCCAGTGTTTGGTCCAATGCGCAATGAATGACTTGAATTTGGTAATTTAAATAGAAACTTCAAAAAATGTTTAGGAACAAATTTTTCATAAGCTGGACAGTGGCAACAATGTCAACGCTGACTCGGTTTATAAGAGGCTACTGAAAGTTTCTCTAAGTCACTGGAACTCTTATATAATAGACGCCGTTGAAAACTGCAGTGCAGAGTTTAATAGTATATTTTTTAATTATTAAAAAAAGAAAAGAGAACTGAATGACTCGGTTTATTTATCAACTTATAGATCTTGATTTGAGTGGCGTTGCTCACCAACTAGACCAAGATGGAAAAATGTGCAACCCTGGGCCATTTCTCTATTTGTCTTGCATCAACGGTTTTCTTGCTTCCGTAATATCAGAAAAACAAAATTATTTGCAATAAATTTTACTTTTATCTAATAGGATTGCCCTTCCCAATCGCGAGGTGTGAGTCTCGTAGATGAAAAAGGTTATTAATTTGCCTATTTTTTAGCAAAAAAGGAGAAAAAACATTATTTTGTCCACAGACGAATGTCCTGGTAAAATGGCAAATCTAAAAAAATGCAGCCCTTTCAGCATCCTGAGTGGTTGGACAAAGAAAAAATCGAAAGTGGAAGTAAAACCAAACGCTAGAAGAAACTCGAAACGCCAAAACGGTCAAAGCAAGAAGAATTCCAACAAGGGGTCAAAAAATAATCAAGCTTCAAAACCAACAACTGCTTAAATTTGAAATGATTCTGCGAGTCTCTGCGCAATCTTTATTCAGTGTCTCAAATTAATAAAATAAATCATTTTGGTTCCGAAGCCTGCGTTTTTGTCCACACAACGAGTGAGTGACCGAATTAAAGTCACGGACGATGACGCACACAACGTCCTGTGTATTCAAAAGTAGATCGCGCTTCGCCGTTTCAGGGCCACAATAATGGCCGCGCATGTGATGACGACCTTTTGGCCGATATTCAATTGGCTGGAACGCGCAGATTCGCTTCCATACAAATTATTTAGCCACATGCATGCTATGTTGAATTCAAAAGACTTATCACGATGTTGAACATTTTTAAGCTTTTTAAGTTAACCCTGATGATAATCATATTATCCTTACAAGAAGTATGATGATTTCCTAGATTTTAGCAGATTTCATAACATTCTTTATTAGTCTTCTGGGGCGAAAAGGAAAACCGACACATCACCGTGTGGATACCGCATAATTAAGGTATTATTCCATATTAAGAAAAAAACTTGAAAATTTATGCAAAAGATAATGATAAATATTATATTATTTTTAAAATAATGTGGATTTGCCCTTTTTTATTCCATCTTTTAAATAATGAATGTAAAATTCAACTTAAAGAGACTAGAAAACTGCTGCGCTTTTCCTGAACTCATTGCCAATGACGTGTTCGTCTCCTGCCATGAGGAGTTAAAAATCAATGAGCAACCTCAACAAGGAGGACTGGAAATTTCTACTGAGCAATCAGGAAAACGCCTTAAAAAATACTCTGCATCTGCAAAGAAGCGCGGTACGCGAGACGCTACATGTAATTATTTGCAATTTAATATAATATCCTTGGATTACCTTAAAATAAATAATTTGTAGACAAAGTCGGTTGGGGTGGTGGAAGGTCATTGGGAACCTACAGGGGCGGCAGAAAGAGCCAAGGGCAAGCCATGGTATAAGATATGAAATAATTACTTATGGCAAAAAAATACTAACTTTATATTTTCATCAAAGTGCATTTACGATTGCGTTCTTCGAAATCAGTCCTTGGTAAATATAGTCGGTTATGAAAACTTATAATTAAAAGTGAGCTTACAAATGAAGATTCAAAGTGATGGTGAAATCGACACCACCAAAATGGAAAAGAGTTTCACTGATTCCGCGCCGTCGGAATGGAAGCAAATAATCAAAGATGCTTTCAGTGAGTGCTCTGGATTATACAGAAGTAGGCAAAATTCTTGAAAAAATTTGTGAAAATCCATTGACAAAGAGCATTAGAAGTGAAGCAGTCTTCTTTGCCTGCGCCAAAAACTTCCTCTTCTGGCAGAACGTGTCGCTTTGGACCTGCTTTGTACATGTCTTGCCTCAGACGTTATTTTACTTTGGTACGTGTTTCAATTTGAATTTTCCCAATGTGAAATCATATTGTAAATTAAATTATAAGCAATCATTCTAAAGACAATAAATTATAATTTAATTTTCAGAACTGCCCCCAATCCTCAATATTATCGATAGGTTCGCAGCTCACTTATTTCAATAAAAAATGCACTTCATTTCGCATTTTTATCTAGATAATACTTGCAAAGAAAAGATCGATTTGCTCAAAACTTGTGACCCCTTTAAAGTGCGAGGCAGCGCTGGACGTGCTGGGAAATATTGGGGCGCAGCCGAGGTTGACGAAGAGAAGGCACCAGAATCGGCGCAATTAAACGTGGCACCAAAAAACGTGGCCTCTTTTTCTAAAGGAAAACGCCGCCGCGGGCGATATAACTAAAACTTTGTAGTTGTGAAATATTTACGCTATAATAATTATAAAATATGCAAATAAATACAAAATAAATTTGCAAAACTATATAAATGATATTTTCTTATTGAAATCTGCTCGATTAGTTTTAATTCAACAAATTTTGTTACTTTTGATGACCATTTATCCTTCATGATAATTTGATTCCCAGTTTTTTTTTTAATTTTTTTGTCTTTATAGGAAATAAAAAATGATGTCGTAGAATAATTTTTTGCATCTTTATTTAGAGTTTGCTAAAAAATAATGTGTTTTTTTTTTTGGAAACATTGATTTTATTATTATTACAATCAATATTTTATTTCAAATGATTCTCTAAGCTTTATTTTGCTTATACATAAAAATATAATTATGGTTAATGGTAGTTTCAAATTTAAAGTGTATTGTCAGTTGCTTGGAAATTAATTAAATGGCAGCACAATATAGTCTGACCTAAAAACCTCAATCAGGAAAAAGCGTTTTCGTTTTCACATCCAACGACTCTGATTTATTGTTGCTCGCCATAATATTCGCTTTTAGTGTTTTGAAACAGCTGTTTAGGCGCCATGTCGCGATTTATACAGTTTTTGAAAATATTGCTATTTATTTTAGTTCTTTCCCTAGAAACCACCAAAACCAAATCCGAGGTAGGATTAAGGAAATTGTTACGAAAATGCTAATTTATTTGGTAAAACAGGATTCCAGCGAAAGAGACCGAGATGCCGAGAGTAAAAAGGAAATTACTTCCCAAAGCAAGGCGAAACCGTGCGGTCCTCAAATGTTGACAGTTTGTTCTCATGGTTGCGAGATGAATTTATTAAATTTACTTTTGAAAAAAAGGATCCAGATAGCTGCTGCAAAGTACCCAGGCTGATTGAAAAAGAAACGCTGCGAAGTTGTGTTGGAGGATTTGGGGCTGGCATGGGAGGAGGATTATGTAAGCTACTGTCTTTTTATGACTCCATTTTATACAAACAAATATTTAAAAAAGAAAAATAACTTTTGACAATAAATAAAATTTCTACTGCATAAATAGCACCAAAGGCTCTGCAAAGCTTTGGAAAGCTGCAAACGTCTGTTAGGGAAAACGTTGGCGGAGAAGCAGTGAAATTAGCAATGGAAAAAGGCCCACTGGTGTGAAAATGTTTAGTTTTTTTAGAATACTGGCAAGCAAAAAGATTTTTTTTCTCATTTCCAGTGCGCCTCTGAATGCATTTTGAGAAGTCAAGGCTATGTAAATTTATTACTTTAATTATCACAATCATTTTTTACAATCTAATTTTTCAAAGATTAACTTGAACGGAGATTTGGATTTTGAAGCAATCAAAGAGAAACTACTTAAAAATTCAAGTGACGACTGGAAGAAAATTGTTGAGACAGCAGTCGAGAATTGTTCATCAGAACTTCAAGGTGTTATGACTCTTTATAATTAAAAAAAAAAAATAAAATATGGGAGAAATAAAAGGAAAAAGAATATATTCGACTGCAGCCTCTGGAAACAAAGAAAACGTCTGCAAAGCTGATGCAACCGTCACTATGTCGTGTTTGAGAAGATACTTTATTTTGGTACATTTTTTTTTGCTTAAATCTTTAAATATAATTTTCTGTTTTTATAGGAATGTCCAGAGTCAGCAAAGGGGAGCAACAAAGGTGCGGAAATTAAATGCTGATTTAAATAAAAAAAAAAAACAACAGGTTTTCTTGTAGATGGAACGTGTGAAAAGAATAGAGAATTCTTGGCAAAATGCGACCCATTTACACTCACCACCGAGGCGATTGAAGGAAAGTTTCCCGATTTCATACGTCAACACATTGGGAATATGATGGGCCTTTCAAATGCTAGGCCAGGCCAGAAGCGGCGGAGGTTTGGTTTTATTGGCCAGAGAGGAGGCTCGTGGGAACTTGAACCGGAGAAGAAGTTGCCAGCCGTGATGATGGGATGATTGGAGATAACTAATTTATATTGTATAATCATTTTCTATTTTATTTTGTAAATTTAATTTCATTTCACGTAAAAAAAACAATAGCACACTATTTGCAATGTTTAATAAAAATCAGTATCTAATTTGAGAAAAATTCAATTCCAAAACTCGCTGTGATTAAAATTTAAAACATAAAAAATAACAAAACGCTTCTGAGGAGAACTTTGAAGGAAAAATAAGGATACACGTGTCTACTTTTCAAGAGTACAACGAACCTTTCCAGCAAACCATGTCATTATTTACAGAAAACATTTAAAAAAAAGAGGTGTTTCTTATCATTTTTAAGAGGAAACACTACCTTTTATCATTTAAATGAGGAAAGAAAACTTTCTGAGGGTAATTAACTTGCCGACATAATTTACGAGCGAGGAGTTAATTGTCGAGAAAATTGGAAGGCAATTCAGTTTTAAGAAAACAAAAAAAATGCGCAATAGCCTTGGCTCATTTAATTTAAGTATTTTTTAATTGAGCTTGAACTTTAATAGCAAAAAAAAAAAAAAAAATAGAAAAAAACAATTAAACTAGAATACTTTTGCAGAGATGCAAAGTGAAATTCAAATTATTTAAATGTGGTCGGTAAAGTCAATTAAAGTTGCAATTAAATTATTTGAGAAAATTGAACCGGTTCTTCTATTTCACTGAAAGCTAAAAAATTTGATAATTTATATGAATTACCTATGCCTAAATTAAAGTATCTGTTAATTTTCTTAAATATGAATTGAAGTTTCAACAATTTTTAATGCTGCTTTCATTAAATGTGTACGGGCTGCGTTGTTTAGAGTTGGTGATATGCAACTCGCATAACACGACTGTCGCCCAGGTTGTCTAAACATTATTGTTCAGGCAACCTTTTTTAAAAAGTGTGAAACTGCAAAAGGACGTACATAATAAATATAAAATATTGATACATTATTTGAATCCCCCCACAGTTTCAAGAACTCTAAGTTTCAATAGTACAGGTAAATTAAATTTGTAGTTGTTCACATTTTGGTCAATGAAGAAAATAAAACAATTTAATTAATTAAAAATCAATAATTAAATAAAGTCCTACTTGAAATATTGCTGAAAAACTCATAAAATCATTTCTAATGGAAGAGAATTTTTTATTTTTTGAGGTTCAATTAATAATATTTTTGTTGTTCGTTTGAGTGCCAATTAGTTTAAATTTATATAATATTAAAAGTTTAAACTCCTTTCTGAGCCAATCATAGTTGGAATAAAGCAAAATTATGAAAGCATTTTGGTTCCTATCGGCCCGATGTTCTGGAATTCCCAAAATGGGAGTTGTGTAGTGAAGAAGCTGCCGCTATGATATTTTGCCTCATTTTTTGCGTGGAAGCGGACGTGCCGAAAATATTGTTTTGCGCACAAGTATCGAAGAATGTGTACTTCTTGGAACAAGCATTACCTAAATTAGAGACAGTCATAAAATTCATAAAGGAGAAATTTAAAATACCAAAATCAGGACACAGCTGTGAAGAATTAAGATTAAAAATTAATGAGAACAAATTTAATTTTATTAAAAATCAGTACGTCAATTATGAAATATTGGATGCACTGCAAAGCTACCACGGCGGTTCCATCGCAAGTTTTTTTGCCCTGCTTGAAAGTGAGCGCTCCAAGTCCTAAGATTTTTTTTTCTTCAAAGTTTCGTTTAAAGTAAAATGACAAATATACCGTCAACAATATCAAAGCAGTTAGAACTAGTTGCGTTTAAAATTGAAATCCAATCCTGATTATCTTGACCTTTTAGTATTAAATCTTGCAGGAAGGCATTACGATCAAGCACGTTATTTTGAATCTGTTGAATTTTCATAATATCACAAGAAAACGTTTTGTCGCGAGATTTTCTGATGCGTCATACTATGCTCTTATTTCCCAGATAGCAATTCAAAAAGCACTATAACCATTGGTCTTTGTAAATGAATTCAATATGATTAATTTTTCAATCAATTACAGCTTCCTGCCCGAATGCCTGTTGCAGTTTCGGGTCGCTGAAATTAATAGCGTTGCTGAACTTTGGGCGTTGGAACTTGTTCAAAACATATTTGTTTATTATGTTCAGTGATGCAGCGTTTCCTTTACAGGCCTTCAAAGCCGAGTCTCCCTTCACTTGCGCAAATTCTTTAGTGCGTGGATTGCAACACTTGCCCATATCCTAGATTTAAACCAAAAATAATTTAATTATTTAATATATTTTGTAAAAAGTTTTAATAATTAAAATTTTTGGCACAAGTTAAAGTTAAACGCACAGAGAAATCTTTGTCGGCGCAATTAAGCAGTTTAGGCGCTTGCGTGGTGGTGGTTTTCTTTGTTGAAGTTTTGGTGGTTTTGGTGGTTATTGTGCTGCTTGACGTTGAATCTGTGCCAACCGCACTAGTTGTACTAGTAGAGGAGCCTAAATTTTGTAATATTTCAATTTAAATTTCAGAATTAGTAAATAGAACGACTACCGTCGCTGTCGCTGCTGATTTTTTGTGATATCCAGTCAATATATGAAGAAACCCTTGAAAAACATGATGGGGCCGCTAAACATCCAGAGGACGATCCGAACGAAACAATTCCGATTTGCATCCAAACGCCGTCGCTATTTTTCAAAACCAGAGGCCCACCGCTATCTCCCTAAATAATGGTCGCAAAAGCTTTTTAACTATTAGAGATACAAATAAAAATTTATTATGAGAAATTGAGTATCTCTGCTTTGAAAAATTATAAAAATATGTGGTTTTTAAATCTTTCAAAATTTTCTAACAATAAAACCATTATTTAGGTCGTTTATGTCAGTTTAGTAAATTAGGTCATGGCATGGATCGTAGCCACGTCAGTACTAAGCTCGTAAGCCAGCCGCGGTTTAGGTAAATATGTAGCAAAACTTGGACTCGAGAAGTTGGAAAAAAATATAATTTATATTACAATATCTCAAAAATTAATTATGTAATGTGAAGGAAATGTGATTTTTTTTAAATGATCTTTTGTTTAGTTTTTTTAAATTCCATGCTAAACGTGGGGAAAATAACTTTTACAATATACCTGGCAAGTGGATTTAGTGGGTTGTTGGGCGCAAATAGTTGTACCAATGATGTAGTCCCCATAATAAACTGCACTTTGTGTGTTATTTAAAATCGTCATGTCCACAAAATTCAACGTTGCGCTTGGGCCCGCTGCGTTTTTTAGGTGATAAAAAGCGATTTATATTTATGAGCAGCTTTGGTCACCTGCATCACTCGTTTTTCCAAAACCGCTAATTGTGGCCAATTCTCCGGCAAACGACCCAGCAGTATTTGGTGGTAAAGACACCGTCCTGATCGTGTCTTTGATAATATTTCATTTACTTGCGTATTTAAATTAATAATAAAAAAACCTGTCAAGGTAACATTTGAAGGGAGTCTGATGAGCATAATGTCATTGTTTAAATTGTTATCGTCGTATCCCTCGTGAACATAACTGATGGCGGTGTTCAAACTGACGGCTCCGGATGATGGCGTCGACCGTGAAATTGAGCCAAGGGTCACCACATAGTACGAACTTTAAATCAAATTTTAAATCCAGGTTATATAGTTTTTTTAATTTTACCCGTGGCAATGAGCAGCGCTGAGGACCCACATAGTTGTGATGAGAGACGCGCCGCAAAGATAACTGCTCTCAATGCCCAAGAAGGCTTGCCAAGGAAATTGACCCAAGGACGCGCTACTGCCTCCCACAATTTGCTTTTCAATAAAGCGTTTTGAAAGCAGCCCCGAGCCAGCAGCTAATTATTCCAAAATAAAATTGATTGTTTTATCTTTTTTACGACTTACGCTGGGGCACAGTTTTGGTTTTGGTGCCAGCGGGAATTTTTGGCATACTGGCCGGCCATGATGATTTCTGGATCTGGGTTTTGGGAAAGGAGCGATATTTGAAGGTCAAAGCATCGCCGGCAATAACGAGGGCAGCCAACTAATGATGTGGATTTGTGATCAAACACAAAGGATAAAGAAGAAGACTAATTTAAAATGTGTCATCGCCTATTTTGGCTGTTTTGTGTCGGACTTACTTGGATAATTATGCTCGCTGATGCAAAAGTTGCAGTTCGCATCGTGATTCGCTAATGATACGTGGTTTTACCAAAGCCCTGTTTTCACCGGATTTCAGCTGGGAAACGAGAGGACGATGCATCACGTCCGCTTTTCCTGTGTCGAAGTTTTCCGGCATCCTTTGACGACAAACGGAATTCGGCGAGGCCGCGACAGTAGTGACGTACAATGTTTTTTCACATTACAAAATAATTGTAACTTGATAATTAGTTAGTTAAATTGCGTCCAGTTTATATAATGAGGCTCCAATAAAATTTAAAACTTAAAAAACTTGATTTGCTGAACATGAAACAAAAGCTGGAGTCAAATATTTTGGTGATTATTATTAAAATTATTAATATTGAGTTGCTCCATTATTTTTCAAATGAAATTCCGTATGTGAAATGTCAAGAACATTAAACATTATAACAGTTAAAATGTGAATATAAAATTAAAAAAAAAAAATGCAAAAAAAATCAATCGCAAAGCGGCTTTCAGCTGCATCACGATTGTGCCTGATGAACTGAAAAAAATTGTAAAATGTTCTTTTAAGAAGATACGAAAAATATATCTTGCTAATAATAACTCCAAAGAGAAAACAAATATGTGGAACTGTAGTGAAAAATATTAAAAATGCATATTTTTTTTAAGTGATTTATAAGTGATTTGAATCTTCTATGAAATGTATGTAATCTTATTAGTTTCCGAGCTAAATAAACTTTCATTAAACCAAATCAAAATTTAGCACACCTCTGCTAGTTACCCTTTCTGCTAATTTTCCCATTCAAAATTATCAAATTAATCAACTTGAGTAAAATAAACAATAATATTAATTTATAAATAAAGTAGCACCTATTAAAAAAATGTACAATACAATTTCCCATTCCAAAGTCAAGTTTTTATTTAACTTTTTATTGCTGCACTGCTTTAATTTATGTTGCACACACAAAAAATCTATTAAGAAAAAGCTGGCTGTAATTGTGTAATTCACGGAAATAAATAGCAATACTTTTACATAAAGTGCAATTATCAAAACAACTGATTTAAAATCATGCAATATGTATAGAAAGTTTCCTTAATTTTGGTTTAAACACAGGAATAAGCAATTCTCTCGTAGTCAGTTTACAAATTTGATTTGCGCTTAATGGTTAAAAAAATCCAGCTTGCTTGTAGCAAATATTGGGAACAAAAACAAATCTGGGTGATTCCAATTTTGACTATTTGTATTTCCTTGGAGGGAAAAATAGAATTTAAAAGTAACAATTGAATTTTTTTTAAAAATTATGCATTACTTACAATAATTAAAATTGTAGTAACCAAGGCGTGAAAATAATTTGGAGCAAATAAGCTTTTGGGCAGAAATCTTGCACCAAAATTTGGTGCATATAAATTTATCCAAAAATTAAAGTGGCCTAATTATTACTGTAGCGTGAAAAGCTGTAAAGTACACATTAAGCATCAACTGACAACAGTGACAACTCAAAAAGCAGTTTCGCCAGATTAAAAACGTACGGATTCTGAAAATTCGGCATGCTTGGTACTTACCACATGGCCCACAGGAACAAAAAACTTGTAATCCGCAATTATTGTCCCGTCACCCCTCCGTCATTAAACGCCTTTTCAGGGAATCGTTGTCAATCTCCGAGTTAATTAATCCTCAACCAGTTTTACCAGTTCTTGATTGAAAAGTTAAAATGTTTATCTAGATTTCGACGATACACGCGAACACCGGAAAAAAATTACGCAGACACTAAACACACACACACGCACCTCAGCAAAACATCACACACTCGATTAAAAAAAACGCACCAAACCGCGTCAAATTGAATCACCATTATTTGTATCTTCGACCTGCTAAAACATGTTTTGTGCTGCTGGTGCAAGCAAGAGCAAGGGAGGATAAACGAAAACACGACTAGGGGTGGGGGGAGCATCAGAAAAAGAGGCCGGGATGTCTCCAGACCAGACTCCAGTTTGTTTTGCCGCAGTCATCTGTGATCGAATCGGAGATTGATCACCTATATTTTTCAGTTTATCAGTGAACGTGAAGAGATTGTGTGGCTTCTTCGCCGAGCCGACCAACAATGCAGATTGAAATGTGAGTTAAACTTAATTTTTTTATTGAAACATATCATAAGTATTATTTATTTGTGAACAGATGTGCATATCATCGACAAAGAGGACAGAAAAAGGTGCTGCTTTGGGGCTGAAATGTGAACGGATAAATTGGTGAGTACAAGTATTGTTACAGATTCATTTCAAGGGGATTTAATTTTATGATTTGAAGATGATCACGTTTTGACAGGAACATAAAATTTCAAAATCATGATAAAATTTAATTAAAATCCATTTTAAAAAAGAATATTAAATTGATTTCCTTGCAGTTGTTTTTTCTTTCTGGTTTTAAAAATTAATAGACTTAAAAAAAGGAGCCCCTATAATTCTTACCGATGGGGGTCACTAAATAATTATTCAATATATGTGTGTGCAATAAAACGCAATTATTCAAAATCGTTGGTTGAACCCCGTCACAAGCGGACACTTGCCAAGCATTGTGTATTTTTCCGTGCATGAACTGCTGGAAGCTAAAAAATAATTTTAAATATATGGATATTTTCTCCATTAAATGCATTTAACTAAATTTTGTACCTTTTACGGTGCAGCCCTATTAATTTTTAAGTGATAAAAAACATTAAATTGATCAGGCACTTGCATCTTCGTCAGTTTACCTCTAATAATTTTTTCTGGACGCATTGCATTAATATCATCAGCCTACCATCGCAATTATTCGATCCGACTTTAAAGTATGGTATTTGTGAAGAGTCTGGTAAAAGCAGCAATTATTTAGGTATTGAACATTTGAAAATTTTCTGAGGCTCATTTATACAGCAAGAATGTATTATTATCAACAAATAAGCGTCTCTTTCCCATTCATGAATCGCTCATTCTGTAATAATTATTGCACTTGCCTACAGTGTAAAATTTGGAATAGCATTCGTTAGTTGCCAGTTCTATGATTGTTTTCCAATTGCTGCTTTGCTGGTTGCTCAAGAAGCGCTTCAAATCATTAAGGGCGACAGTGCCTTTTTTGTTCATCTAGAGAAAAAAAAATTTGTTTACAAAGAGTCTACGTCTTCCTTCCAACAAACCACAGATTTTGATTTCAAGAAGCAATTCACAAAACACTGCAAAAAAATTTATTTGTTATTAGTTACATGCGTTCAAGGCAATTGAATTTTATTTTTAAAAAAAACTGACTCACTGCATTATCGACTAAAGTGCGCTGGACTTGATTTGAAGAAAAAATAACCAAGTTGTTCAATGTCTTGTTTTGAAGCTTATTTAAAGTGTAATTATTGAAGGAACCTAAAAGGCTCGAGTTCCAATTGCAAGTCCTTTCACCTTTTGCGATGTTTACTAAGTTTTTAACCGGTTCCAACAAACAACAAGATGATCTCATATCCTGTAAAATTTATTATTATATTAATTGCTTTGGATCACTGTATTTATTTGAGACTGTTGTTCTTACAGCAAAATTTTCCGATGCACAGTTGGGTAGTTCTGTAGGTGCTAATGATGTGTCTAAACTGGTTGAAGGTGTGTTTTGAGTAATAGCACTAGTTGTTGAGGAGCTCAAAGGTGTTGACGTTGAGGTGCTCAGGGGCAATGGTGTTGATGAAATTGAAGATGTTTCAGAGCTTGAAGGTGTTGGTAGTGAAGAGCTCAACGTTTTTTGTGTTTCGGTGCTTGAAGATGTTGGCGTTGCGGATCCTAAGGGTGTTGATGTTGATGTTGATGAGTCCAAAGGTGTGGGTGTTGATGAGCTCAAATGTGTTTCGGAGCTGGAAGATGTTGGCGTTGCCGAAGTTAAAGGTGTTGTTGTGAAAGGTGTTGATATGCTTGAAAGAATTGGCGTTGACGAGGAGCTTAAATCAGGGAATGTGACAGACTCTGTGCTATTCATCTCTGCCATTAAAGTTGTGGACATCACAGTGTCAGAAAAAGTGATAGGCATGGTTACTGTCACTTCTGCACTGATATCTAAAAAAAAAAAACAGGACAAAGTAAATTTTAATTTTTTTTTTAAATAAATTAGATGTGAAAATTTCACCTTTTCCAATTTTACTAGACATCCATTGTAAAAAAGAGGCCACTCGTACAAAGCCAGAAGGTCCAGATAGACAACCAGAAGACGGACCGAATGAAACAATGCCGATTAATTTGTAAACGTCATTTTCTTTGTAGACAAGAGGCCCTCCACTATCACCCTGGATATGAAAATTCGATTATAAAAAAATTATAATTAAAAAAAACTATTACGCTGCAAGTAGATTTTGATGTTCCCGACTTTGTGCAAAGAGTGGAACTTATTACAATATCCGATCTGTAATACTGCAAACAAGCTACGTTGGAAATAACTTCCAAGTCCACGTAGTTCAAATATTGACTACTTGAAGAACCTATTAATTGATTGAGGGAAACCAGTTGAAAAATAAATGTGTTTTTTCTTGTTTTCTTTCACCGTCAGCAGTTTTGCCAAAGCCACTGGTAGTGACAGTTACTCCTTCAAAGGTTTTGATGCCGTCGGTTGTCTCTGGCAATTTTGCCACTTGGATAAAGTCTAGAATTTTTTTTTCATTTAAAAAAAAGAAAATTATTTGTTGAATATATATAAAAAAAAGAAAGCACATTTAAAAAAAAACATGCTCCCCAAATTTTAGCCCGCGTTGCCATGACACAGAAGGACGCGTATCTTATCTTATGCAATTTAAGAATGCTCCTTGCTGTTCAAAGCATAACTTTATTTTAAACTGATTGCATAAATTGGTCGTTAAGGCTGACCTCTTTTCCCGAAAAATGTGCGATATTCCTACCATTTGTTGTAACTGCCGAGGGCAACTTGAGCATGGCAATGTCATTGTTCAAGTTGGAAGTTTTGTAATTTTCGTGGACAAACTTAGAATTTGTGGACATGGTTATTGAGCCTGCCAAGTTGACTTTACGATCTATTGCGCCGAGAGTAACGACAAAATTATTCCTAATAACAAGTAAAATATTTTAATTTACTTTTTTATCGTCTAATCATACAATTACGAATTAAATATTAAGAAAAAATTGAATACCTGTTGTAGACACAGTGAGCGGCAGTTAAAATCCATTCAGTCAAAATCAATGAGCCGCCGCACAAATAATTATTGTCAATTACTATGTACACTTGCCAGGGGAACTGGCCACGAAACGCTGCACTGCCGCCGATTATTTGGCCAGATACATGGCTACCCAATTTCCCAGCGTTGTGAGCTTTATTGAAGAAAATTATTCAATTTAAAAAAAGATGTCTACCATCGAGTAAGGGTTAAATTCACGTTGTGTGATGTTTTTCGCTCCTTCGTCTATTTTCAGCTTCATCCTCTTTTCAACTCTTTTCCACTGCACTTTGGTGTAGTTCTTGTTGCTAGAATAACCCCGTGGAAAGGTTTTTGACATAGATTTATATCTATTCAATTTCGAACTGCTTGACGTTGCAACACAAAAAATCTGAAAATACATGCATCCGATTGCATTAAAGTGAGTTATCCTTTTTTTAAATTGAAAAAATTTGTTTATATTATGCTATCATTAAAAAACTAGAGAGACTGTTTTGTAAAATAATAAATTTGTGTAACTATTTTTTTTTTTTAATTCATCAGAGTGCATTCTGTTCCAAATGATGGTTGATGTTTTTTGTTTCATACCTGGAAAAGAAAGATGAAAGCAATGGTCAAAAACTTCATTGTTGTAACAGTCTTTTGCATGGTCATTCCAACAATGCGCTGCAAATTTAAGAACTCTTAAATTTATTCTCATTTTTTTCTGCGTGGCTTGCATGCGCACGATATGAAAACTCGCCGAAGCTTACTTTTGACAAGAGAAAGCGTTCCCCTTCTTCCTTTTCCCTTCGTTCCTACATACATTACCATTTTGCATTTTAAAGCCAGGCTGGAGGTATAAAATTTAAGAATAACAGGAAAAATAAAGAACTGCGATAATTTTTTAGCCGATTTTTTATGTTTAATATCAATGTTCATTTTCAATTTTTTCTTTTCTTTAAATGACGAAGTATCTTAAAACTTAATTTGCCTAGTTTCCATTCCTCTTTGTTTAGTTAGTATGCCCGTGTCTAAAATATATGTCCGCAACTGTCAAATAGCATGTAATTTGCAGGACACTTTCCTCCAGGATCTATTTTTTTTTCAGGAAAAATTATAGTAAGCTTTTCATTGCTTGATTTGTATGCACATCTTACATCTCTGAGGGCAATCCTGTTAACAGAATCTCATTTAAAAAAAATTAATTCTTTATCAAATTTAAAGCATATTACCTGAGCCAGTTTTTGCTGAACGCATTGAACGACAATTAGCATTCTGCCATCACAATTAAAGTTGCCACTTTTGAATATTATGGATGCGCCTGAAAATTAATAAAGTTGGTAAAATGAGACCCCAATAATAATTCTTTCAAATTATACCACTGTAAAATTTTTCAAGACAATAGTCAACAGCACTCTCAGTTAATGTTATCCATGAATCAAGAACTTGGTTTTTTGTCAGGAAACTCTTGAGTTTCATAGCCTCAATATTACCCGAGGTGAACTGGAATGTGTCAATTATATTATTTAAAACGTTTTAAATCTTTTTTAATTTTGTTTGAATGAATTCAATTTTGCAACACACCACTTGCTGAGCTCCCAAGTAGCAATTTACAAAGCACTGGAAAATTTAATCAAGTATTTCGATTTCTTTATAATTTTGTGTGTGTCATTACAGCACTCTTAGCAAGACTGCGTTGAACTTTAGGATCGTTGAAATCGATGTTGTTATTATTTTTAATATTTTGATATTTGTTGAGCGTGAATTCATTGAATGCTTTTAACGCGTTCGCATTTACTTTGCAAAATTTCTCGCCTTTTGTCATAACCACCGCCTCTTTTACTGGTTGCGTCATGCAGCACGTCAATCTCAATTTCTGAAATTAATATCCTGTTTTGGAAAACTTCAAAAATACAAAATACAAGGCTTACTGAAAAATTCGCTTTTGCGCAATTTGATGGCTTTGTTGCAGGTGTTTTTGTGGTTGTTATGGTTGTAGTCGATGCTGTTCCTGCAAGAGGAACTGCTGTTGTTGCGCTTTCAGTTTCATTACTGCCTGAAACATCTTCATTTTTTTTTTTTAATTGAATTGTGTTCAATTGTGCGTGCCAAATTTTTAAAAAAATACCCTGGCCAATTTTTTCAGATAGCCATCCTAAGTATGAGGTAACTCGAGTAAAACCAGATGGGCCTTGTAGGCACCCGTCCGAAGAACCAAAAGAAACAATTCCAATTTGCTTGAATGTGTTCGAGCCATCCTTGTAGACCATGGGTCCTCCGCTATCTCCCTTCAAATACGTCAAATTTAAAAACAAAGATAAATTACATTTTAATTTTTGAACCGAGCAAGTCGATTTTGGGGTTATTAGAGTGCAGATGGTCGCACTGGTCACAATATCGCTTCCGTAATACCCAACGCATGTCTCGCTCGATATGATAGGCAATTCGACATAGTTTAAGCTCTTACTGGGCGCTGAGGCTGTTGAATATTTTGATTTTTCAATCCACATGCAATATATCAGAAAATGCACTTCATTACTTTCAGTGAACTTTCCGAATCCGCTGACAGTTATTGTCGCTCCCTCGAATGTTTTACTGCCATCGGAGAGAGACGGTAGCTTCACCACATTAATGACATCTGAAAAATATTTTTCGAAATTTATTACTATGAGCGAGCCATAAAATCACGTTTAATTATTTGCCTACCTGATAATTCTATACTAGATGGCAGTTTCAAAAGTCCAATATCGTTATTCAAGTTGTAGTCGTGGTAATTTTCATGGACGATTTTTTGTGTCGTTTGCAACGTAACCGAGCCCGTGGGATTTTTAGACCTGTCTATGGAACCAAGCGTGACTTCATATGCAGTTCTATAGTGATTAATTTGAATTTTAATAAATGCTCATTTGTTATTGTCATTTAATAAATGCCCATGTAAACAGTGAGCAGCGGTCATTATCCAGCTCGGCATTATTAATGATCCACCGCACAAGAAACTGTTGTCGATGATAATGTAAGCTTGCCACGGAAACTGGCCCTCGACGGCTTTTATTCCTCCAATGATGTAGCTGAATATGGTTAAATTGCTTACTTTTCCAGCTCCAGATGCTGAAATATTTGCCAAAATTAAAAAAAAAAAATATGGAAAAACGTAGGGAATTAAATAATACGCTGGTGAATTGGTTTTGCATTTGGATCTTCTTTTGGGATCAGAGATTGGGCTATGATATGCAGCTCGGTTTTGTTAAAAAAATTTTGCGACGTCTTTGGAAGGCTTCTTTGGATTAAAACGAAATCATTTTCTTCACTTGCGACCACCTAACCGAATTGAAAAATGTAATTATTAAATGATCATCAATTAAAAAAAAAAAATACACGCAGAAAATTAGAAAAAAAATATTTATGCTATTAAATTTTGATTTCTCCGAGTCTCACCAGAGCAAAAACGCCGCACTGAAGAAGAAAAGCTGCTACGTGCATTTTCTAAAATTCACTGCACTAATTTTCCTTACCTCAAAACGAAAAGTGCTGACGCAAACACGTCCACTCAAATTAACTTCCTGCTTTTGACATAATTATTTCTTGATGATTATTGAGGAGAGGCTTGTTGTTCCACGCATTAACATTTGAAATAGAATAATTATTATAAAGAAATGCAGCTCTAAAATTTTTCTAAAACTCTAAAGTTAATTTTTTTCGTTTACATGATATAAAAACAAAAAATAAATAATTTTTTTTATAAGTTCCCCCTTATACTATCAGCAAACCAGCCGTCAAAACACAAGGTTAGGGTAACTCACGAACGCACCGCGTTACTTCCCAGAAAAAATAAACAACATGTAAAAGGACCGTATATTTATTTTGTAATTTTGCTACAATAATTTTAAACTAGTTCAAAATCATCTTTGGTGTATCAAATATTTTACCAATTTTCATTGCATAATATATTTCAATCAAGGGGAAAATTAGCATTCAATTATTTGAAATTCTTGATTAACTGCCCTTTGAACGCAGTCACTGCACATGAATTAAAGGCGCTCCTTTTGGCTCCACAATTCTTGTTAGTTTCTAAAATTTCGTTATTTTTTACAATTAATGAGAGGATTTAACTGATTTAAAAACAACTTACTATAGCTGTCGCATAGCTGCAAAGAGCAAAATTCTTATTAATTGATAATTTTATTTATTTATCCTACAGAAAATATAAATTAATAATGCAACAAAACGTTTCAAGAAAATTCATGTATCAAATTAAAATATTAAAACTGTAACTAAACGAAAAATAAAACGAAGGCATTTATTAACTATTGAATATTTTTGTTACCTGGAGTAATTGAAACTGAGTGCATTGAACTATAGCGGCTGCTGTTGCATTGCACCATTTTCCAAAAGATTCAACATAAGGTATTTGATATTCTGCAGATAAATATCAAATATATTTTTTTATCACTTAACTCAATTCTCGTCGATTTTCATTACCCTGCAAGAGGCTTTCACACTCATTGAACGAAGTTGCAATTTTCGAAGCCCAATTTTCATCAACCTGATTTTTCATCAGCAGCTCAACAAAGGCTGTTGAATTTAAAGTGCCTCTTTCTTCATCAACTATCTGTTTTATAGGTGTAATTAAAATAAAAATTATGCAATTTAAAACTTACCACATGCTTCTTTGATAAGTAGCAGTTCACGAAACACTAAAAATTAAATATTAGCATTGCTATATATTATGATTTAAATCTAATTGTAGTACAGCCTGGTGTCTCATGTAGTCTTGCGTTTCGACATCATAAAAGAATACACTGTAATTCACTTTGGAGTGTTGTCCCTTGTTCAAAGTGTACTCATTGAATATTGACATTTTTGCTTTGCTATTAGAGCAAATTTTCTCTTGCCGATTGAATGGAACCAGTTCTTTGGGAGGATTTTCGCAACAGCTTTGCATTCTCTACAATGCATAATAAATATTTTTAACGCACATTAAATAAGAGTAACTAAATTTTGCAACCTTGAAGTCCGATCTTCTACAGTTTTTCAACATTTTATCGGACTTTTTCGGCGGCTTTGCTGAAGTGACTTTAGGCGCCGCATTCGTGTTAATTGACGTTATGTCCCCACTCACGTCTGTGAAAAAATGACAAATTCAATAAATTTAAAAAAAAAAATTATATAAAATTAAACACTAGCCTGGTCCAACGTAGGACAATATCCAACCAAGGTATGAGGAAACCCTCACAAATCCAGTTGGGCCAAATAAACACCCCTCGGCCGACCCGAATGATACGATTCCAATTTGCACCCAAGAGTTGCTGCCAGCTTGATAAACCAAAGGGCCTCCGCTATCACCCTTTTAAACATATTTTATTTTTTGTTTTGTCTTGGAGTTTTGGTTACTTGGCATGTTGCTTTGCCATCATCAGAGCTGGTGCACAAATTGCTTGAGGAGATAATATTGCTTCCATAAAATTGAAGGCACTCTGCATTAGATATCACTTTCAGGGTTGCATAATTTAACTTCACGCTAGCACCACCGACTGAGAAAGCCAATGCAGTTTGAAAAATGAAAAGTGTACAACGAAAAAAATAACAAATTATTAAAAAAGAATACCATCATTAGTTTTTCCAAATCCGCTTACTGTCGCAAAGAGGCCTTCAAAAGTTGTGCTAGACGCTGAAGCTGCTGGCAGCTTCACAAGTTTGATAAAATCTATTCACAGAAATAAATCAATTAAAAATTTTTTCATATTATAATTATTAAATTTTCAGACCAGACAACTTAACGACTATAGGTAATTTAACAAGGGCGATATCGTTTTGTAGTGTTTCAGGGTTGTAGTATTCGTGGATGAATTTTGTAGAAGTTGTCAGTGTAGTTGAAAGGGAGGCATTGTTTTGCTCTCGGCTTATTAATCCAAGATGTACCTCAAAATCAGTATTTCTTGAAAGCAATAATATATAAATAATAATTTGAATTAATTTTTTTTTTTTAAATGTTTACCCGAAAGCACAGTGCGCCGCCGTCAGGATCCAATCTGTGAGAATGAGAGACCCACCGCACAAAAATGATTTGTCCATTATGAGGAACGCTTGCCACGGAAATTGACCTTTTGTTGCCTCTTTGCCGCCAATTATTTGGTCATTTATGATTCTCTTTGTCCATTTCCCCGCACCTATAGCTGTGATTAAAACATCGCCAGTGAGATCAAATTAAGAATAATAATTAATTTTTAATATTTTTTACGTTGCATAATTTCTGCTCCTTCTATATCTGCAACTGGCTGTAATAGGCTGTTGTAATTTTCGCTGACCGTGTCATAATCAGAGGGAGATTCTGCTCTGTCAAACTTTGGAAACGTAACATAGAGTTCTTTCACAGTTTCAGGATCCCAAGGTGTCCCAGACCCTTTTATGGCCTGCCAGCGGAAAACACATTATGTAATTTTGTTTAATTTTTAGAAGAAGAAAATCGTAATGTTTTGCTAGGCAGAAATTAAATTAATACTAAACTTAGCTGTTAGCAATACGGTAGCAAAAAAGCCTACATACCCAGATGAAACGAGCGAATATTACGTAGTAAGCAGACAACTTCATTTCAGTGCACAAGGACAAAGATATAAAAGTTTTTTGCATTGCAATTTCTTTTTATTCTTCCGTTATATACTAAACATAATTAAGGGTTTTTACGATTAAGCAGAATTTGGTATCATATGAGAGCGGAAATGCGATACACCCGCGCCTACCCCCTTATTTTAAAAAATTGGGTTGTGATATCATTGCACTAAATTATATGAAATTATTCCAAACTTGTGACTTATAAAAACATACCCACACATTCCTGGAAAGTATGATTAACATGCTGCTTCAAAAGCTTTTCCTTGCGAAGAATGCAAAGTAAGCATTTATTTCACCAAAAGTTGCTTACATTTTTTTCTCTTCAATGAAACCGAGTCTAAAATTTGGATGATAACTTGTGATAATATAATAATTGTAATATCTGTTGGATTGTGTTGGATGAGAAAGGAAATGCAACCAGACAGAAGAGAATTTGAATATTTGTTGAAGAAAAAAAATTATATTATTTTGGCTTACTTTTAGGGTCTATTATATATTAAAGCCGCCTTGCAAGAACACGCTTCTTTTCATTACTTCACATTCATTGCCTCACTGCGGAAATTGTGTGCGCATAAGTGATCCAATAACTGTATTTGACATTTTCTTCAATTGGCGGGATTAGAGATCTATTCAGAATTTATACTCTAATGGTAATGCGCTGACAAGATAAGTTGTCGTAGGATTAAGCGCAAATATTTATTTTCAAATTGGAACTTCTTAGATTTACAGAGAAAGATCAAGGGAGAACTTTCATTTTGGCTTTTTTTATGGTTTTTCTTCCTTGAATTTTACGTAGCACTAGAATAAAAAAGGTTTGGTAGTCACAAGGAAGCAAGATAAAAATCACAAAAATTTTAAGATGCCAAAATTATATTTATTATTTAACATGCATTCAAAATTAAACTGGAGCAAACTGAACAAGTCGCTTGATGCGCCTCAATAGCATTCGTAAGAAGTTCTTACTTCCCTCTGGCTGATCCTTTTAAAACAAAATTATTATTTGGTTGCATTGCATAAAATTAGGAAAAATACCTTTGTTGCTTCAAGTATTTGGGCCTCAACACGGTCACTGATTCCCACCAACACACCTTGCTTCAACATGCTCAAATCCTGGACAGTTGGTGTAAATCCAGGCTCAAAGAGGGAGTCTGGCAAATTTTAAGGAATGTTATTTAAATTCTTTCATTACATTTTTACACTACCATTTAGAGCTTGTCCAAGTCGAGGCAAATTACGCCTTAGATAGAGGTCCAAATGGGCCCAGAGGAGGTGAAGGCACTCCTCTGTTAACAAGCACAAAGTTCTCATTTCCGCTTTTCTTCTGGTAATCCGATCTTCACAAATCTGACGGGACTGAGTGATTGGCTCAATAGTTGACATGCTTGACTGCAAATATGATTAAATTAAGTTACGAAAATTAAAAAAAAGTTTATAAGTCAAGTCGGCCTAGTTGCACACCTGCATGTGATGAGTAACATTGATAGAATTCAAACGGGCCAATTCCAAATCTATCTGCTTCTTTGCTTTGCCAACTAGCAAGGACAAGTCATTCACTTGGCTCAAGAGCAATCCTAAATCAGGCGCTTGCAAGTGTAGAGTACCTGGTTAAAAATATTTTTATTTACATCGGCGTCAAAATAATTTAGGCAACAAACCAGTGTGGCTTGCAGAATCACTGACGGCAGGCTTGAAAACAGGTCTCAAGACAGTCATTCGGTGATGGTCAATGGCAGAGCGACGTGCAAATGTCAGAAGGTTGAGCGCAATTTGCAACACAAGCAAATAGCATTTGTCATCATCCTCCTTCTGAGGGTCATCAGTGCTAAAAATTTGAATGTGTTATGCAAAATTTGAAAATCTCTGTGAACTAGTCATACCTTAGCTGCATAGCCAAATGCTGGTTGATGTAGAATTTTGGCAAAAGCGCCATTGCAAACTGCTTCAACCGCTGCATACACACAGACGTAGCCAGGGGTGGCGAGTTGGAGTCGAAAGTGCTGGGATGGGAACAAATTGACAAGAGCTTAACAACCAGGTTCAGCTCTTGCAGTGCCTCCATAGGTAGGTTGGGAGAACCACCTCGCAGAATTAGTTGGAAGACGTCGCCATGGCTGATCATGAAGTGGGTCACCTAATTTTATTTAGATTTGCTTAAAACAATAAAATCACAACATGATTTCCAATTTACCTCGTGAACACATGACATGTTATCATTGCCCATTGTGTTCAGCACCGACGAACATAGCTTGAGGGCTGGCATCAGAATTTGGTGGTATCTCGTCAAAGTGCCAGGTATCCCTATGTCCACTTGTGACATTTCCTCATTGTTGAATGGTCTGCAGTCCAGTGCGGAAAGCTCGCTCAGAGACGAGAGAAGGCGAAGTCGTAGACAAGCCTCTGCCTCGGGACGTTCTTGGACCAATCGACAAAGCAGTGCCTAGAATTGTTAGCCAATTTAGCAAAAACGGAAGAAGAAAACAGTAAACATACCATTTTTGCCTCATAAACATAGAGTGGCTTCAGATTTGTTGGAGAAGGGCGCAGCATTTCCAAAAGCTCAGGATCGCTTTTGGTGATGGACTCAATCAGAGACTGCAAGTAGCCCTTGTTGATCATCAGGACAGTCCAACTGGCTTGCGGGCTAAGACGGAACTAGAGGAGTTAAGTTAAAACTTGGGCTACTTCTTAGATCATTTAAAATTACCAAAGCAGCAATCATAGACAAAGCAAGCATCCTGCAAACTTCATGGCCACGAATCGCATCAACAAAAATGCTATTAATCCAGTTTTCATTCAGCTTTGAGAGAGCTTCTAATGCAGCCATGCGTCGTTGGTTTAGAGTAGTAATGGTGTTCAAGTTGGCTGAAAAGTTTTAAAATTAGTCCCTAAAAACAAGGCAAACTATGTGAAACTCACTAGCAATTGGATTCTGGGCCAGACGTCTGAAATAGAGAGAGGAGCCTCCTAGTCCCTGTCCAAGGTCTCGTAGTTCTTCAGCAGTGGCGTCAAAGCAAGCCAGATGTAGGAAAACCAGCAGAGATCCATATAAATTGGCTCGGAGCATTTGAACGTTGCTTACTAAATAGAAAATTCTAATATTTAAGTTGATCAAAAAGTAAAAATATTTACTTGGTTGGTTCAGCCAATGAGCAATGCCTGAAAGAACTGCGCCAACAGTTGGAGTGTCAATGGTTAGCATGTAAGGGTCTGCAATGACATTTCCCAAGTTGTCAAGCAAAGGCTGGGAAGGATCCACTGTCCTCTCTCTTGCCTCGAGTACTACTAAATGACATTGACGAAGGCTGGCCAGCAACAAAAGCAAAGCTGACGAGCCGAGAGACGCAACCTCTGGAGACAAAATGTCTGCGGCAAGCTGGATCTAAGAAGTTTAATTATTAGTAGCTCTAATATTTACTAAAAATAACTAACCTTAGTGAGGAGGAGTTTGATGATGGCCAAGAGTATGCGATGTCTCTGTCCAACGGGCATGAATTCCATGGGAATGACATTGAACAGCACACCAACAACATGACGCCAAGCTCCGACAACTTTTATTCCTCCCAAAGTTATACCGCGTGCCTTGTTCACTTTGGCAGCAAAATTCAGAACTTCCTACAGCGATAAACATTGATTAAAAATAAAAATATATTTTAAATTTGCGTACTTTTAGCTCTGCATTGACCAGGTCTCTCTGGCTTGTATATGCAGATGATTTGCTGAGCTCTGTGCGGAAAAGAAGACTCAATTTGGATATATCAACCAAACCCTCTGATGGACTGCCACTTGGAAACTCGCACTTTTTCAAGGCCTAAAACAAAGTTTAATAATATTTAAAAGGTATTACACAAACAAACCAGTTCAATTTGAGAATGGTCGAAAAATCGCCACTGAACTGCTTCCACTTCCTGAATTGTGAAATCTACATCTTGCAAGATCATGGCAATCAATTCAGCACCGTGCCTCTGTTTTTCTAGAAAATTATTTAAGTTGACAAGGTATTGGCCTTCCAAAGATTATTAAAATACCTTGATAGCCACTGTAGCTGAGATGAGTTGCATCGACTGATTTCATTATGTCTTCAACAGGCAAAGACAAGAGTGATCTGAGTAGGCCTTGAATTGAAGATTTCTGTTTGTCGGATGAACTGAGTTTCAAGTCAATCGCAATGCAGCGCAGGAGCCACGAGGCGCAGTGCAATCCATTGGCTGCAAAATACAACATTTTACACATTCTTCAAAGATTGATTTTTAAAATTACGCGTCTTGGCAATGACTGCACTTCGTATCTTGATTAGGTGTCTCGATAGGAAGTCGGAGCAGAGTCTGAGATACTTCAAAGTTGGCCTGGCACTTTCAGGGTTTGAACACAAGACGTGAAGAATTGCAAAGCCTCTCTCGTGCAGACAATTTGGCTTTTGATAACCAACAGGAGCATTTGTTAGCGAGTCTAAATTTTGGATGATCGAATGAAGACAAGTTCTCGGGAATCCCAAAACACCTAAAATTTGCATTTTAAAATCTAGCAATAAATAATAGTTGTGAGAATAATCACCAGCGTGTTGAAGAACAGTGTGCCTCATCTCCCGTTTTATTTCATAGCCCAGCAGCAAGTGTGCCACTGTTGGAGGTGGAAATGCCAGGCTCTGGGCCAAAAAGTCCAAAACGTCTTCTTTAAGCTGCATGCTTAATGTCTCTCCATCTAGTTCTGGCTCGTAGGGGTCTTGTATGGAGCTAGCAAAGTCCAGAACATCAACAAATGCATGTTTCGATTGTTTAGATTGAGTGGCAAATGCCAGCACTTGAAGAAGTTTGTGGTGGCTTCCAGGATTTGAGGCCAAAAGTGTGAGGAACTTAATGGCCAGTGATGCGTGTCCAGGCAACCACTGGGCATACGTCAAGAACCTGCATTACAAAAATTTAAAATTTGATAAATAAATAAATTCTATTTGTATAATTACTTGATGATATTAATAGGGTGGTCTTGATGTCCAGTGCGGGGGTTGATATTGAAGATCAACTTATCGAGGCCAACCAACGTCTGTGTGGTGTTGGCAGCTGTTGTGGCAGCAATGGCCTTGGTTAGTTTAGGCAATTTTGACAATGCCAGATGCAGAAGGGATAAACAAAAGCGAGCACTTTTTTCAAGGCTGCTCTTTCCAGGAAATTCTGAAAACTTTTCCAACTGCAAGCATGCTTCGTCCAAAATTTGGAGCACCTGAAATTATAAAATTTTGCTTTAGGATATTTGAAAAAAAAAAAAGGATTTAATTAGCCAAACCAGTTTGATCAGTGGAGATGGCGAGTTTAGGGAAACCAAGATGCTAAATCCTGGATGAGGAGCAACATCGGTTGGAGTTTGTCCTGGTGTTACTTCAACTTTTCTCCCTGCTATGTCTTGAACATTTGGTTCGTATATGGATAGGAGAGAATGGAGAAGCTCCAAACAATTTTCAGCAACTTGCCACTGATAATAAAGTACATTTTAATTAAAAATACTTATGTTGAAAAGATAAATACCCTTTCTTCTGGCTTTCGGTATGTGCGGTGCAAAAATGGCAGAAAGACGCAATCGAGGGCATAGTACATGTGAGGGGATAGCCCAGGAGGCCGTTTGCCAACTCCAAGCAGCAATGGCAGTTCTGCATTCTGCACTAGCAAATTTAATAGCTTGAGAGTGGCTCGAGACAGTGGGTACTCCTCGTTACGGGTCTCGACTTCCTCCAGCTCAGTCTATAATAATAAAGTGGTAACACATCCCCTTCTAGAAAATGAGCGAAAATTTACCTGCAGACCCTTGGGCTGGTAGCTTGTAGAGGAAGGCGCTGTGCAGATGATGTTGGTAGATTCCATTTGCTGCCACACCTCATTAGCAACTTCCGAAGACTTTGCCAAAGAGGCCACCGTCAACAAAATTTCTGCCTTCAATGGAATGGGAACTGCGCAGCGAATCAAAGCCAGGAAGGTCTGCACAGGAGACCAGCTTGGATTCTGAGCCAAAGTTTGCCTTCCCATAGGATCATTATCTGTGATGTGTTAAAATTAATTCCCAGTGTGATAGTTTGCAAAATATAAATAATCACCAGCCACTGCTCTGATCAAAGCCAGAACGCCGTGCAAGCCCATTAATTCTTGAGGGTTGATGCCCCTGGGCATCCCTCTGGGTCTGTACACCGAGTCAGTTGCCGAGACTTGTGTTTCTTGACTCAAATTGCTTGCATATCTAGATGATTTTTTAATTTTTGTTATTTTAATTGCACACCTGAATCAATTTACCTATGCATTGCTCTGTAGAAGTGGCTCCAGGAAATTGTGCACTTGCTGTCATTGTTTGCATTCAGCAATTGAAAGATGTGCTGAGCACCTCGGGGTTGCTTTGCCAACGAGGCAAGGAATTTCAGGTACGGCACATAGAGTGAGGATGGAAGAGACTCTTTGGTCAAATTGGCAAACTTGCTCAAGATATTCTAAAAAAATAATATTGAATTTAAATTACCATTCATGAATTTTTAATTAAAGCCAACCTGAGCAACAGGTGTCCTTGTGTAGATAGCGCTACCGTCCATCGGAGGCAGCCCCCAAAACTCAAGTCCCAGTCCGTGTTTGTCATTCTCGTAAAGGAGGGCCATACTTAGCATCAAGTGCTCAAAATGGTGAGGCAAAGTCTTTGGAGGCTGCAATCCTTCATGGATATAAGCACTCATCACCTTAGAAATATCAAACTGTAAAACGCAATCTAAAAAAACAGTGATTTTACTTTTGCCGCCTCGTCTGCAAAATTCCTCATTTCTTTCACTTTCATAGGCATCAGAATCAGCAAGTCAGTGAAGAGAGTGTGCATACGTCGAACGTAGAATTCCTGAAACAACAAGTTGTTCAATTGATTGTTCTCTAAACTCGTCGAGTGAGTTTACTTCTTTAGCAAATGCTGAATGAGAGAGCATGCGGCTGTAAAGGAATTCAAACACCAGGTTATCATCTAAAGCAGCTCCGATCAGAAGTTCGTCATCATCTCTCAAATTGAGTTTGTTCCTGATGCTTGCTGGAGCCATCCGAAGGGAGCACAGCGCAAGTCCCCAAGCCATTTGGGCCAATCCTTGCAGACCTTTGCAGCCCCAATTGTTTGTTGTCATTGGAGACAAGTCCCTCATCAAACTTGGAATGAGGCTGTGCTCGGAAACCAATGGAAGCCGTTGAACCAACTCTACAAGTTCAAATATTTGTTATAAAAAATATGTTGATTTAAGGGGAATTAAATTTTAACCATCTTGCTCCTCTTTCCTTTGCAAAATACTGACATCAAGTGCATAGAGCAATGCCATAACAAGTGCCAAATTGACACCGTCAATAGCAGATCCAGCCGTATCTTGGTCCATTCTATTGAATAAATAATTTTAATTAATTAGTAAACAGTTTCAGTAAAAATTTTAATGAATAATTACTTTATTTCTGAAATATATTTGATGAGAGGGAGCAGTGCCGTCTGGGGCAGTCCAGCTTGAGCAGAAAGGCAGAACACAATGTCGGCTAGAGTTTGCCTTGTGCCTGTGATCAAATCGTAGATAAGTCGCTGGTGCTTCGGCCCTCCGAGGCCTCGATTCCGTTGAAGCTTTTCCATCTCCTTGTTCACGTCAATTTCACTCAAGAGGTCTAGAATGTTGCTGACAAGGTTGTTGGACACCAGTTGGTCCATATAGGCAGCGATCAATCTGTTGTCGCAGGCGCCCGCAAATTCCCAACTGACACCTCGCCTGGCTTGAGCCAAAAGGCACAGAGTGTCGCAGATGGCTTTACGACCGTCGTAAAAGAGCATCACGGCCACCAAGCCTCGGGTCAATTCTGGGTAGTGCTGCATTTGTTGCTCAGCTGATGGAATAAGGATTACAAAAATTAGGATCATTTTTATTTAAAAGTTCAAAGCTTCAAGAGTTATTTCTTAAGTCTAAGGTTTCATTTACCGACGCAAAGAAGGTCCAATGCTACATATTCATTTATGGAAAACATGTCAGAGATGATGATCGCCTCCTCCAAGAGCTCTCTGGAGATGTGCAGAGGTTGCCGAAGAGGCAAGCCAGTGTTTTCCTGAACACATCGCTGAAGTTCTTGGCGACTTTTAGGGTCTGGGCCCTGGAAATTAGATTAATGAAGGGTAATTAAAAATTATTTTCCTCGTATTTTGGACTCACTGTATTTCTAAGCAAATTTAAAAACGTCTGTTTGAAGTTTTTGAGATTTTCTTCAAGGATCATAGAGGGGTACTCGGACGGTGCAGCAAGAAAACTGGAGATCGTGCTGTGCAGTTCCTTGTAAGGCGTCCACAGGTCTTCCGTCGGGCCCGAACCGCGACTTTTTGGGTCCACAATCACCATGATTGCAGCCTCTTTAGAAGAATTTCCTCCGAAAATTGACAATTTGCCGGCTTTCGCTATTCATCAACAATAAACATGCCGCGAACGGAAAGGGGCAAAGGGGGAAGGGGGAAGAAATCAGCTCAGAGCTCAGTGCTGCCACCGACGTTGCCACCAACAAGCAGGGCGACTCGCTTGTGGTGGCGCGAAATAATGGCGCGACGTATCAGGGTCACGTGCCATGTGCCATTACCAGTAATAAGACTATAATTATTACTAGTTTTAAGTTTCAGAAGGAAGTTGCGGATGCGGAAAACAAATGAATATTAAAATATTGTAACAAAATTATTTGTGCAGAGCAATCATGTTAGAATTTTTTACAGTGAATCAAAAATTATTGAGCGTTTTAAAAAATAATTAGTTAAAATGAGGTATAAAAAAACCTTTTTTGTGGTAGAATTTCACAATCGGGGGTTGATTCATGGTGATTTGAATTTAAAATCGGCTTTCACTCGATGGGTTTTTGTGAGTTGTTTATTGTTTCAGAAAAAACAATATCCTGCTCTACGATCAAAAAATTTTGATTTTTTTTTAAACTAATTTTCGTGAGATATAACCGTGTACATAGTGGGATGGGAGTATGATATAATTACAGTGGTTTTTGAGAAGTCTATTGTATGAAAATTACCTACTATTTTCGAACTATGGTACATTTCGCAAGTTTTATAAGTGAAAATTTATCTTCCGCACTTAATCGTACAGTTTTTAATATCACTACCGGCCATAATCTTATCAAAATACCCAGAATATAACAAGTGATTGATTATCCATTTTCGACCTTTTAAGCACACCTGTCGATCATGTGAATTCTGGCACATTCTTCTTGTCAAAAGACGTTCCAAAGTCGTATCGGACTCACTGCGGTCTTTTTGACCTCAGAATCAAAATTCTTGTCGTTTCCTTTAAATATACATTTTCTTTAAAACAAATTAGATTGTACAATAGACTAATAAACAACAATTAGTAAAATGCTAATAAAAATCACTATTTTGAAGTTTGCTTCTAGAATGCAGTGACGCAAAATTTTAAATTAATGAAAAAAGCTTGGTTCTAGCTTTTACGCAATTTTACGAAATAATATTCTTTATTTGAAACTGAAAAAAATTAGAGTTTAATTTTGTTGCATTTATCCTTTCACTATTTAATCGTTTAATCAATAAAATACTGTTTTTTTATGTTTTACATTATAATTAATTTCCTTCTCATCATTTCCGATGCACAATTAAGTCATATCATATCACTTTAAAAAGATTGATTGAACTGTGAAATCCATTGCGCAATCGTTAATTCTACGCGTTCCCTGGCCGCGATGAGTTGAGGAGGATCGTTCTCGAAGAAAAACTGTTCGGCAGCGTGTCCAACGTCTTAAAATTCACATTCGTGTTTTAACATAATTTCAGCAGACATAATTAATAAAATTTCAAACCTTGAATCACGATAACAGGAGCGTCGGCATTAATATCTGCTTCAGCAGCCACCTTCGTCCAGCCATCAAAACTTCCGTGGGTGAAAATGGCCCTGGTGACGTCGGGAATTTTACCTCCGTATTCTAAATTTGTTCTTGCCACTCCAGCTTCCAAAATGGCTTGAGAAAATCTTTGCAGGTTTAAATTAAATTTTTAATCATTTTAAACAATTAACTATTTTCTTACTGCTCGCCAAGTACGTCGGCGCAAGAGTCGATAAAATATTCAACTGGCACCACATTTCCAAAAGGCGAATTTCCAGACAATGTAAAGAACCAGCCAAGCTCAGTGCAAGTCTGATAAATGTACTGGCGATCTGCATTATTAAAAAATTAGTTAAAAAAATTAAGTAAAAAAAATACACACAATTATTTCCGGGAGCAACTGCGGTAGAATTTCGATAAAATTCCATAAGATCGTCGTAGTGGACGTTGAGGCAGATATTAGGATAAGCTTGCTTGACAACTTCGGCCAAATTAAGCAAAGGTGTTCCGGTCCCATCCATCAGCTTATCACATTCGGCGGAAATCATTCCTGGGAAAGCGAATTGAACAACTGCCCCGTAGAGATTGGCGACGAGCGCATAAAGGTATCTTGCATCTGTCAGAAGAGTGAGGTCCGATTCCGGACACAAACTTTATATCGAAATTTACTGCGTGGATTAATAATTCAAATAAGTTGATTAATTATACTTGAAAGCAGTTGAAACGTATTGAAGGCTTGCAGGTTGTTGGCTAGAAATCAACGCCACCATTTCATCCATAGCCGCTGACAAATAACCTGGGCACAGAGGATTTACCTTGGCCAATCCAACTCCAGTCATCTCATGATATTCTGAATTTTTTTTAAATGTTTTTTGAATTGTTTTAACTTTTATTTTAATTTTACCAAAAAAGTCAACTTTAGCCTCCTGTTGGCCACTTGATGAATACGCTGCGTGGAAAACGTGCGAGTATTTCTGCCTTGCAAATCCTGCGATCATTCCGGAATAAGAGGTTCCGCAAACGATCCACGGACCGGTGAAATTGTGGATTTCGTTCATTTTTAAAGCGAAATCGGCAGCATCAGCCAGTGCCTGGTCAATACTCAGATAAAGCAAGCTTTCAGTTTCCAAATCGCTAAATATTGAAAGTATAAAAATAATATATATAATTTGTTTTCTTTTTTTAAGCACTTGCCCAATTGGCTGGCTTAGGCCGTAATAGCGGTGCTCAAGTTCAAACAATGCGCCATTTAATCTTGCCGCCATCTGACCGACAAAGGATGTGTTTGAAATGTAATTTCCAGTTGCATCCCATTCTCCGTCGAGAAAGAGAAAAATAGGACCGCCTTGGACGTAATGATCTTTCGTCATGAAGTATCTCTATCGTTAAAAAAAATTGTTTGATTAATTATTAGGACACCAATATTGTGGCGCTGGAACAGTACCTGGCTAAATGTTCTAGTGTCCAGTGGTCTGGAGTGATCCACAATTTGAGTATGCCACAATTGCTCTGCATCGGTTGTACCTGCAGCGGGCAAAAGTCTACTTTTCGGGCTAAATGGCCCATTCAAGCTCCCAAATGCGGAGCTCGTCACAAAAAGCAAAAGCAGTATTTTCTAATAATGGTTTAATTAGTTATTGAAGCTTCCAAATTTAATTTGAAAAGTATTATACCTGAATCATTTTGAGTACGTGATTATCGTTCTATGATTTAGCACTCTTCTTTTATACCTAATTTTTAATCAAAGATTTCATTATCTCCAAAGGATTATCAACTCAATAGATGACTTCACTCATGATTGGTCACTCTGATAGATTGGAACAGGTACAGGTGGCAACTTCTTTTTTAAAAAAAAAAAACAATAATCAATGCAATCAATCTTTAGCTTTTCTGATTAGTTTGACCGACACGAGCCTCCAATAGTACAATGGAAAAGCTGTAGAAATGTATATTAGATTGACTGATATTGACTTGAAAAAATAAAATAAAAAATATATTTCATTTCACTTTGTATTTTTTTTTTTAATTATTTTTGATTAATTGCCCTAAAAAATTTCCTTGGTCAACCTATTTGGTTTAAATTATTATTATTTGTTGTTAATTATTTTTCCTCCTTCATTCTTTAAATTACAAGACGATGAAACACTTAAAATCCAATAAATAATCTCAAAAATCGCACTTGAAACTTGATTGACTATGAGAGTGGTGCTTAGGAAAGTTCAAATTCAAATAATATCTCATTGATATGATATCAAAAACGTGCCCCCAAATTGAGAGTGTGGGAAATTTCAGACTCAAGACGATTATTATTCGATAAGAATAAAATCCACACCTCAAGCCTCGCCTCTTGTGCATAATTTTGCAAAGTGCGATTGTGAAAGTTGAGAACTTTGGCGGCACAGATGGATTTGTGTATAATTAGCATCTAGCAGCCCCCTTTACACAGTAACTTCATAGTAAAAGGCATGATCCGTGTCATATGGACCACCAAGGCGCGCGCTAATGCACCCGTCAATCAAACCGTAGCCATGTAAATAGAATCTTAGAAGGTGCTGCCGGCCGATGAAACATGCAAGAGTGTTTAGCTTGCTTGGCACATATCTGTAATTCTCGCGCTTGAAACACAAAAACATCACAAATTAATATCACTTTGTTGTAAATATCCCTTTTTTTTAAAGTATTTAATTCAAATTTTATTTTCCAAAAAGTATACAAACAGCAACTAATTTTGTCTTAATTGGGTCAATCAAAGAAAATTAATTTTTTTATAATTCTTAACAAATCATGTTTATCATTATTAAATTATTTATATTTACTTTTCTATAATTTCTAAAAAAAAAAAATTGGAATTTGCTTCACTAAAATTGTTTATTTCAGAAGAAAGCTGTCTCTTGCCGCAGTTGTTGGCCTTTTTTTGCAAATAGTAGTGGCTGTCGAAGAAGTCATTCTTTTGCTGTTGGTCCATCAAGAGAAGAACCACACTGATTTGAACAAATTTTCCGAAGGGGATATCAGACATTAGTTACCTCCCATGTTGTATTTGCTTTAGGCGGTTTGGTTAATGAAACAGTTGGATTGTGGTAAGTAAAAACTAGCCGTGTTCCTCGAGAGGGCGAGAGGAAGAGAGTTCGGAGAGCGAGAGAGAAACGCGGCGCGCTCTTGGCGGATTGTTTTTCTTTTGCTTTTCCCCGGGGGGTGAGTGTAACTTAATAAGACTGCACGGCCAGCAAACTAAACATTAAACATCTCTCAAGACGTGAGAATTACAGACTGCCGCTTTTCTTTTATTGGTCTTATCAAAACCACATGTACAAAATCGCATCAAAGTCGTCTCAACGTTTGATTTTTGTCACGTGTTCGTCTGCCTTCTGGACCACCATGGTTGAGATCACTTCTTGTCTCATTTAAAATTTTTAAATGTATGCAAATTTTAAATTGAGATTTTTTTCTATTGGCGCCGGCAGACTGGATATGTATTCAAAAACTCTTTTGATATTATGTTTAGGCGATCTCGCATCAATAAGAAATATTTACAAGTTATAGCTTTGAATGACACGCTGCTAGTTGAATGTTAAAAGCCTGTAAATACTGTGTTCCTGTTGCATACATGTCTGTCCATTAGACGCCCTAATACCTCTTTGATCACTCCAACCTTGTGCCAAGCGAGAAGTTTGTTTTCTTTAGCGCCTCAATGTCTTTGATGCGCATAAAGTCGGCAGGAAATTTCTTCAACATCGGCGGTAAACAACGATTTTCAAAACTAGATTTTGATTTCACGCTTGAGATTATCCGCAGGATTTTTTCATATAATATGAGAGATTACATGCACTGAACCCACAGTAATCGGATCTTTGATCTGCGCAATGAGCGATTTGCAGTGTCAAATGTCTACATAATGGATGGCCTCATCTAAAGGCTACTTGTCTACAGTTTCCACAATGACTGATACTGTAAATAAATATTTTTAGGGGCCCAGTGATCCATCAAAACGCACGGAGAGAAGATTTTGCTTTCTCGATTGCAATCAATATCACGAATCTTTCCATAGAAAGTTTTTTATTTTAATTTCATTATGTATTTTAAAAGTTTCGCTTTATTAAATTTCAAGTAAAATCAATAAATTTGAAAATACGTCAGATTTTGTTGTCGTTGTTGTTCTCATAAAAATTCAGCCCGCAGTTACAAAAGGTTGTTTTTATCTAATAAGGCGCCGTGCTTATTTTCAATGCGATACCCTCTCTTTTTTCTCCCGCAGCTATCCAAACAATGGACCACACCGTATACCCACCCACTCGCATTCTCTGCAGGCGCACAGCAGCATTCATTGGCTTTTTGTTTGTAAAGTAATCCCTCAGGAGTTCCGTCAGCTTCTCGGCAATCCGTTTAAATGTGACAAGATAAACACTGGGGCCGCTTTGCAGATCACGTTACCTCAGATTGATTCTGCGGCAATCGCATAAACACAATTGTGTGGCGACGACGTGTGTTATTCTTCAATACGCCGCGGATTTTCCTACCGTCTGCTTTGATCTTGAAATATATTCATGCAGTATAACGTGAACATACAAAAACTGCTCCCCATGCATAAATCATGAGTGACGAAAATAAAAAAATCAGTAAAAAATACTTTTTTTTTTACTCATTTTGAAAACAAAAATTGTTTTCCGATTCTGATAGTATTTTTATGGCCAACGAACCTGTCCAAATAACAATTATTTGGTATAGAATAATAATTAATTTAAAAGTTATGCATGTTTTAATTAATTAAATGCAATGATGAGAAGTTTTGTCTCACAATCTGTTTTACTATGAATTTTGAATCAAAACGTTTCAACCGGTTTCAACAATATATTCAAGAATTATTACCTTTTTCTACGAAATTTCCTATTCATTTAAGAAAATGGATTGATGAAATTAATTGATTTAAGTTAAAGGTAAAATCATTCAGTTTTAAGTGGTCTTATAAAAAAATATTTTCAATTTTTTTTAGCATCATGCATATTATTAAAGTTTGTATCTGGTTTGTATATGAGTCAAAGTTGCCCTTTTGCAAAAATAATAAACAACCATGTATTGGCATAAGTAGATACAAAAAAAAAACGGATGTAATTTGATTGACATAATTGTATTTTCCCAATTTTATTAAATATTCTACTTCACTATGGACACATGAGGAATATTCATTTATTTTTAAATAAATTTAAAGACAAAATAACAAAGAAAACAATCAACTGCTCATAACATTAACATACGCTAATTTAGAAATAAGTTTCTTTTAAATGCTGTTTTTTTTTTATTAACATAAATTGTGCTGAATTATGGCTCTTGGTGGATTTTCGCGTGCAGCTGCTGCGTCCTGGCGCACTCGAGGCACCCTGGCAAGTAGCACGCCAGAGCTGCCCTGTAGGTCGGAGGCAGCAGCAGAGGCGGCAGAGGCCCCAGAAACGGAGATTCCCCGAAGAGCAAGGGTGGCGGCGGCGGTGCCAGAAAGGGCAGATTCTGGTGAGCCGCGGGTGGAGATTCGGCCGCGAGTGGACTGAACGCGCTGCGAGGACTCGGAGTGGGAGAAACAGGTCCTGAAGCAGGAACCGAGTTCTCCGTGCGCCGGACGAAATGTTCGATGGCCCTGAGAAGGTCGTGGCCGCAACGACGCAACACCAGCTCCAGCACGGCGCGCTTCTTATGAGGGAAAACGCGCGACAGGGTTTCCAGCGACGACAGACGCAGCTCGTCCTGCTGAGGAGCGGAATCACTCGGAGAAGCCAGTTGCTCTTGGCAGATTTCTTTTTCTTCTGAAAAGTATCAATTTTGAATTTTACAGGCAAAAGTCAAATCAAATTTTAAAATTAATAATTAAGTAAAAAAAATACCTTCCACTGGTTCTGATGGTTGTGCAGGAGCTTCGACTGTCTCAACTTCGATTTTCTGATCATCGGCGGAATCAGCCACGCCTGCGAAAACAGGTCCTGGAGGTAAAAAGCCGAATTGCTGCCCTGTGGCCATTGCCCTCAGTCCCAGAGCAATCGCGTCCTCTGCAGCTTGCTGTCTTTTCAGTGCAACCTGCGAACAATTAAAAATGCATTCATTGTCAAAAGGGGATTTTCTGATTTTACAAACAAAGGCAAAGGCAGATTTGTTTGAAAAGAAAAATATGTTTAAATGGCATCAAAAAAATTTTTTATAGGATCCAAAAATTCAATTTCAATTTTTTCAATTTCAAATATTCTTTATTTTGTTAAGCATTAAGAATAAGATTAATTGTTGCATGGTAAAGCTGCGCGTTAATTCAAATGTAAACTTTCTTTCGCTATATTTCACAATGATTAAAAGCAGGGATGTGGTATCAGTCATATTGACACAGCGGCCGACGGCGCGTTAGAAACCTGATATGCGCTCTCGCCTCTTGCATTAGCGGCCCTTGTTTTTTCATTTGTGCGCCGTGCGTGCGTATTTCCACCGCTCTCTTTCAGTACGCAGAGGAGTTACAATGCCTGGACTCCCCCATCGTTGATACTGCCATGTGCGTGATTTATTCAATATGTGCGTTTAACAAACAACCAAGTACAAACGCGTTTAAGCCACGTAATCCAAATCGGAATTAATTGCGCAAATTATTTAATTTTTACTCCTTCGCATGAGAATCAAACAAAATTAGAATTCGGCTTATTTAAAACGAAATAAATTATTCAGCGGGTCTAAATACTGCATGTTGCATTAAATGCATTTCAATTGTAGCTCCTTCAACGCGTTTGGCTCTCTTTTGAGGAAGCAATGCGGCTTATATAAATTAAGTTAGATTGGCTCCCTGAGGAAACGCGTGAGTCTGTGTGATTTCTTTGTTTGACTTTGCGTCCCCTACTCATGATTGCCCAGAGCGAGGTGGAAATATCTCCAGGGAACGCAGTCAGCAGCATAGATTTATGCAAGAAAACAGCATCAGTAACATTTTGAGTCACGGATAAATTTATTAAATGGAAATACAAACAATTTGCCTTTAAAACGATCTCTAACATAAGTTTTTTTTTCATCCCGGTATGATGACAAATTTTATGCTTATAATATCTACGCTTCTCTTTTTATGAAAATTAAAGAAGAAAAGAAAATTTCAAATATGGAGGTACACAAAAGATAGTTGGATCTGCATAAAGTTATTCTTTTCACTTTTTATTTCAAAACTTAAGTAACTTAATTGCATTCAAATTTGCAATTAATATATTATATTTACCAGAATAAATAAAAAGCAAAGCAAACTTGTACTCGATCTTGTGTGCTGCAGGTTGCATAATCTGATTAATTGCAGGCGCGCAGAGCAAAATGTTGTCGTACGGCTTATAACATTTTAATCCTTAAATTTCATTTTTAATTATTTTGATCCATAAAAGGCTTAAAATCTATAATTGATTTATTTGTAATAAGTAAGGTTGAAAAAAAATCATGACCGTTTAAAATTCTTCTCTTAGGCCGTTACAACTTTTTATCATTAAATCATTGATCAATTAACTTGATACTTATAGGATATAAAATTTTATGCGATTTCACAGAATCATTTAATGGATTAAGTGTTTTATGGATTGAAATTGCATGGAAGAAATTGTCAAATTCACAGGGTTGCGCGTAAGTAATTTTATGAGATAAATTAATAAATTATATATTTATAAATATATAAAGTAATGAATTAGCGAAAATTGAGTCTCACCTGAGCTGCCATGACCCTTTGTCGCTCAGCAATGAGGTTGCACTTGACGCAGGCACATTCCTTGAACTTGCAGTGCCGCTTGTGGCCCTTGAGCCACGAGATCATGCCGTGATTTCTGCACCTGGCGCATTTTGGCCGCCTTGCTGACTCGGAACTCATCGCGAATAAATTCACGATTAAATGCTTCGCTGCACAACTCAATCATTCAGTTCGTCTTGACGAGGGCGGAGAAAATCCAAATCGGGTGCATGCGCCTGTGCGTGACGGGGCGGAGAGAGGGTGGGTCCTTCTGAAGGAGCACCCTCTTTAGCTCATGGAGAACGTATTAAATTTGGAGCTGAGGCTGCACAGAAAAAAAAATATAAAAATAATAGCGTTATAAACCGTTTAGAGATTTTTTAGTGTATTTCTTTCAATTTTTACAATTTAATAATTTTTACTTGGTTTGTCACCCAAATAAATATATATTTTAATTTACAATTTAAAAAAAAATAATTGAAACGAAGGAAAAACAAGTGAAATAGATTATTTCCTGTTGTATTTGAGCATTTTCTGCTTTTTTTCATACTTTCAACAAATTGCGATTCAAAAACAATCTAGACGAAATATGCCTTTCAACCTGCAATTTATATTTCATAATAATTATATGGGATCTGGGCTCCAATTATTTAAGAGGAATAAGTCATTCTAAAAATTTCACTTACAGAATCATTAAAAATCAGACCCATCGAGCTTAAAAACTTTTCAGTTTGCAAAATGCACACACCACTTGCTCAAATTGCTCAATTTTCAATTTAAAAGAAATACTTTTTGCCACGTTTAACATTAAATTAAATATCTCATGTTTTAGGGCGGCTGGATCTCTTTTTATTCTTTGTAGATTTTTTATAGAAAATTAAACTTGAATCAATTTAAAAAATTTAATAAATATTTTTTTAGCTTCTTTCTCTGGGAGGGGACAACTTTTTTTGGCTATTATAATAGAGCTGACGGCAAGTACTCTTTTTAATTTCAGGTAATTTTCATAAAACCTGAATTTTTTAATATATATGTGCGATGTCTTGCTTTCTTGGTGAATTATTATAGTCGTTTTGGGTTAATCTATATTTGCGCAGAAAGACTGCCTTGTACGCCAGTAAAATTTAATTTCGTTTTCATTTAACCACTTTAATTATAAGTCTTATATAATTGCTTCTCGTCAGAACTCATGATGATCATGCAAGATTTTTTTAAAATTATAATATGTAAAATATATTTCAGGACATGGCTGACATATGAACATGTTTATATTAATAAAAGCTGATATTATTCTAAATTTTTTACTGAAATCAGCTAAAAAGAAATCAAAACTCATCGATATTTGATAACTCATTAATTTAGGAAAAGCTCCCATGCTGAATTTCCGTGTACATATTTATGTGTATTGCTGTGTTTTTTCCTGGCGCCGAAAAGTTGAGTTTGGTCACGTGGAGGCAGCACCTCACATACGTCGTCAGGGGGGCGTGGCGTGACATTGAAAGATCAACACCAACACACGTGTCTGCAGCACAATTATTGAAATTTTTCTAAAAATTAATTAAATCTTTTAATTACGAGCTGATTCTCAATATTTTGAGGTTTGTTAGTGGCATCAAAAAATCACACCATGGAGTACATGGGAAATATGTCAGGAGAGCCTGAATCATTGGCAAGAATGTAAGTATTATAATGTATATAATCAGCATTAAAAGTTATAAAATTTTTTTACAGTTCCTGTTCCTTTGTCATTTAACTTTTTAACATCATGGTAATTAATTTCTCTTTCCGTTTTAGTCTTTGTTGCGAATGTGGAATCGCAATCGAACCCAATCCGGCCAACATGTGTGTCGGCTGCCTGCGAACGAGAGTGGACATCACCGAAGGAATTCCCAAGCAGGCCACTATTCATTTCTGCAAAGGATGCGAGAGGTTTAATTTAAAGAATTAAAATATATTGAATCCTTAAAATGCCATTTGAATGAAGGTATCTGAAGCCTCCCATGGAGTGGGTGAGCTGCGTCCTCGAGTCTCGAGAGCTCCTCGGACTGTGCCTGGCCAAGTTGAAGGGCTTGAACAAGGTGAAGCTGATCGACGCCGGTTTTGTCTGGACAGAGCCACATTCCAAGAGGATCAAGGTCAAGCTGACAGTGCAAGGAGAGGCGCTGACCAACGTTTTCCTGCAACAAGTGTTCGTGGTCGAGTTCACGGTGGCGTCTCAGATGTGCGACGCGTGCCACAGAACTGAGGCCAAGGACTACTGGAAGTGCAAGGTTGGTGGACCTTGTCATCGTCAGATTCTGATTGTTCACTATGATTTTTTTTTGTCATTCAGGTCCAAGTGCGCCAGAGGAGCGAGAACAAAAAGACGTTCTTCTACCTGGAGCAGTTGATTTTAAAACACAAGGCCCACGAAAACACTTTGAGCATCAAACCCATACATGGTAACTTTTCAAATTTCATTCTAAATACTTTGAATTCTAAAATTAATTTTTTTCCAGAGGGTATTGACTTTTTCTATGCAACTGAGGCCCATGCCAGGAAAATGGTAGATTTTCTTCAAGCCGTTCTACCTGTGAAAACAACCTCTTCGAAGAAACTAATTTCTCATGATATTCACAGCAACACCTACAACTATAAAATGACCTATAGGTAAATTTGTAATTGAATTATTTTGTCAATATCCTATATTTTTTATTATTCAGCGTGGAGATTGTGCCTCTATCGAAGGACAGTTTGGTATGCTTACCAAAAAAACTGTCGCACCAATTGGCCGGCATGAGTCAGTTGTGTCTTGTGGCTCGAGTGACCAATGCCGTTCACCTGATTGACCCTTGCTCTGCCCAAAGTAAGATAATTCTTCTCATGAGTTTACTTTGTCAATTAACAAGTCTCCTTCAGTTGCTGAGGTATCTGGAAATGTTTTCTGGAGGTCTCAATTTGCGGCCATAGCAAATCCAAAGCAGCTCATTCAATACACTGTGATGGAATGCGAACCAATTCTGTCCCACCAGCAGCAGGTTTTCCCAGGACAAGGACCAATTTCCAATAAGGTAAATTAAATGAGAAAAGGAATGTGAAGCAAAATTAAAAAATCATAATTCCAGCACACGCTAGCTGACGTTTGGGTAGTTCGAAGCTCCGAGTTGGGCATCAATAATGACACGATTCACACACGTTCTCACTTGGGCCACCTGTTGAAGCCTGGAGACACCGTTTTAGGGTAAATTTAGAAATTTTTTAATTTCAAAAGTTTCTTTCTAACTTGTTGCTTTTTATTTCAGCTATTGTCTGGTTGACAGCAACGTTAATAATTCTGATTTCGACAATTTGAAAGCTGAGAAAGTGCCCGACGTTGTTCTTGTATCCAAATATTACGGAGACAGGACTGTCAGGAAACATCAAAGGGAATGGAAACTGCGACACTTGCATGACGACGTCAAATCAACCAACACGTCAGTTTTTCTAAAGAAAATTTAAACTCATGGGCACTAATTTTTCATTATTTTCAGTGACTACATGGACTTCTTGGATGATCTGGAGTGCGACCCTGCGTACAGGCAAAACGTCAACATTTATCGCAAAAATGTTTCCCTCCCCCCTGTGGAGGAAGTCGACGAGGACGATCGTCCCAGGATTTCGCTCCAAGAAATGTTGGAGGACCTTGTTTTGGAAGATGCTGAGATGGAAGAAGTGGGCAACGGTGATATGGACGATGATGAGTAATTTACAGCCCTGTTGTCATGAGGCCATCACCTTACTTAACTTCTTATATAAATCATGCCCTTTGATACAATTATTATCACCGTTAAGTGTTATCTGATGTACGTGACAAATAAAATAATCGTCTGGGATATTGAAATCAAGTTTGATGAATTAGTTTATAATGTTATCACGAGACGAAAATCATGTCATTTGTGAAGTGGAACTAGTGCATTATGCATCTTTCAAAGATTACAGCCTTAATCGTCCTTGCATTGGTCTGCTTTTCCAATGCACAGGTATATTTTATTCAACAAATTTTTTAATTTAAGAAGAATTTTTTTTTTATTCCTAATTCATAATTTGGAATTAGAGCATTTGCGATGACTGTAAAGTTCAGATGCAAAGTCTCATCGATGTTATAAATTCTGGAGCTTCTAGAGATGAAATCTTCAACCAATACGTGGATGTATGCATTAACTTCTATCAGCAACAGCCATTATCATGTGAAGGGTTGGCTGAACGCAATGTGGTTTGTTGAATTGGTTGCAAATTCTTTACTTGGACGTGATGTAAAACACACAATTTTGTAGGATATTCTAATTTTTTCGGTGACGGAACTTTCTGGCACTGTAAATGAAGTGACTTCCGAAAATATGTGCTTTTTTGACAACCAGCTTTGCCCTTTGACGGGCGCTCAATTCGAATGGAGCCTCGACTTGAACTTCCTAGGTGCTAAGCCTACACCAGAAACTCCTCAATTGCCTCCAGTAAATCAAAGCAAAAGAAAAAATTATAAATTTGTAAAAATGATAATTTTAGGATGGTTTTCCAACCATGGAAATTCTGCAAATCACCGATTTGCATTTAGACCCGACGTATACGCCAGGAAACAATGCCCTCTGCGGCTTCTACTCGTGTTGCAGAAGCAGTCAAGGCCCTGCGCCTAATTCGTCTGCAGCTGCGGGATACTGGGGGGATTATCGGGGCTGTGATATGCCGGTTCATGCTTTTCAAAATTTGCTTGACCAGACTGTCGCCAACCATCCTGTAGGGAAAAAAATTATGCTCAGGCGGACAATTAATTTTAAATGAAATTTTTAGAACATTGCCTACGTTATGTTCACTGGGGATATCATGGACCACGCAAACTGGGAGCGAACCATTGAAATGAACACTGCGCATTTCACCCTGGCGATGGACATGTTTAAACAATCCTACCCTAACATACCAATTTTCCCAATTTTCGGAAATCATGAATCAATTCCTGCTAACAGGTTTCAAATTATTTTGTATATTTTGAAAGAAACCAATTGTAATTTTCAATTAGGGTTGCTCCTTCCGAGTGGAACCTTCCTGCTAATTTGACTAATCAATGGCTATTCCAATTGGCGGCAGATTATTGGGGCCAGTGGCTTCCAGGAACGGAGACATCCATTCTTCGGGGTGGTTTTTATTCATACGAATTCAATGCAGACTTGAAAATCATAGCTTTAAATAATAATCTCTGCTATACCAACAACTGGTTAGTGAAAATTAAACTGAATAACTGAACCCACTAAAATATAAAATATTATAAAAAATATAGGTGGCTCATGTATAACAACTTTGATCCTGCGGGCCAGTGGATGTGGTTGGCGCAAGAGTTGTTGGCTGCTGAGCAACTTGGGCAAAAAGTTCACATTTTGGCGCACATTCCACCTGGAAGCTCCACTGCCTGGGACGTTTGCCACAGGGAGTACCGCAGAATAATTGACAGGTGTTTTTTTTATCATTGTTTATCATTTGCGTTTTTGAGTATAATTTTTATTTAATAACAAGAAATTTTATATTTAAAGATTTCAGAATACAGTGGTGGCTCAATATCATGGCCACACGCACAGAGATCATTTTAGCATTTATTACGATTTGGACGAGCCGACGAGGGCCACAAGTTTGTCATTTGTTGGAGGGAGCGCGACTTCGTACAGAAATTACAATTCGAATTATAGGATTTACGAAATTGATGGGCCCTACGATGGAGCATCCTACGTAAATATTTTTTATTAATATTTTTTGTAAAATAATTTTAATTTCACAAATATTTGTAAAAAGCGCGTTCTTGATCATTCAACTTGGTATTACAATTTGACGGAGGCTAATATTGCTGGACCCTCTGTTAGTCCAAACTGGCAAAAATTGTACAGCTTTAGGGAGGCGTACGGTTTGGGCTCAATGCTTCCTCAAGAGTTGGACACTTTTGTGCAACAGATGGCTCAAAATTCTTCACTCCAGGAGCTGTACCGTCGGTAATTTTTGTTGATTTAATTTAATTTAAACGGCTTGAGAAATTGTTTTTAATTCCATTAAAGCTTCTACGTGAAGGCTGGGGACCCTGCTCTTGAGGCAGGTTGCGGCCAAATTTGTCTGCAGAATATGGTCTGCGATATAGTCAAAACTGTGTCCTCAGACGACTGCAGCAGACTGCCTTTCTAACAAAAGTTTTATTGTGTGAAGAAAAGAGACAGGATAAAGGAGTAAATTTTTATCTATAATAATAAATAAATATAAAAAGAACATTGATCATTTCAATTTAAATCCATTTTTTCAGAGAGTAAAAATAAATTTAAATAAGGAATAAAAATGACTTGAATTAAATTTTTTTTATATATTTAAACACTAACAATGGTCGGATCAATAGGGAAACAATTTAAGCAAGCATATATGAAATATAATTATAAATAAAATATTGAACACTTGTTAAGTCCATAATTTGTAGTTAAATTACACTTCATTTTCATTTAATTCCGATCTTCATGCTAAATTGAAAATTGCGCAACGTTTAATTAATTGCTTGTTAGATTAATTAAATGAATCGCAATTTCATAATAACTATAATTGAGAGCCACTCATTATTTCACATTCACTTTTGGCAATAATAAGTCTCTCTCTCCTTCCATACCTTTGGCGCGCGCCTGCCTGGGTTTGCGACGTCTGCGACGGTACACGCGCGATGGTGAGAAGAGAACTCTCGGCGGCGCTCATTCTCTCAGTTTGCGCTAGAGTTCCGCAAATGTTTTTGAAAATCGATATATATCGATATAAAAATCGTGGCCTAATATCGATATATATCGGATATTTCGGCGGTTTTTCGGTATCGATATCAAATATCGCCAAAAATATCGTGATTTTTAAAAAGTGCTTAAAAACACCCTTTTCTTGGTTTACGGTGGTTTCTGGGGGGTGGTATATTTTTAAAAAAATGCCAGAAATGTGTCTAGAAATGATCCAAATGATCTGTCAGAGATATTTAGATCAATTTAGATGGTAGCCAATTTATTATTTTTTTAATTGCCTGAAGCTTGTAGTATGGACTTGGGTTTAAGGGGTGAGGGAATAGTTGCAAAAAAAAAAACAGTTAGAAATAATTTAAATAGTCTGTCTGAGATTTGTAGATGGATGCCAAAAAATATTTATCACTGTTCAAATTCTGATATTTAAGGTACCACGGACTAATAATACCTGATGTGTGAAGAAGTGTTGACGATATCGCATATCTATCAGTCGAAATTACTTTAAATATCGAAGTGTTAATTATTATTATTATTATTATTAAATTATTATTATTAATTATAATTATATTATTATTGATATTATTATTATTAATATAATTAATATATAAATATTATTAGTATTAGTATTATTATTAGTATTTATGGTGGCTGGCAAGGGGCATTTAAGGCGGAAATGGATTATTAAATAATAAATATTAATTTTGTATTTATTTATACTTCGATAATTTTTTTTAAATTGATTAAATGTAATTTGAAATTTTTTTTATTTAATTTTTTTTTCAAAAAATCTAATAATGTACTAAAAAGAATTTAAAATTGGGTTGTCTATATATATTTCAAAGTTATAAAGTTGTTTCAACTGACAATATATTGTCAATAAAGCCGTTCTAATTTAAAATGGGTAAAATCAAATTTTCAATAATTCCTTAATTTTAAATATAAATAAATTAACGTTGCTTGCTTGATCAAAAAGCCTTCTGTTCAGTCATAAAGCCTTTTCGCCAAGAAACCTCTCAACTTGGATTCAAGCCTTCTTATCCAAGAGCTTTAAAACAAGCCACTTTTTTAAGTGCTATATATATGCTAAAAAGTTTCTGATAATTTGCAGCGTTCAGTGGGTTAGCATTAGCAAACTTAAGACGGTTAAAAAAGTTGCAGTTGCATAACACTTAGTGAAAATCATTTTTTTTTTTTTAGTTAGACCCTAGTCAAATAATTGGGCATGCATTGAAAATATAAACATAAACTTTTAATTTTCTTCCTTATGCTACCTACGATGAAATTGGACGAAGTAAATTAAATGATTGTATAATAAATTTAAGTTAAAATGATTATTTTGAAATTTGATGAATTTAAAAAATATAATTAAAAATAGAATATTTTGTTTCTTATAAAATATATTGTCAGTAAAAGTAAAATCCAACAGAGAAATTTTTCTGTAACTCTGAATAATGCCTCCTAAGTCTATTTCGCTTTCGCTTTAACGAGGTTTTATTGTTTCAAATTATATATTTAATTTTAGGTTGGTTAAAAAAAATAACAAATGAAAAACTGATGCGGCCTTTTAGGATTGAAGTTGAAACTTGAAATCCTATTTTTTTTTTACATAAAATACACGTCCCTAATCAATTATCGCTTTATTATATTTTAAGAGTTAATTCTTGCTGCGCGGCCCGAGAGTTATTGCCTTATTGGTAGTCCTTAAAGTAATTGGCCTTTTGTGCATGGCCGTTGGATAAAAAAGCCTAGAGTAGAGCGGGAATTTTTATGAGAAGTCTTTTTGACTGGGCATATTAAAACAAATTACCCCAATTTTCAAACTTTTATTGGCTTTTATTTTCCATTTTATATTTTTTATTTATATCCTTCAAACATATATTCTAAATAGTAAATTTATTTAGATTTTAATAAAAAAAATTCCCAATTTGTTTAATATTATGAATGAAAAAAAAATTATTATCATATCATTGAAATCAAATTATTGATAGCTCCAATGTCTGTACTATATTTTTATTTATTATAATCATACATGGGCAGAGCGCGATCGCACGATTTTCAAAATCGTGAGCGCGAGCGCATTGGTCGATCGCTGAGCACAGCGCTCAATCTTGCTCATTTTGCGCTCAAACCAAAAGCAAAAATTCCCGAATTTGATCAAAAATTGTTACGGAAAACAGTGTCGTTATACCGAAAACTTCAAAACTGATCCCAATTTTGGTAATTTAACTTCAACTTTATCATTTCCAATTGCCTATGGATTTTTTTATATTAAAAAATTGTCTAAAAAGTCGCACTTTTTCCTTGGGTTATAATATTTTTGAGCGCAAAGCGTGAGCGCAAGACTTTTCAAAAATTTGAGCGCGAGCGCACTGTTGCCAGTGATTGCGAGCGCGAGCACAAAATTGTTGAGCGTGTATGTATGTTATTAATTAAGATTAAAAAATATTTTTTATCGGAAATGAATACTCAATTCAATAGTATGCTGCCTCATTTTGAACTCCGCATAATATAATTATATAGAACAATTATTGATGAAGCATTTGGAAATTGAAATTTTAAATTATTTAATTTTTATAATAAAAATTCAATGAAATTAATCAAAAAAGAAATAAATTAGTCAAATAATATTAATTTTATTCTTACATCAGGGTAGTAGAAAGTCTCGAGAGACAAAATTAGCGAGTTAAGTGCTTTTTTTTTAATGATGATAAAATTTGCTTAATTTTTGAAGTTAATCAAATTTAGATTTAAAATTTTGGATTTTTAAAGAAATTTTTAAAATATTGATTTTTCACAATTTATGTATTTTTTCCTCTCAATTTATTTTTTCATTCAATAATTTTTGGAATATTTAGATCATGAATAGATTAATTTTGTTTATAGCCAGAGTTTCCCTTGAAGTACAATAATAAACATAATTGGCAATTAAATGTTCCATTGCCAGCCCACAATCCAATGTTTGTATTAAACATTTTTTCAAATTCATTTTAAGGTTTTCTGGATGAGGTATTATGGACTTTAAATTTTGAGGCAACGTATTAAAGAAGTGATTTATTTATTTTCTTTAATAAGGCTCACTACGGCGGATGGGGGGTGGGGAATATTTTTATATCTATGACGTTTTAGCAAAATTATTGTTAGTAGCGGGACTGTTTTTCTCAAACAAAATTTTTACGAACGGCCGCCTTTTGACCAATGCGCGCTTAGACAGGAGACCTCTTGTTCACAGAAGGCTTTTTGTCAACAAAGTATAATTCAAATTTAAGAGGAATTGAAATTGAATAATATAAACTGAATTGTGCCACTTAAATTGATTGAAAATTTTACTAAAATGCTAATGCTGTATTGGTGGAATTTATATTATCAGTAATTTGAATAACTTTTTAGCATGCAGCCGAACTTAACTTAATTATTTTTTACACAGAATATTTATAAAAAATTAATTTCAAATTGTTTTGGATTCATTTAAATAAAAATGAATTGAAGCAATAAATAAATATTGTTAATTTAATCCATTTCAGCCACCTTATTGGTAGTATTAAATTATAAATATAAATATATAATATTCGTCTCCAACGATTCAAAATTTAAACGATGCATTATGCGACTCTACTTACAACGGGTGTAGTAAAATACTGGGTAGTTGGTAAGTGTTAAGTAAGAAGTGTAGTAGTAGTAGTAGTAGTAAAAGTATCAGTAGACCGATCCAAATACTCTGCAGTCGAAGATGTATAAAATTATATAAAAATATAATTTTATATTTATATAGTTCGGACTTGGCCTAAAGGGTGGGTCAGCTGGGTTCAAGGGGGTGTAGGTTAAAATTGGAATGGAAAGGTAGCTAGAATTGATCCAAATGGTCTTCCGTGATTAAGAAATCGCTAAAAAAAATTTTTTTTTGGTTCCTGAAATGGGGAATTTTTTTTATGAACGATATGGAAAATTTTTTTAAAAAAATCGGTTTTTTAAAAAATATCGGCCAAAATATCGGTTTGGCCGAAAAATATCGATATATATCGTGTTTTTCGGTATCGATATTGGATATCGATATTTTTTGCGGAAGTCTAGTTTGCGCGAGCACCTCGCAAGCACCAGACATGACCCGCGGTCGGTGTGCACCTCCAGTGCCGCCGCGACCCAGCAAAGTGCGTCGGCAAGCACCACCACCGCCTGCCATTCCCAGGGTGTCCCACTGGGTCGAGCTTCGCGAGGGTCAGCCAGTCAGTTTGTCGCGCTGTGAAATCACTGTCGGTCAAGAGCCACCCCCTGTCGTGGTGCCCGTGTGTAGTGAAGGACTTCCGCCCCTGCCCAAAAGTCTGTGCGTCAACCCTGGCCGCCGTCCGGCCCCCAGACCGCCTCCTACGTCCACCCTAGACCTGCAACTCGCCATCCTCAGACAGGAAATGGTAATTCAATTTTAGTTGTAAACCCATATGTTTTTCTAATTTAAAAAAAAAATAGTTTCAACCAAGGAAACAATAAATAATGACAATTTTATATAATAATTTTACACTTAAATTGTTTAAAAATATAAATTTATAGAATCTAATCTAATCAACCTGCACATTTGTAATTTAAAAAATACACCCACTGGCTTTTTATATTATTTTTCAAGTAATTTAATTTTCTAAAAAAAAAAATTGAGAATATGATATAAATTTAAATTATTGTAAAATATTTTCTCTGATTATAATTATTAATTTGTTAAATAATTGAACTATTTTATTATTTTGCGTTTTACTTTACTCTCTTTTATGAAAATTTATTTATTCAAATTAACAATAATTGCAATTTAAAATAGTATTATATTTCTGTATTGGCAGCATTTTTATGACTTTTTTTGTCAGCACAATCTATTTACAGTTAATAACAATGAATGAAAGAAAATAAAGTAAACAATTTTGCACCATCATTACCAAAATTACTGCTTTAATTTGACGTCGTTAATCGCGCAGTCATTTCTTTTAATTTTTTGTCTCATGTGTAACGATGCTGATGGATTTGTTTTTGTATATTTTTGTAAGTAACTCTGCAAGCATCAAAATATTTTGCAAGCAACTTCAACAAAAGAATAAAAACATATACAAGCGCGAACACTAGACTCTTTTCACTCTTTGCGAATTCGCTCGTCCTTCTAAAAGTGCAGCGCAGCGTCGCGATAATCGGCTCAATGCCAAATTACTATTTAGATCAGCGAGCATTTGTCGCAAGGAAACGAAAACAACGCAACCTCACTAAAAACTTGTTCGTCATTTCATTAATCTCTTAGGCGATAAAATTTTACACAAGTCTTTTGGAATAAAAATCTAAACAAGCTGTACAAGTTGCAGCAATTAATTCACGCAGGCGTGTCACTAGCTTAAGTAGCAAAAGTTACTTGACATTCTCGTGTTCTCTCCGCAGCAACTCGATCTGCAGATATGGAGAAAAACCTCGAGAAAAGCACTTTCTTTCTTTCTTTTCTTTCGAGCTGCAGATCCGTCTATGCTCCAGTCAAGCCGTTTTTGCCCCAAGTTCATGAGCAACAGTGAATCTCTTTACTTTTTATATACAAGTCGAGTGCAGACGACGGCTTTATTCTCTTTCCAGCCGGACAATTGAGAGTAATTTCTAAATTTCTCCTGCGCATATAGTGGACTCTCATTTGCTCACCAGTCAGGTGCATATAAATATAATGTTTAATAGATAGTCCGTGAGCGCAAGAACAAAAAAAGCTGACGTGTGACACAATCTGTCAATGAAGAGAGAACATTTGAATGATCTCATGCCTATCTATAAAATGAAAAAATGCTCCCATCCATGCAGGTGCTGCGAAGCTACTTTCAGCAAGAAGAGTGACTCATTTGCAGCATTAATTTAAGCCTCGCACTATGGGCGCGAACCCATACTATAATTATACCCGCGACGATGATTGCACTCCACAGCGTCGCAAAGAAAGGCCAAGCGAAGAAAATTGGCTGCAATTAGGTTAGAAATGCGTCGATTGGTCTTTCAATATCTGAGTTTCGCCCTCAAGTGCGCGGAGATTACAAAACGATTTTGCGATTATTGCTGCGGTTTCGGAGCAATTCAGAACAATTGCTCGTGTGCAATATTGCGTTAAAAATTGTGAAATTTATTGTATAGATTACAAGAAAATTGTTAAGGCAATAAAACTTTTCAGTGAAATTATTTTCTTCGGCTTAAAAACTAACATTGCTCTCTCTTGGTGCGAACAACTGAAATTAGAGCGAATCGCTCTTTTGCAATGCAAATATATAAATAATAATCAAGAAAGCGGCCAAAGTTAATGACTCATCTCCGGCGGTCAGAGAAGAGATGCAAACGCACAATAGTTGAAGATGCGCTCTCCGTAGAAGAAGAAGAAGCGTTTGTTCTTCGACGCGCGAACAAAACACGACGCATTACAGTTAATTGTTGGGTTGATTCTATTCAAGCCAGCCAAGCCGAGCGCTTACTTTTTTCTAACCGGCTGGACAAGTGACCTAGAGCGGAACACACGATCAACAAACGGCGATAAAACGGCTCGCATACTCACGCGGGGGCGTCGTGTAGGTTTTTGACTCCACAAAAGCGGCTTCCCAGTTGTTATGTGATACTTTCCACAGTTTCTTAATGTTCAGTCGGTACTAGTAACAAACTATCAAATTATTAATATAATTTCTTTAACGTTTTGTTTAACTTTCTTGTTTTTAAAAAGTATGCAACCCTCATAACTGAAATTACAAAAATATAGAAATAGGGTTTTTTTTAACCAATTAATTTCAAGTTTCTTCTGCAGCATTAATTTTTTCTTGTGAGATTTTCTAAATCTTATGAGCTATATTATTTATATCAATCAACATGAGTGACAATAGGTGAAATAAAGAATAAAAATAATGCCTAGCTTGAGAAATTGAAATATTTTAATTATATTCAGTCGTAACTTTACTTAAAACTTAATTTTGATGATATAATTTCTCAATTTTTCTACATTCTTGTTAAAAGACGTTTTGGTTTAATTAGCTTTTACGATCCCGAAATGTAATTGATTATTTTTCAGATAAAAATAGAATGAATTTAAAATTTATATAATTGTGCCCGACGATTTGATGCAACACGTAAAACTATAATCATTTGCTTCAAGGAAGTCATACAATAAAAAGTGTGATAATTAGCTTAAACGGTCATTGGACAGCTCAGCCTTGCTTTGCGTGCTATATGGTTATTGCTTATTTGTATGGTGTCACCACTATGAAGCTTTGAATCCTGAATTTCGCAAAGAGCCAGGCTAAAAATAAATAAATAATTCCTCGCGCGTGTGTCACGTTCGACGAAGCCACAAATGTAAAAAAGCTGCGTGTGTCATGATGCCAAAAACAAACATAAGAAAATGAAACAAAACCTGCGTTGAAAACTACCTCTATTCTGGTCTCTTTAATCAGATTTTGTTTTCAACTTCCATGTTATTTATTGCCTTTTCAGGAACAAATTGAATGGTACTGCAAAATAGTAAAAATGACAATATACAATAGTTATTATGAAAAAAAGAGAACAAACAGCAAAATTAACAATAAGTTTATATTAATTATATAAAAAAAAAACGCTGCACGGAAGCCTTTCATATTAATTATTAATTTTGTATCACAAACAGAACTTTAATCATTGGTGATAAATACATTGAAATTTAAATTCTATAGTATTTTGAAAATATAGAAGCCTCCTAGACCAAACATAAAATGGCACTGATTTATTTTTATTTTTTCAGAGAAGTAATTTAAAATTTCATGTTGAGGACAATCATGTTCATTGGAAATTTTCTTGTTTATTCATGAAGAGACTCATGAAATTTTTCTTCTTATAAAGTTTTCCTCCATATTTCATTTTGCAAGAAAAACCTTTTTGAGAGGAAAAAGTAAAAGGTAATGTCAGCCACGCGTAAGCACACTTTCCGCGGCGCGTGAATGTATATCAAGATCAAAAGTGTGGGTGATTCCTGACCTCAACCTTTTGCAACAAATAGTCACTCGGTATATAAACGGTGAGCAAACAAATAAAAGCACTCGCGGTGGGAGTGAAATGAGCAGCTGCTGTTTTATAATTCCTCTGGGCGAACGAGCAGTCGTGCAGGCAAGCGAGTTATCGCGAGAAAATAAAAGCACCGTTAGCATCTCTCGACGCTTTAATAAGGAAGGCATACATGCATTCATTTTGCTCTCGACCTGATGCCTCTTTCTCCTCCTTTCTCACAACCTTGCATTGCAAATTGTGCTCCTCTTTGCCCGCACCGAGGTTTGATTACCTATTTTCGGCAATATAATAAAATAAAATATTATTCGACAAAAGCCTGCTCTTTTTTTGGAATTGTTTATTCATTAAAGCACTCTCGGTGTTGTGTGAGAGATCAAGGGCGAGGCTTGTCTCATAAATTTTCAAAACGCAGCCAGCGAAAACGTGTCTGGGTCACGTATCAACCAGATTATAATACGAATCTTGGGCGCCCCCTTTGACCGCGACAAGACCCAATTTTCAGCTCCCAATTATAATAAAGGTGAGAGAGCATTTCAAAGCTCTCGCCAAAATATTTTAAAAAGAAAAAAACAACCATTTCTGAATATTGATATTTTAAATGAAGCCTGAGGAAAGAATATGGCAGACGATGAAATTGGATTAAGCTGGTATGGCTGCCTCGATGAAAGCACCACATATTTTCCAACAGAACTCGTCTAACGAATGACAAGTCTAGAGAAATCGATATAACTGAAGTAAAAAGTGTCACCTTTGTGGGAAAGAGTTTGATCCGACACTTGACCTTATATTAATGCTTATTTTTCAAATCTGCATAATAATATTTCAAGCGAAACCAAAGATTTTGCAATGAATGAAAATGATATTGTACTTGTGAGCAGCGAAGCTTTTCATGAATCATTAAATCAATTATTCAATCACTGTATTCTTTAAAAGAAAAATTAAAAGTTGCTGAGAAAAATGAAAAAGATCAGTTACTTTTCGTCCGAATTTCAAAAATGAAAAAAAAAATTATGCATGTTCAATTATATTAATTTTTATAAATTATATAATTATGAATTAAATTACACCATCAATCCAACTTTTTGCTATTTTTTTTTGCAAGGAAATAAAAATGTTAAAGTCATACTTTATTAATTTTCTTTAATTATCTATATTAATAAAGTAAATTTTCTTTGTTCTTCTTACCCGCCAGTAAAAAATTAATTTACTGTCAACAGCTTTTCTGGCATTTCTCCAAGTTCTATTAATTTTTAAATTTGTAAACAAAAAATAGATATTGCAATAATTATTAATGTTTTTTGTAAAATTCTCGCAAATCCGCAACTATGAAATTGATTTTTTGTGGGAACAGATTTGAAGATTGGGGCTGGTACATTTAACTTGGGAGGCTGTAATTATGATCGGTTGTTGCCGTCAACAGCGCGGCTAATTGCACGAGGCCGCAGCCACTTTTTGCGCCAATTTCAGGCCAAGCAGCAGCGATCGAGTTCCCAAAAACTAGAGTGCCGAGAAGAGGAGCACAGAGATAGATGGCAGTGAGCGAGAAAAACTGGAAATTCCACTCGATGAGTAGCATGATCGCACACTATTCAAATTAGCCCGTGGCCTTTTTCTGCTGCTCGCCTTGCACAATGAAGGAATTTGAAAAGCGATATAATTTAACGACGCAACTATTTAGACCACGCATTGATTCGCGACCAAGTAAATAATTGCTCTCTTGAAACCGGATCAGTGATGCGCACTTGTAGAAACCTCATTTTTAAATCTTCATCAAGACGCAAGCAGTGCAGCTACAAGAAAAGTGACGTTATTTTCTAGAAATATGATATAAAAACGAGAAAAAATGTTTTTTTGTCAACTTTATGCGCCAGCTTTGCACCTGCAGTCATCAAACTGTAGCAAGCAGGAGCCGTGTTATCTGTTCAAAGGTTGATGCTCTCTCCGCACCGCCAACAGCACTTTTGCACGACGGCTTTCAGCACTGATGATTCAGAATGATTCAGAAAAGTCCGAGCCAAGGTGCATTGTTGGAAGCCGCTGGGAAAAAGAGACGAAGCAAAAAGTGCTTAAATCATATTGTTATATATTTTTATATTTATTGCAAATATACGTCTCTGTCAGGGTCCGGCAATTCTCTCTTCCTTTTATTCAATCTAGCTTTAATTCTCACCTTATTGTTTCGGAAGATAATAACAAACATAAATCTCTTTGACTTAAATGCAAATTAAGGTGCTGGGATATTTTTTTATTATTTTTTTTATTTATCAATTGGATTAAAAAGTAGTTTTTCACTCTAACACGTGTGAATGACCCTTAGGTTTATAGCGCAAATTTGAATTTTCCTTATTGGTTGGCGACAAGAATATAAATCAGCAGCCCACAGCAGCCAATTTCCACTTTCTGTTCCGGATTTGAATTTGCAGAGGCGCAGAAAGAATGTCACCCACATTGACGAGAGCCAACAGGCATCATCGGCGTTTTAAGTGCAGAATTTTATGCACCGCGGCCTGGCAAGAAATCAGTGAAGCGAGGCAAAATGCTGAAACATTAAAGGAGTTGATGATGCCTTATGATCATAGCGCGTTAAAGGAGAGATAAAATAAATACATTCAGCACCTAACGATCCAATTTCGGCTGATCGCAACTTTGCATGATGCGAGGAAGTGACCTAGAAAAAAGTGGGATTGCGGTAAAATGTTCAATTCGATCATGTGGGTACTGTATTGGACCATTTTTAAAAGTGATCTACATAAATCATACACACGTCATAACCATGGCACGAATTTTCTCCGGCGTGCATTTCACCATTGGTTGAGGAGAATGCGAAATAAAATCAAGACAAGAGGTTAAAGTGTGTAATTTAATTTAAGTTATCGATGAAACGCATTAATCAATATTTAAATGCATCATCGTTAGAATATAAATTAACATTCTATACTATGTCCGGTGTTCCTCTCTTTCTATCTGTTTGCGTCGTGTGAACATAACTGGAGTGTGTATAAATGTTATACACGATTCATTGTGTTGTGTGCATCACAACATTAAAAAACTCCGACTCTCCGTGGGAAAATTGAAGTTTAAAAAAAAAATTAAAACTGAACTGCTCGGTTACAAATTCAAATGTTTTAAATCATCCCAGGTCTGATCAAAAATAAATAATTTTTCAATTTACTTATTTCGGTGAAGTTTTAAAATTTTCAAGTCCAATGAATTTTTTCTAGCTAAATTTTAACAGCCAAGACTGACATGTTTGTTTGATGAGCGCGCTTTACGCGTTACATCATCACGATCGGAGTGACCACAAAAGATCAAAACCATTTGCTGCTATATGATTTGATGGGGCTTCGACGAGGATAGAAGTCTCGAGGTTTATATAATAATGCTTTGCGCCAACCAATGCACACAAGACAGTCAAAATTTTTTATAAATAATAAACCTGTTTATCACCCTCGTTGTTCCCATTTTAAAAAACCGCACTTTTCGCAACAACTATATAGTCTTTTTAAACCTATATTACGCCAGCCAAAATGTAAGCAGTGATTTGCGGAATAATTATTAAAATAATCGTTCAGATTGTATCGAATGGAGTAGGCTTGACAAGTTTGATCCAGTTTCGATAATGTTTTTGATCAATAAACTTGATTAACTTTACTTTCTCTCTTTAGTGAAACGAAGCATGATTTATTTATTAAATGCACCATTTCATAAAGTTGTATAATATTATAAATTACGCAATAAGTTCATTTAATTGATTTTACTTCTGATTTTTTTTTTTAATTTCAAAATTTATTTGCGCAAATTTTAATTTCTCTCTTCTATGGACTTTTTTGTATTGAACTTTTTTACTGACACTGAATGATTATAATTATCCTTCAAAATATAACACTTAAATGATTAACTTTTACTGCTCTTAGTTTTTTACAAGCTCATAATGAGATAAAGATCAGTCGGGAAAGCTACCTGAGCAAATATATATTTAATGCTTGCATTTAAATGACGAAGGCGAATATTGCTGGCTTGAGGCGATTTAGCTCCTGCGTTTGCCGCCCGGCCTGGTTTAATTTTTAATTTCGCCGCGGCAATTGAGAAAATTGTATTGAAGAAAGTGTCGCGACGAGCCTGCGCGCGGTATAATTATTAACGAGTTCGATATCGCCTTGTACAATTAAAGATATAAATACACTTCTCATTTCCGACGAGAGGTGCAGTCGCACTAATAACAAATAAATACACACACCGGCATCACGTTCTTAATAAGAAGAGAATCGATCAAAAAAAGGAAAGCGTCGCGTCGTCGTCGTAAAGTAATTTCCTTGCAATAGAAGAAGTGGTGGTGTTTTGTTTAATAGAGCGGGTGCATAAAATTACACTGGTCGCGTGCTATGATGCATTGTCGGTGCATAGAAAATGGACTCGAGAGTCAACTTCGCTTTTCTTAAATTAATCAACTCTCTCTCATTTTCTCAATCAATTAAAAAGGAGTTAAAGTTGAAATAAACTTTTCAGCAGCTCTTTAAAAAAAAATGGAAACATTTTTATGTTAAATTTTGTATTTATAATAAAACAATATGAAATTTTTTAATTTGTAATCGTTGATACATCAAACGTGAAAAGCTGACATTAAGTTAAATTGCGTGTTTGTGAATTAAAAGCAAACTGTGCAGATTACATGTTTGGAAGTGTAGAATTTGGCTTTCAAAACGAGTGTGCGAACACTCACATGCGCTCATTTCCCTATGCAGGCATGTTAATTAATGGCGTAATAAGTGGCGATTACCAAAGTTTCATGAGAGCGTCTTGTTACGACAAGTGCACAATTAATGGACAAAGCCAAATTAATTGCCTTACATAATGAAGCTGGAATTTGCCTGACAAATTTCACAAATTCCTGCGGCAAAAATATAAAATTTTACTCAAAATTATTTTCAAGTTGGATTCAGAATAATTTTTTTAATTTAATTATTTTGAATAATCACAACCGAGCCCAAACACTCTTACTCTCTCACGTCAAACCTGCTTATATGAATGTTTTAATGAGTGGTGAAGGCTCTGCACACATCAAGCATAAAGGACGTGCGCACCAAGCGTTACATTTTTTTGCTCTCTTCGGGACATTATTCTTCTTTATTACCATAATCTCAAATATTAATATTTTTCAGCGGAAGTGCGAATCAAATGTGTTCTTGAAAAGTCATGCTCACTCAAAAAGTATTCACAGCGTGTAAAAATACAAAAGGCCTCTTCTTTTTATTTTCCTTGACCGCAAAAATTGTCCCTTCACATTATGTAGATTCAAAATTAATTTCAATTTTACTTGTCCTATCTTTTGGCTGATTTTTTTGCGGAAATAAAAAAAAAAGACGCTTTTTTATCCCCTTGTTAAAACATTGAACCTTTTTTTGTAGTACCAAGTTTCTCTCTTGTTATTTTAATAAAAAGACTCGCGTACTGTAAACTCATTGTTCATTTCTCTCTCATTCTCCTTTTGCGTTATTAAAAATTCAGCACATGTCATGTTTTAAATCCCTGGGCTATTGCCAAAGGAAAATAAATATATGCTTGCGGATTTTTTTTTTTACTTTCAGCCTAGCTGTCGCCAGTCACCCTGTGGTAAATAAACACGCGGTCCAAGCGAACACAATAACTGTATCAGCAATCAAGGCGCGCGCGAAATTCCATATAGCACAGCGGGAGACGTGGGCGGAAAAATAAATTACCGCAGAGAAAATAGTTACAACGACTCTTTTCTTTTCTTGCTATCTGCTTTTTTGTCAGGTTCCCGTCACTAACTTTCTCAACAGAGAGAGAAAGAATGACTCATTATTCCGCCTTGCTCGAATTCGGCGCGCACGAAATGCAAATTTTCTTTCACCAGTGAATACGACTTGAAAATACTCATTAATAATAATGCGCCGTTCTTCTGCTCTTCTTGTTCCAGGCCGGCTTGAGACAATTAGACGTGTCGTTGCTCTCTCAACTGTGCTCCCTCAATCAAAGCATACAGGAGTTCCGAGCGATGATTCTGCAGGAAGACGCCGACGAGCTCCCCAACTCGAGGCCCCTCTCGGAGATGTCCAGCGACGAACAACAGTCTTGCAGTTCCGCCTGACACTTCTTTACCATCAACGCGCCCAATAGTGTTTTGATTTTTTTTTAAATTATAAACTTCCTTAGGATTAGCTCAAATTTCCTTTAATTGTGAACCAAGACTTGCTAATGTATAAATTTTCATAGTAATCAATCGGATAAATCTGTAAATTTGTGTGATCGGCTGATCGCAAACATTTATAAAATTGTATTATCAATTATATATGTTTTTCTTTAAATTTTCAGAAAAGTGATTCAAAATGAAATCAATTGTGATTTAGATCGTCGCAATATAAAATCATTTTAATTTATATTGAATTAAAATTAAGGTGTGTAAAATTGTTAGGCATATAGTTGAGTTTCAAAATCTCAATTGGATAAGTTGAGTTTTAAGTTGGATCTCTGCATGAAAGTATTTTGTAGGAAAGAATTTCATAATTATTTTTAATTGTTGCAAACAGATTTTTCTGTTTCTGGATAGATTTATTTTATGTATAACATTAATGACTCCAGAGTTATAGATGAAAATAATACTAACAAATTTAATATTAATAACAATTCTGGCTATACAAAGCCGTATTATTTTGTGTGTGAAGATCAGCGATTTGCAAGCAATTATTTGCTTAAAATGTTTTCCATGGTAGTGACCATAACAAGAAAACTAAACTAAAACTCGTTTATACTGTATCCATAAATCGTGAAGCTTATCATGTTCATGTGTATTGCAGATTTATTGAAATAAAGTTATTTCTTGAACCTGGACTTGCGTGTATCATTTGTTTATAAAAACTTTTTGCTATAATGGTAATAAATTTAAATGACATTTTCCTAAATATTAATCAGGGTTTGGACTATGAAATACCCCTTTTCAGTTAGCTACCATTTAATTTTTATTTCTTAATTTAAGCATGGATTAAATATCTATCGGACTTAAGATTTTTCAAGAGGAGCATAATTGAGAAGTTTTTCAATCAAATCCACGTGAGCCAGGAGCATTCTTCGGCAGCAGTACCTCTTCAATTTCAACGAATCCAAAGCATCTCTAGAATGTTAATCAAGATTAAGACTTTGTTCACAATGTTTTCCACAATAAATAATAAATACCCTTCAGTGTATTCCGCTTGCAAGAGGCCAAGATAGTTTTCCCACTTGTTACCGATCACCTTGCCACAGGTAAAACACCTCACAGGAATGATCATATTGGCTCACCGGTACTGTAAAATTGACAAAACAAAATTGTAAAAATATTTTTTAAATTTTTTAACATCAAAAATATGAAATGTATAATCTGAATCACATTTGATTAGTAAAAAATAGTTGTGCATAGACTAAATGCATGCAAATGATCAATAAGATAACAAATTATAAACAAATATTATCCATACAATAAAAATGTTATTGAGGAATATTGGGTTTGCACGATCGTCAAATTCTCCAAAAATTGTCAATATAAGATGACTTGACTTACGGTTTAGGTCTTAAAGAATGTGGGCAAATCGCCCTGATCAAGTTAAAATCCTCCTCAAGCCGGAAAAATAGCAAAATTTTAGCGAAGTTTCGAGAAAACGATGGCTTTGTTGTTGTTCTAGCGTCGTGCGTGTGTTGCGGCTCCTTTCCTTCAACCAACTTCCAAATATGGACAATCATCGATCATCGAATGTTATTTATTAAATAGAGGGGCGTGGATGAAAGTTGATAGGTGAGGAAACGGGAAAAAAGCAACATTTTTCCTTGGTTTCTGGCCTGATAACTAATAACCTAATTTTGTTATTGCTCAGTGAACACTGCAGTCTATCTTTCCACGTAGTGAGAATCAAGTTCTTCCGTATTTTTTATTTGAAAATTGCCATTTTGCTCAAACTTAAAAGGATTCTTAGCCATCTGCAGCGCACACGGTAGCCATAGCTAAAAATAGGTTTTGTTGTCTTTCTTCCTTGTATCAGGCAGCACAATGCAGGTAATTTCATTTTTAAATTTCAGACAAAAAATTGATTTACTGATTATTGCTGTATTTTAGAATCCTCAGGAGGACACAGAGTGGAATGACATTCTTCGGCAGAAAGGGATAATTCCTCCAAAAAAAGAAAAAGAGGTAACGGAGGACCAGATCGTGGATATTTTGGAACAAGCAGTAGCTGAAAAAACTGGAAATGGTTAATATTATTAGAATGGTTTGAATTAAAAAATATTTACATAAAATAATTGCAGTCGCTCAAAACATGGACAAGCTTACTCTCGACGAGCTGGACGAACTGGAGGACGACGAAGATGAAGCGATAATTTTGGCCTACAGGCAAAAGCGAATTGCTGAGATCAAGGAATCGGTGCAAAAGTCAAGATACGGAGACGTCACAGAAATACGAGCCGAAGATTATGTTCAGCAGGTCAACAAAGCAGGCGAAGGAATTTGGGTTGTGCTTCATCTCTACAAGCAGGGGTGAAAAAATAATTTTACTTTAAAATCACTTGGAATACTATTTTTTATTCTCTTATAGAATACCGTTGTGCTCTTTGGTTAACCAGCATTTGAATCAGTTGGCCGCGAAATTTCCTACAACAAAGTTTTTGCGTGCAATCTCAACAACCTGCATACCTAACTACCCTGACATGAACTTGCCAACAATATTTGTTTATTTTGAAGGAGATTTGAAGAAGCAATACATTGGCCCCATTGAGCTTCGAGGGATGAAACTGTCTGTCGATGGTAAACTTATAAAAATATTGCAATCTGTTGATTTTAAAATTAAATGTCATTTTTTCACAGAGTTGGAATGGATGCTCAAAGTGGCAGGGGCAGTGCCTTCAACAATTGAAAAGGATCCAAAGCCGAAGGTCAAAGACGTCCTGATGTCTCAGCTGAGAGGCGGACGTGACGACAGTGATGATGACGATTATTGATTGGGAGAGTTTGACGGGCTATTTTTCTGGCAGTATTATTTAAAATATTATTATTTGTTCTTCCTGTCATGTATGTCAAAAGCTGAATTTCTAAATATTAAAACAAAATGTTTTTACTAATTAATGAAAAAGTTGCCAGATCGTTTAATTCAATTTGCAGTCGGTCGTAATTGTAAGAAAATTTAAAACTTTAAAAATACTCTTCTAATGCACAGATATTTTTATATAAACCAATATCATACAAATATAAACAAAAAATTTAAATAAAAATCAATAAATTATTCCTTCGCGCCCTACGACCGTGACCAAACATTTCTTCCTACGGCCGTCAGAGTGCTCTGCTGCCCTAAAAATCGATCCAGCCGCAAAAAAACCCTCGTCTCGCCTGCACTCCGCCGCCTCCCCCACTCCGTGTCTCGTCTGCTGCGGTTCGAAATTGGAGACGCCGGCGCCGTTTACTATTTTCACTCCTTTCGTCCACTCCTGGTCTGGTACATGATCATTTTCCTGGTTCGGCACTCGTCGTGCGTGGGAAAACGTGCGAAATTATTCATTCGAACGCGCCAATTTCATCTCGATCCTGATCTCAATTGGCAAATATTAACCCGTCTTGATCGAGGACGAAATTGTCAGCTGCATTAAGAAGGAATTTCTGTACTGACCACACCAACTGCAGCTGATGCACACGTGATCCCAACGAGGCCCAAGTGTTTCGAAGCCCAGTGGTCCACTGGCCGCGCACAACTGCTGAATTCATCACTTGGTGAGTTTAAAATTCCGTTCGTTTCATTTTCACCCGTTCCGAGCTGCCGCGAACTGTCAAAATTCGCGTATTCCGCGTGTGAAATATTTGGCGGGATCCGTCATCGCCAGTCAGGTGCATAATAATTTCAGTTTTCACCGCTTTCGAAGCTGTGATTCGTCGGGATGTTGATCTCCGCGAATTCCGCTCGTTGTCGGCCCTTTAATTTCATTCATGAACTCTCGGTCAAGTGCAGCAGGAAGCGGACAATGCTCGATTTGTGGCGCATTTTTTGTGTCTGCCGTCGCGTCGCATGCAGGGGTCATTCACCCCTTTGCTGGCTGCATCCGAGTGCATTCCAGGCCACACCCCTCTCTCACTATGAAATCAAACTGGCGCGACGAAATATATTTGTTTTGGTCCCGTTTTCTAATGCAGGGAAGAAAAGTTTAGAATGAGCCGGCATGAGATTCACCCTGCAAGTTCAAGGTCAAGGTCGCGCCCAAAAATGCGGCGGATTTTTGAACTAATTTTAGCACAATACATTTTTGTAGTAAAAAAGAAAATTTAATTATTTTAAATGCAAAATTTTAAAAGATCTTGGATTGAAAAGGCTGAAAATTCAATACTATATAGCAAATTTAATTACTGATTAAATTAAATTAATGCAAGTCCTCTTTATTAATTGAATAGTCACGGCCTTTTAATGAGCCTTGCACTCAATGATGTCACTCTGTATTTGAAGGCGTTTGGCAAAGAAATTGGCACCAAATCATCCTTCGGCACACAGACAAGGAAGCATTAATTTCCCCCCGGTTGCTTTAATTTGCGTTGGCACTTCACTCTTTTTTGATTGAATGTCATTCGCGTCAGAGGGTCGGCCTGGCCTGTATTGTTCTGCGGAGGCACCAAAGGCAGCCGCTCACTTTGCTAGCGCGGCCTCTGCAGCCGCACAACAAAAGAGTGACCTGCAAATCTACGGTTATCTGATGACAGCATTGGCTAATTGCCTTCTTTGCTGACCGACGAATTTTAATTTTAGAATTCAATGATATCGCCCCACTTGGAACAGAAAAAAATCCTTTTGGAACCCTTTTTTATTTTTCATACTAAATACTTCACTTTTAAATAAATTTGTTATATTAAAAAAAAATTAAAATCTTGCTTCAAGGTTTTCTTATTTGCCAAAATTAATTAAGTTTATAATAATTCTCAAAGCTTCATTTGCTTTTGAAGATTTCAATATTTTTGTTAAATTCGGTTAAATTCAAAATAAATTAGTTTTAATTAAATTTAAAATAAAAAATAGATAAAAATAATATTAATATAACTTTGAAGGAAAACCATTTTTTTATATCCATATCAGTCTAATTGTGTTGTAAGTTGTAAATTAATCATCATACAGATCCACATTGAAACACAATTCTTTCAAATGGAAGTCAATTGAAATCGAATCTGGATTTTATTAAGGTCTGCGCTGCATTTTCCCACAAACAGCCTCCATTCTTTGTTTACGGCGTATCGCATGTTGAGGGTGGTTCTAGTTACGAATTATAAAAAGGCAACACTTCTTGTTTCAGCGCGTCAATGATGAAGTAAATGGCCGTAGCAGAAAACGGACGAAAAAACATGTTTTTCGCGGCATAGTGTGCGAAATTGCTAATGCATTTGGTTAATTCAGCGTCAATTCAAATGTCACGTTCGCGCCGATAACAAAAGCAAAAAGCATATTTGAGGTAGGCCTTGCTGTTATCTTCCAGAAAACATGCAACGCCAAGATTAACAGCGACTCCAATTAAGCGCGATTGTAACAGCGGGACACTTGTTTGATAAAAAAAAAGAAAGAAATAGTCAAATAGAAGATTTCGCTGAAAACTTCTTTGCATATTTGTAGCATCTAGAATATTCATGAATTACATAATTATTAAATAATTTTTTAAATTAAAAACAGGAAACTTCGTTATTATTTTTTTAACATGAGATTTTTTTATCAATGAAATTTTAATTAACAATGTTAATACTAGAAACTGATTCGCAATAAATAAGATAAATAATAAATTAAAATTAAAAAATAAATATTACAGTGTTAGGCACTATTTTGTGATAATTAATGTAATCGTTTAGAATAATTTAAATATTTTTTGTTATATAATTTAAATAGAATAAACACCAATAAGTTTCTAATAAATTGCAGATAAAAATTACTATAATTTCAAAAAATTTCTAAATCAATTTCCATTAATTTTATCAATTTTATTTCTTTTCCTTTTTAATTTTAACTTTAACAAAAAAACACATTTGAGAATTTGCAATAATTATAAAATTTATATAACTTTATTTAATTTATTTGATGTTTCTTGATAAATTAAAAATTTTCAAACAAATTAATGGTGTCAACTTTTGATAACAGTCGACAAGAAAATATAAAATAGTTTGCTTTTTCATAGTAAAAATGCTAGCTTTCACCCGCCGTCATTTACGCCTGGAGTGAGGCAAAGTCAAAATATTTACAAAACGTGGCCCCGAACTAGCCTCTGATATAAAAAATGTTTCCATTTAGGAATTGCGCCGTAATTTAACTCTCCAATGGCAGCGAGGAAAATTGTTAAATGTTTGTCTTTTTTTATAGTCTCTAAGTGTCGCAAAAATTGACATCCTTTCAGACAAAATCTGGAGTAGCGCCAGTTGCGAACCCTTTCCTTAATTGTCACTGGGAATTCCGGCGTCAACTGTATAATTATTATATTATGTAAGTACATAAAAAGTCAACTTCCATGCAAATGCGTTGAGCAAACTTGCGCAGTCGGCGTTTCAAATTCAAACCAACGTGCAGCAGTTGCTGACCGACTCTGAAAAAGCAGACAAGGGCGGAACACGGCAGTGCTGATAAAAAAATCCACTTACAAATTCATTTACAAATTAAACGAGGAAACGTGCGCTAATTAATTCAAATGAGCTGTCGAATATTCAGGGCTATGTTCACTCTCATTCGATCAAGCAGGAAGGGTTTTATTATTGAGCTGGGCGGTGGGCGAGAAAACTAATCTGACTAGAAGTTCAAGGATGCTCTGCAAGTGCCGATCGTTAATCTCTTCACACTTTTTGACACTTGTTTGCAAACACTCGAATGGCGATGAAACTCCACATTTCTCTACGGCTTCTCGGATTTATTTTTTCTTTTACGATTTTTATTTTTTAGAACATCCGTTGAAAATATTTTGACCCAATTTAATAACAGAAACGGTCACAATAAGGAAAAAAATGATTTCGTTTCCTCTTTGTCGGTCGCGTTGCGGCTTTGGCTGCTTCGCCACTGCGCAACACTAGAAAGAAATCTTTCTCTTTTTCTGCGTCGAGCGTCACATTGACGTCAACCTGCGTATAATATGCATTATGTATTTACTACGAAACTATGTACTTGGTACATAGCAGGTGCAATGACTGCATGTATTTCTCTGCGAGACCACAATTATTGTGAAAGGAGTAGGGAGCGGAAAATTGAGTTTAAAGTTGTGAGACCATCAGGTATCCACTTTGGTAAATAACTGCACTGAAACGGGCCCTGATATAAATGCTGTGCCTGCATCGTTCCATTAAATTTGTGCCAATTCGTTGCCGTTTTCATCTCGGAATCGTTTCTTCAATTCACTGCATCCTCTTGAAATTCTCAAAGTAAAAACTTGTCCTTCAAATTGTTTGAGAGCAACAGAGGAAAGAAAAAGAGACCTTATTAATTCTCAATGGGGATTGAGTTCATTGTTTACTTTTTTAGCACAAGCAGCTGAAAAAATATTAATTTGAAAGTTTCAATTAAATAAATTTATTACCATTTTTACCATTAAAATAGCTAAACTTTAAAAATTAATTGGAAAATACGAAATTACACAAATAAATCTGACCTAATAAATTGAATATTCAAAATTTTCTGCAAAATTCCAATTAAACTGATATGCAACAGACAAGTGATCTAAATTTGGGGCTTTAGGTATTTCACATGCACCCAAATTTGTATGCAATTGGCATTCGGCTCGAGACGCCGACCTGTTTTGTCTCAAAATAGCATTGCCGCCCATACAGGTGCTGACGGCAATTAATATCATCGATTTTCGCCCGGAGGCGTCGAGACAAGAAGTGCGTTTCCAGTTACGTCTCGCACAACGAGCGTCTTGAAAAAAAATGCGAACGCCGACATGCCAGAGACAAACCGCCGAAAATGATTTATTTGCTTTTGCGCTTTAAAAAAGAGTTATTTTGCGCAAAAATTATCTCGGCGTTGTCGCGCCTAAATATTTTTAGCCTGAAAATATCACGTCGCGCTTTTTAAGAAATTCAGGTTGCAAAACGGTTTGAATCGACAATGAGTTCGGAAGTCTCTTTTGTGGAAAAGTTTTTGATCTGAAAGAAAAAGATGGAAAAGATTTATTTGTTTTGTGACACAAGACACATGCAAATCTAGGCCAACGACTTAGTGAGGCATCGACATGCAAAGGATGCGTGCCACGGCATTAACAAGCAATTATCGTGGGAGCGCCAGAGACAATCGATTGTGCCGCCGCCGCAGAGGTTAAATTACTTTTGCGCTCACTCGATTTGTGCACAATTAAAAACCGACTCGTAATTTATCCACAGTCTGCCTAACTAATCAAATATCAAATAAATGAAATCAACTCAGAATTCTGTTCAAGTTTGATCAATTAGAAAAAGAAATCAATTTACGCCTATCTCGGGCGATTTTATGTGACCCGAATGGGTCAATTTGAATTTGTATTGTCAAAATCTTACATCATACATTGTTTACATTCAATTTTAATTAAATCTGTTTACCTAAAGGAATTGTTGAACTTTTGTTAATTCATTAAAATTCTTTATATATTTTTTTTACATGCAACGATCCAGAATTTTTTACCGGCGCCGCCGATGAACCCTTCTTTTTATTTTATTGCCAAGCTTCCTTTTACCTTGAAGACCGCTTAAGGTATTTTGTCTGCTGGAGCACTCGAACAAAAAGCGGAGAATGAAAT